AGCGACGGCGAGAGATTTAAGAAACTGGACGTCACAGAACCCCAGCCCACAATCTAATGTCGATGACGCCAGCCGTTTATTATGAGCCCCACTGCTTTCACGCGGACGAGCACGTCTTGCGGGCCCTGGTTCCGGCTTGGGTTCTTCAGTATACTCACAGGGTTGGCTCATTGCAAATGTTTGTATGCTTTCATCTTTATCACAAATAGTTTACCGTACTACGTAAAAGAATTCACCAACCATCCATGTAATGGATAGATCAACAGCGTTGCCTCGGAGTCTGTATTGGATTGGCCCCAAGAGTAATACTGAAGCTGAGATGACCCCGCATGATTGGAAGAGCGCCGAAGAAAATACGGGAATGAAAGTGCACTTTTATATTGCTGAGGGGTCCTTGTGATGTGTGTCGCGGGCGTGGGATGTTATCGTATTGTGCATTTAGCCTTACTGTTGGTCATTTCTGGATTGGATGATGCGTAGCTCGATATACAAAATCTGTATTAGACTAAATATCCTACAAATCAAGATATAGACAAGAAATAATTCTTTTGCCTCACATCCTTACTCGCCCTAAGCCCCGTTTCCTTACCAAAGAGGAGCCCCTTAGATGTTCTGGTTGATCCAGTCGATGTAGTTGGCAAGTCTGGTGTAGACACCAGGATAACCAGCACGAGCGCAGCCGACGCCCCAAGAGACCACACCGGCGAGAGAACCATCCTCAGCCATGACAGGGCCACCGCTGTCACCCGAGCAGGAGTCCTTGCCACCCTGTTGGAGACCGGCACAGAACATGTTGTCGGTGATTGCGTTGATCCCGCTGTAGTCGGCGGCGCACTCGGCACGGTCTATGACGGGTACGGAGACGTAGCGTAAGCTAGCAGAGAGGCTGCCATTCTCGCTTGTGAGACCCCTACATCAGAAAAAAGAATATTGATTAGCCAGTTCTGTGGTGCTGTAATTAACGTGTGGTAGTCTGGGGATTGTACATACCAGCCAGCAACAGTGATGCTACCAGAGGGATCAGATCCGGCAGCGGCGAGAGTGGCATAGCCAATATTGCTGCTTTCGGCAATGGCAGAGGAGAGATGCAGGATTGCAACGTCGTTGTCAGTGGTATCCGGGTTGTAGTCAGAGCGGCGAGTGATGCTGGAAACCTTGCTGGTTGTGCCACCAGATTGCCATTGCTATTGAATATGGAGTTAGTTTCATTGAACTTTGTACGAGTTATGGGATGATATTAAGAAGAAGACATAATAGATAACCCGCAGTTCAAGAAAGAGATACAGGTATATGACTAAATAGAAGCAAAATTAAGTATGGTGTATTCGCTTACAAGAGAACCGGCTCGGATAGTGTAAACAGAGGGGCTGGTCTGGCTACCATCCTGATTGAAGGTGCAATGAGAGGCAGTGAGGACGGTATTGGCGCCAATGAGAACACCACCGCAGATCGTGGAGTCGGTAGTCACAGTGACAATGTAGGGAAACTGTCCAGCGGAAGCAGGGCTTCCACCGACAATGAGAATGCTAGCTTCTTCGCGAGGAATAGCACCGCCCAGGGTGAGGGCGGGCAGGGCTAGAAGAGCAGCAGCGGCGACCTTGGAGACCATTGTGAACAGTAAGGGTAGGGTTAAGAATAGAATAAGATAGAAGGTAGTCTAATGGATCAAGGACACAAAGCTATCGTTAGGAAGCTGAGGTTGTCTTAACACTTATATAACAGAGACGGACCAGTATACGCCGCCCTAGATGCTTTACATGGAATCAGCTAATACACAGGACATCTCTTTTGCCGCTTTCATCTACGAATGGCAGTTCATAAATGCCTTAAACTCTTTCCCCATTGGGCTTTAGTCAAGACCAAAAGAAGGCATTGCGGGAATACAGTCAGTGCGTAGGAGCGAGGGTGCTTGTCTGGATAAGGGTTGTTGATGTGACAGGGTTAAGGAACGATGATCTGCATTATAGCTTCCTGATTCTTTCCAACCCCCACTCGTTTCAACTTGAAGTCCTGTAGTATTTTTAGAGCAAGTCCTACCTGCATTTTCCACCACTGAGCATCAAGCGATATCTACAATGGTAAAAGTGAGAGTTTCGATTCTAAACTAATACTACATTTCAAGGTTAAGAGGTCTCTTGGTGTTATCCTGAAGTACCCGTTGATATTTGGTGGGTTGGGAGAAAAGAACTGGAGATTTTCCAGGAGCGGCCGATGCCGCTTACTACGGCTTAAACACCATCCTAAATGGGATGTATTGTAATACGTGCGGAATTCCACTGGTAATCACCCACTTCAATCGGATAGAGGCGAATAATAAGACTCCTTTTATACGCCGGTGTGTGGTCCCATCTAGGAGTTAGGCGGGGGAAGCCACTCTGCGTTCTCTTTTCACTCCCTCTTCCCATCTCACGCGGACTTCCTAATGTAGCAGCTTGGCTCTTTTGTGCAGGATGAAGAGCTGACAACCCTTCTTCTTTTACAAATACAATTATGAAACAAATGTATGCACTCAGAAGAAGACATGATACGAGCCTATCTGCACATGCCTATAACGGCGAAGTGGATAATGTGCTATTCCTTTTGCCACCACCTCAGTCGGCCCCGAGCCTCGGTTCCCCCATGGTTTCCGGTATCGCAGACACTTGACGGAGAAATGGGACTTTAAAACGTGCTATCTCCGCAGAGAAAACAAAGGAACCTACTTCATGAGATGGTGTGAAGTTGAGCTAGCTAGTTTAATATAAGCGTACTTATCTTCTTAAATATAAGTCTAAGTTCTTAAATTCAATAATAGGTAATACATAGTAGCTTATACTGATTTAAAATAGATTAATAGAGCCTAAAGTTGAAATAATACTAATTTATGTTTAGCATTAACTGATCACGCTGGTTTACGTCCAATCATCAAATACATTGGCGAGAACAAATACTCTTGGCCAGTTGCTGCCAACGCTGCAGCAGTGAGAGCCAGACTGTCGGCCGTCTTTTTCGTACCTGTTGGTGCGAGGCCTATACTCTCCAAAAACCCAAAGACTTTGTGCGAAACACTCAGCCCCCAACTGCTCAACCATACTACGGTAAAGCAATCAACCAGAGACTGTGCGTAGCGCATCCGGCCAGCAAACGGCCAATACCACGGGATAGCGTCCTCTCTCTTGGCCAAATCTTCATGATGGAGGACTTCAAACCCTGCTGCTTTGATAGCTGCCAGAGCATCGCGGCGATTGGAGATTGTATTGACAATGCCGCCGCCCATTTCGAGGCCAAGACGCATGTCCCTATGGGCAGGGTTTGTGTCATCGTAATCATCGGTCATGACCCATTCGTACACACCAAAAACACCTCCTGGCTTTAACACACGAAAGATTTCGCGATAGATGGCTTCGAGATTAGGAGCATGGACAGTGGCTTCGATACTGTACACGGCGTCAAAAGACTTGTCTTCAAAGGGCATTTGCTGGAAAATAAGGTCAGCGTATATACCCTCCGGTTGAGTGCCAATCTTTACAAACCATAAAGTCTCCTTTGACAAAACGGACATCCTCAGATTGCCCACTCTTCGATGCGTAACCGTTAGCACGTCTGATCTGGTAGTCATTAATATTGATACCAGTGACATGGACGCCCGAGAACTTCGCGATCTGCCGTGCGGGTCCCCCTACACCGCTACCGACGTCCAGAACGTTCATGCCCTTTTTGAGATTCATGGAATGGGCCAAGTAGTGCTCATGGCGAGTGATGGCCTCACTAAAGGATTCGCCATAGCTCGAGCGACAGAAGTGGAAGGATTGGCCCCAGCCGTATTCATAAAAGTCAGTTACAAGGTCATAATACCTATCCGCTCAACCAAGTTAGTTGTCTATCAGACTTTCAAGGCGGAATATATCTGTGCCGGAGGTTCCATTTCTCACAGTTTTGTCCGCGTGGCGTATTCATTCTACATCATGTTAGTTGGTTTGATTTATAAGAAGGCGTCATGGTAGCTCACAGTCTGCTCCCCGATCGATTTTCCGGTCCAATATTTGAAGTATCCGTCCACCGCGGATTTCATTGCATCTGAGTTCTTTCGGAATAGCGAGGTGAGGCCACCGCGCGTTGTGCCAGACTTGCCGTGCATAGCATGGGCGAACTGAGTATCGCGCCCGTGATCTTGTGGTTCCAGAGTCTGTACAGCCATTTTGGCGAGGACTGAATTATGAGAAAATATGTGTCGCTGTTATGTCAGGTCGAGGGTTTTGGATTTCTTAAACTACTTCGGATCTGACAGTGCATCATCCATAGATATATCTGGTGCTCATTGTGTTCACTTTCTCCGGTGTCAGACATCCAGAACATGATTGTCTCAATTATGAGTCAGATTGACGAATGTGTCGCATCTGAAGTCATTCTTAGTGTGAAATCGTCTGCTTCTTTGATTTCTTGTGTGACTAAGACTGCCGTGCCGGTACATCAGAGACATCTGCCTCGCAAATGTATCCCATTGTAGCGAATCTAATAAGACACCTTCCGGTCCTTGCGTCACGCAGCGATGTTCGTATCCGAATGCGCACAAAGCCTTCCGCATTCCTTCACACTACCTACTAAAACACCCTAATCCGTGAGATGAAAACATCATTATTCGATCCGGCTATGATTATCTTACCCCAATTAAGCTCCATAATGAGATATGTTTTATTACGTTTTCGGCGCTATGGTCACTGAGGAAGGCTAGTGGGAATCACCAATCACCTTTAATATAAATTAAAACTTGACGTGACACATATGGTGTAGAGGAATAAATGACTCCGGAGTTTTGCGCCTGTCATCATGAACCATCTTACAAGATCGTTGTCTTTGATTAGAGATGCCACGCATAGGGTTCTTCTAGACTCTCAAATCGCCGTTTGGCCTAGTGTGCTCACATATAGCATACCGACTGTGGTTATTTCTACAATATCTGCATATTATATTTGCCAACTCTGTCGCGGTGGCTCTAAAACTGAGACAAACTATACGTTGCCATGGTATATGCTGCTGGAGCTTGCAATCACTACAACTATTTTGCAATCTGGCAGTGTGATCACTCGTCCGATGTAATAAAAGGTTCTTCCTCTTAGTGTGAACTGCAGCTGATGGTGAATTTATTAGAATTTCCCTGCTACACCGGAATGGCTTCCTCCACGGGTTGACATCACGGCATCAGATCTTGTATAAAGTCCACAACGTGGACTCAGTGCTCGCCAGACCTCACCACTTGGTCAACCCCGACCCTATTGCCCTAGCCTTGTTCCCTAAGTTCTTCGGCGTATCAGTGTCTCCCGAGCTTCGCAAAGACTTCACGGCATTTTACAAGGCTTTGACAACTGCGGTGGAGCGAGGTTTTGTCAACGAGGCTGCGAGTACCTATGCGATCCAGGAAGCTAATATCCCAAGAAGAATCTTGTCATTGTTAAGCTTTTCAGAAAATCCGAAATACCAGCATGGGTGGGAGAAAAACGCCAACGTGAAGATCCATTCCGACTACGTTGAAGCTGATCTAGACGTAATATTAAAGGATTTTGGTGGCCACACGTCTATCCCGATGTTGTACGGGCAAGATTTCCTGAAGAGACACCCGACGCTGCTCGATGACTTCTGGCTGTTTGACGGTTTTGCACTACCCTTCAAAGCTTTAGGCATCCCAGAGTGGGTGCCCATCAGACCATATCAGAACGCGCTCGCAGCACGGCGCCGCCTCCAGGATGCGTTGATTGGTCTCTATCGGCGCATCGATCAATACGAAAATGGTGCACCCATCGACTATGACGCGAAGATGGATGATATCGGGCAAGTTGCCATTGAGCGACATAGGCTATTTGCGCAGTACAATATCCCGATATCCGACCGTGGGAAATTCGAATTAGGTACTCTATGGGCACAGAACGCAAACACCCAGCCCCTGATATTCTGGTTCATATTGTTTGTCTACTCTACACCTGGATTAGTAGAAGAACTTCGAAGCGAGGTCTGTGGGTTTGTGCCACCCCTAAATGGATCAAATCGGACCGACAGCGACTCGATTGATCTCGCCGGTTTGAGGAACAAGTGTCCGCTGCTCAAGTCGGTCTTTTTGGAAACCTTTCGGGTGGTCAGCCAGCCAACTTCGATGAGATACATCGCACAGCCCATGAGCGTTTTTGACGGTCGTCGTCATCGTCATCTCCAGCCAGGGACTTGGATATCCGTCCCACATGGGGGTACACAACAAGACCCATCTGTATTTGCAGATCCTACTAGTTTCCAACCTCGCCGCTTTATTAAGTGCGATGAGAAAACAGGAAACGCTTCGGTGGGCTATGGCAGGCTTAAGCCGTGGGGTGTAGGAGCAGGCATTTGCAAAGGGCGTGTGCTCGCAGAAAAGCAGGTGTTGGCCACGGTGGCTTGCTGCATCATGATGTGGGATATTGAGCCGGTAAACCAGGATGGATGGAAATTACCGGGGTTGATTCCAACCACAGCGGTTATGCGGCCATCACATGGGGTCCGTGTAAGAATGAAACATCGATCTGAAGTAACTCAATCAATGTAAGCAACTCTGATTTTATAGTTTGCGTCGACGGCCTAAGCCTCCATCCCGTGGCGATTCTACTACAATCTACGGTAGCGATAGCCTAGTCTTTATCTAGGAGAGATTTCGACTATAAGGAACATGAAGTATAATGTATATTATTAAAGAGTATAATATCATTAAGAATTAACTTATAACTAGTTATTGACGTTGTATATAATCAAGGGGCTACATTCAATAAAGCTATCTAAATTAGGTTCTTCCCAAGTAATTCCCAGTTGTCAACTGTCAAACTTCTCCGCGCTATCTTGCTAGTAAAGATAGCTCGATCTAGAATGATTCGTCCATTATACGGAAGATTTCCTGGTTTTGATCAAACCAAGCGCCAAGCTCAACACCACGGTCTGGCACGCTGACGGTATCCCCAAAGCTTTCAGAACCGGGTTCAATCCCTCCTGCAAGCATTTCGGTGTGATGGCCCACTTGTGTTCCGTGATTTAATTGCATCTGACTCGGCAGCGGTACCCCGGCATCGGCAAACACCATCTCAAAGGGCGTGTCTGGTATGTAACCCGCCTGGGCCACACTCGAGGAACTAGCTATGGAGCCGTTGACGTACTTGAATGCCACATTGTACATCAGTCTAAAGAGCTGACGTTGCTTTCTGTATGCGTCGGGTAGATCTGTCGGGAGATTTTCAAGTGGCTCTACAATGGCCAAGAGGCTCTCTAGATGGTCTGGCTCTCGGGTCTCAAAAGTGCGACAAAAGAGGACAATGAACGGCATAAGCGGTGCCGAGAGAAGGGCCCTAGAACTACTCTTGAGCAAGCCACCCGATCGAAGGTTATTCATGAGACACATACCAATGAATATAAAGCTCCATGGTGCTAGCATTGGCATTTCGCAAGAGAGAAAGGCATTTCTTGTGCTCCTCTAGACATTCATTGGCCGTAGACAGGCACTCGTCACAAAAGGCGGATCCTGTGTAGACGCTCGGCTGTATGCTTCGGTAAATCAAGGTCTGTACGGCCAGATGGGAGACTTTTTCTGCATGCATGACCACCTCGTAGACTGCTTCCAGACCGTTTTCTCTCAAGACGGTCATTTGTCGCTCCTGAACCTCGTGTTTCAGCTCATTTCAGTTCGGTCAAGGAAGGTTCGGACCATTACTACCTCGACTGGATCACGGCTCTCATAAAGAGCTTGAAGTTCAACTGCCAACTGCCTTGCCGTGATCTCTTGAATGTGTTGTGGGCGACGGAGAGCAACTGGGCTATAGATATCGTCGTATATCCTGCCGTAAAGTGTAGCCATCTTCATCCACTTTTGCCCAATGGGGAAAATGCGGTCCATGTTACTGTCCTCAAAGTCAGCTAGTGACAGGGCAATATCGTCATCTCTTAGCAGTGAGGACCGGTTGAGCCGCATCGAGAGCATTTTGTCAAAAATATACAAGATCCGGAAAAGTCCGACACGGCGTCGTCGGTCCTCTTTCTTCTCTGATCGTTGGGGTTTGTCACGGTTGTAGCCCAATGTGAGAGACATTTGGGCCGCAGCTGCGAGATAGGTCCAGGCCATTGATATCCGGCATCTCAGCATAGAGTTTGTCGACTACAGGCAGGTCAGCTTTCCTGTCTGTCCACTTGGAAACGGGTTCTACCCACAGCCATGACTAGGGCTAGGATGAAGTCGAAGGTGCATGGAAGATTGAAAGACAGGCTGGCTAGAACCTGGTCCAGATTTGCCAGACATAATGTGCCTTGAGACTTGAGGTTTTGCTTGACGATTGGATATTTTTCCGCTTCTGCCAAGCCCATAAAGAGAGGGTGAAGACCACACTGAACAATGATGAGATGCGCAGTTGTCGGCGTGCCAGAGTAGACTGTCATGACGTACTCTACAAACTGGCCGATTGTTTCAATCTCCATGATCCAACAAAACTGAAGCTGGGGAGTTTCTAGAGCACATGTCACTACCAAAACTGAAAAGCATGGCTTGGACAACGAAAGACCTACCTCTCAGTTTCTGTAGAGCTGCCATGGTCATCTCCAGCGGAGGTAGTCTGAGTCCATATCGGACCGAATTTGGTGGCAGCAGATGCGTTCCAGTTGGTTTTGGGCGACTGGGACCAGGCTCCTGTTCATTTAGGACGTCTTTGAGGGCATGGAGGCTCGACTTGACCTCATCAGATATGTCCGAAGGATGATTGCTGTCTAAAGCCTGCTGGGCAAATTTGGCGGCAAACGTAGCCTCACTGGCTAACCCAGCATCACTCTCCAGGTCTGACCCTAGACCATCGTTATTGACACTAGTCTGGGGGAGAGACGGAGATACGTATGAGAATGGTGATCGGTGGGGGTTAGAATCAACATCATTCGTTGGAGCTTTGTCTGTCGTAGGGGTAAGCGAGCATTCTATGTTGTGAACAGCCAGTGAGACACGATCAAGCTTCTCCGAGAGGTCGTCGAGCTTGTCGTCACTTGGTTCAGTCAGCAGCTGGAGCGAGGAACAGAGAGACTTGGTCACATACTATCCGTTTGAGACCAGGGCACGTCGACGCTTGGGTCGAGGCTTGAAACCTAGCGGATACGTGCACTCAAGTGACTTTCGGGAACACGGATCGCAAGGATCTACACGGTCACATCGAACCTGATAATGATCAGAAGGCGAACAGAAGGAAAGGTGAAGAAGAAGCACGGTGTAATTGAGGGGCCAGCTCGTACCTTGCGCTGCCGACACTGGTCGCACTGTCCCGACAGTCAGCAAAACAAAGTTTAAAGAGTCTCCAGGGGGCCGGTAGAACTCTACAGAAAGCTTCTGGACCGTGCGGACAGGGAAATTGGGCGTGTCGGGCTCGAGGTCGCCCCTGAAAGTCTCTCCGTCCATGTTGCGGCTGCGGGTGGTAAGTCGGTGCTGGTTCCAGTCCGGTCGTAGACACACAAATACGAATGGGTCTTATGGACTTGACGGGGCTGAATGACAAAGCGAATGATTCACTCAAGGCAATAATAGTAGCTTCTCCCACTCGGGTACTAGACCCGGCGTCCAGGCCGTGTTTATTGCCTATGTCTGGCTTGAGGGGAACCTCTGCTGATGGCAATAGGGGAACCTCGCTGATGGCTTGAGGGGATTAGCTTTCCGTGCTTTGCAAACCAAAAAACTAACGTTTCCTGCTACCGTCATCAATCACACATTGCGGAGCCCGAGGACCCCGGCTTGGCTCGCCCGTATCTGGGCTCCAGAAAGCCAAGACCAGATACGGTTGGGCCAATCATCTAAAGGGGGAATAGAGGAGATTCTTGGCAGCATCGGAATCTCGCGTCGTCCGTAATGCCGCCAGCAAGCAGAGGCAATGCAGTAATTTCGGACGCAAGCATTGCCTCTTGACGACCGAGCCGAAAGGGGACATTGGTTAAGAAGTCATGGCTACCTTTAAAAAGTTCGATAATGTGGTGGTTTCTACTTAATAGCCAATTCAAAGCCCCGGAGACCTCTTCCCAGGTCAAACTCCTGGCCTACTTGAGTCGACACTCCTTTGCGTTCCATCCTGCCATCTAATTCTTGACTATTTCCAAAGACCTTATTGCACCAAAGAGCGCGTTGTCTATGTTTCTGCCCTGACTGGGCCGTGCACATTACTTCAAATCGCCATGGCAGCGATCAAGATGGACACGCTGGTAGCCAGCGAAGCGACGGCCTCTACCAAAGTCAAGGAGGATGCCGAAGCTCGTCCGCGAAACAATAAGCGATCAAGTTTCAAGGACTATGTGGTAATGACAACTCAATAACCCACGATCAAATCTCTCAAGCTGATCCCAACTCACACACTATCTAGCGAGTCTTTTCTTATGGGCAAGGCTTCGACTATGCCGTTCTTTCAATCGGCATCATGGCCGCCATTGGATCCGGTGTTGCCCTTGCCATGGTCAATCTCGTCATTGGAGATTTCATCACCATCATGACCGAGTTTTCTGCATCGTCTGTCGCGCCCAGTAATTTCATGTCCAAGGTTTCCAAGTCTGCGTATGTCCTATTCACCCCTTCTTCTATTCCAACTGGCAGGCTAACTTGGAAATATCCCAGGCTGTACTTCATCTACATTGCCATCGCTAGATTCGTCTGCACTTATGTCTACTCGTCGCTTCTCACCTACGTCGCCCTCAGAATCACCCGGAACCTGCGCTACCGATACCTCAAATCAGCCCTTGGTCAGGAAGTGGGTTTCTTTGACATGGGAACTGGAGGATCCATCTCTATGCAGGTGACTTCCAACGCCAAGCTTATCCAGTCTGGCATCTCGGAAAAGCTTGGTCAAGTCTTCCAGGCTGTATCAACCATGGTTGCCTCCTTTATTATTGCCTTCATCAGCCAGTGGAAGCTCACTCTCATCCTCTCATCCATAGTGCCTGCGCTGCTGCTCGTAGCCGGATTCGCCGGTGCTCTCGATGCTGGTATCGAAACGAAGATACTTAAAACCTATGCGCGAGCTGCCTCTTTGGCGGAGACTGTTCTAGCGAGCATCCGAACGACAAAGGCGTTTGAGCTGGTGCCGAGAATGACGCACGAATACTCGAAAATCATTGGTGAAGCGAGGACTCTTGGCAACAAGAAGAACGTATTGTACGCCGTCATGTTCGCTGGAGAATTCTTTGTCATCTTTTCTGGAATGGCTCTAGCCTTTTGGAAAGGTATTAGAATGATGGTTCAAGGAGAAATTGTCGAGATGGGCACAATGTTTACTGTCCTGTTTGCCGTCATCATGGCTGCTGCCGTCATCAACTCTCTTGCGCCTCACCTTGTTACCTTTGGACGAGCTGGTACGGCCGCAGGCGAGCTATTTGAGCTCATTGACAGACCATCGAGCATCAATCCTTTCGATCAGTCAGGGGAGGTTCCTCAGAATACGCAGGGTGTCATTGAACTCCGTAACCTCACCTTTAGCTACCCGACTCGTCCTGATATATGTGTCCTTGATGATTTCAACCTCGACGTTCCAGCCGGCAAAGTCACGGCTCTGGTTGTAAGTCCCCCCGCCACGCCTACCTCCCAAACTCTTGCTAATTTGAATATGCAGGGACCAAGTGGCTCTGGAAAAAGCACAATTATTGGCCTACTTGAGCGATGGTATAACCCGAGTGCTGGCTCGATCAAGTTGGACGGTCAAGAGATCAAAGATCTCAACCTGAAATGGCTTCGGACTCATGTGCGCCTCGTTCAGCAGGAGCCTGTGCTTTTCAACGGTAGCGTGTTTGATAATATAGCCAACGGTTTGATAGGGACACCGTGGGAAAACTCGTCTCTCGACGACAAGATGCAACGCGTCCAGGCTGCTGCTAAGACAGCCTTTGCGCATGATTTTATCCAGGAGCTTGTCAATGGATACGATACCCGGATTGGTGAGAGAGGGGGACTCCTTTCCGGCGGTCAGAAGCAACGTATCGCCATTGCCCGCAGCATTATTTCAGAACCTCGAATCCTTCTGCTTGATGAAGCTACAAGTGCCTTGGATCCCTACGCCGAGGCTGTAGTTCAGAAGGCCCTGGATGAAGCCTCAAAGAACCGCACAACAATCGTTATTGCCCACAAGCTCAAGACAGTTCGGAATGCCGACAACATCGTTGTCATGGGCAAAGGCAAAATTGTGGAACAGGGGCGACACGAGGATCTTGTTTCTCGCCACGGTGTTTATGCCTCGCTCGTCAGAGCCCAGGACATTTCCGCAACCGATAACGATCAAGCCTCCTCTGATGATTCCGACGTGGCTGATGAGGACATTGTTCTCAAGCCGACCAATACTTTACAGCAGGAACAGAGCCAGATTGATAGAAGGGCTGCCTTGTCCAAACAAAGCGACTATAGCTTACATGAGGGCACTGGCATTGTGAGGACGATTTGGAGACTGGTCAAGTTTACCCCCGAGATCAAGAGCTGGTACATACTTGTGGCTTTGACTTGTACAGTTGGAGGTAAGTTTGTCGCATTTCCGAAAGTGACCCAAAGTATGGTGTTAATCGCCCCGATTAGCTGGTGTCTACCCAGGCCAGACTCTCCTTATCGGTCAAGTCATGGATTTGTTTAAATCCGAAGATATGCAAAAGAGAGCCAACTTCTTAGCACTCATGTTCTTCGTCATGGCGTTGGGTTTATTTGTCATCTATGGCGTGCTTGGTTGGGCAACCAACGTGCTCGCTCAGGTTTGTTGCCTTGCACACCAGAATCCCCTTCTGCCTTTTGAGCAACCACTGATAACCTTGCGCAGACTCTTGCAGAAAAAGTTCGAAAAGACATGTTTTCCTCGTTTATCCGCCAAGACCTCGCTTTCTTTGACCGACCTGAGAACACGGTCGGCGCACTGACAAGCAAGATCGACTCCTTTGCGCAGTCCATCTTCGAGCTTATGGGCTTCACCATTGCTATCATTCTGATGGCGCTCATCTCTGTCTGTGTATGCGCCATAATGTCCATTGCCTTTTCTTGGAAATTAGGCCTTGTCGGTGTCTGCGCTGGGTTCCCTCCCATGATACTATCAGGCTATGCAAGAATTCGACTCGAGACCAAGATGGATGCCGAAATTGATTCAAGATTCTCCAATAGTGCTTCAATTGCATCGGAGACTGTCACCGCTATTCGAACAGTGTCCTCGCTAGCCATTGAAGATGATGTGCTCCGGAGATACACGGATGAGCTGGATCATGCCATCCATGGGTCTAAAGCATCTCTGTTCACTATTATGATTTGGTTTTCCTTGACACAGTCGATCGAGTACTGTATTTTGGCCTTGGGCTTCTGGTACGGCTCCAAGCTGGTAGCTGGAGGAGAGATTACCTTTTACCAATTCTTCGTCTCCTTTATGGCTGTTTACTTTTCTGGCCAGGGAGCAGGACAGTTGTTTAGTTTCGCAAGCAGTGAGTCAATACCGTCCGGTCGTGTGCAGCGGCGAGTTCTCGTCACAAGGAGAATGCGCAGGCTAACATTCATCCAGGTTTCACAAAGGCCAACTCGGCTGGAAACTACTTCTTTTGGATCAAAAGTCTCCAGCCAACCATCACGGAAACGGCCGAAAATGAGAAAAGAGGTCCTTCTGACGGTTGCAAGTCCTATCATCTAGACAACCTGGAGTTTTCTTATCCTCTGGCCCCTCGTCATCGTGTTCTCAAAGGCGTGTCACTCAAAGTAAGCCCTAATTTATCACAAACCCCAAAAGCACAACTAACAGAAACGTTCAAAGATCACACCCGGTCAGTTTGTTGCATTCGTTGGAGCGTCAGGTAAGTCCTTGTCCATTCACCCTGCTTGCTGTGCAGTGACTGACCCTGCTCCAGGATGTGGAAAGAGCACCATGATATCTCTACTTGAGCGATTCTATGATCCTACCAGCGGCGCCATTGTAATCGATTCGACGCTTCCTCTCAGAGATATAAACCCTCGGCTATACCGCGCCCATGTTGCCCTCGTCCAGCAGGAGCCAACATTGTTTCCCGGAAGCATTCGTGACAATATCGCCATGGGCGCCGATAAGAATGCCATGTCAGAGATTGGCAAACCTATTGACGATAAAGCCATTGAGGTTGCGTGTCGAGCTGCGAATGCATGGGACTTTGTCAGTTCCTTATCAGATGGCCTGGGTACACTCTGCGGCACTGGTGGTAGCCAACTTTCCGGTGGTCAGAGGCAACGTATTGCTATTGCCAGAGCTCTGGTTCGCAACCCAAATGTGATTCTTCTTGATGAGGCGACGAGTGCTCTTGACACGGAGTCTGAGAGGGTGGTTCAGGCTGCGCTCATGGAGGTTGCCTCATCTAGTAGCAGGATCACTATCGCTGTTGCCCATCGCCTGTCAACTGTCAAGGACGCCGATTGCATCTTTGTGTTCCACAACGGCCGAATCGCCGAAGCGGGCACTCACTCTTCCTTGATCGCGGAGGGTGGGATGTATAAGAAGATGTGTGAGAGTCAAAGCTTGGACGCATAATATATGGTGAGAAGGGTTCCCAAGTTATGACAGAGGTTCTTTTTGCACAAACTCTAGGTATGTGCTGGGTCATACAAATTATCACGTATAGAGTTTTAGATCAAGATGGCCTACTCAGACCATATTGTGGCGACATTCAAGTCCCCCCTCCTTCTCCGGGCTCCACAATCACCTATCGATATAGATTTCCTTTGTTTGTTTATTCTTTTAATTTTGCTTTTATTAGACTCCAGTTGACGTTATAGACTTAAATATAAATAAGGCCACTTTGTATCGCGCCTGCGGCTACTATGATCCTATTATGAGACCCTGCTTAATGTTCTCAATCTCTACTAAGAATACTAAAACATAATACAGCAATGTTGGAATAGCCATTTCATTCAATTTTATACCAACCATGGGTCCTGCAAAAGCTCCTTGGCTGTTGGGCGCTCGTTAGGGTCCCAAGCGAGGGCTCTTCGGATGAACTGGAGGAACTTGGTCTTGTCCATCAACTTTGTTTCGGATGCCTCCAGAGTTTTCTCTGCCGGAATAGGAACAAAGTCGCCCCATTTACCTAACGATGAGGAGGACAGTTAGCAAAGCCCCAGAATAGCTCACATGTTGATACGCGTACCGTTCTCATCCCAATACTCCAGTGCTCTCTCACGGTGCCTAGCAAGCAACGAAGCAGGTGGTGGCCCCAGGGCGGCGATGAGTTCGGAGAAATGCACTCCGTCCGAGAAGGTCCCATCGCCTTTGAGGGCGCTGAAGAGTGGCTTCCCTTCAAGGAGATTCCATGCCTAAGGATAGTCAGAATCAAAACTGAGAATACAAGACAACTCTTGTTGAATTTACAGTGAGCCCAACGCTCCAAACGTCGACTGGATAACTCCATTGGATACATAGGAGCGTCTCAGGAGCTCTATACATGATTGGCATGATATCGCCTGTATGGGGCCCAGGTCCTAATCTGACCTCCCCAAAATCGGAGAGAAGGAGTGGGCCAACCTTTGGCTTCATGAGGCGAGAGAAATATATAGTTCGATCAGAAAGTTCTTTGCGAGGAACAGGATGTGAGAATTCATTGTCCTCCAGCGCCTTAAAAAGGGAGTTATCGTTCAAGCCAAGTAACAAGTTACCCGGATGCACATCTGATTTGGTGTCAGTTCAACATCCGTCGACTTATCCAATAACTTGTGCATCAAAGATACGAAGGGAAGAAGTGCTACTGACCTGTATGCACAGCCTGAACTTCAGTGTGCAGAAAAGCAATAGCCTCAAGAAGTTCTTTGATGGCGCCTTTGACGAACTCCTCGTCAAATCCACGACCTTTCATGAACACCGTATCCATATCACGCAGACTCATTTGAGAAACTTGAAGAACTAGGACCATGTGCTTGCCGTGGGGCCCAGATACTTCAAAGGTGTCCAGAAGCTTCCTGACATTGGCGGCGCCTATGTGGTTGCTGGGAAGGACTTTGTTAAGATGCTCATAAAAAGGACGCTCACGGTGTTTGGCAGAATTATGAATGTAGATTTTGAGAGCCACATATTGAGTACCCCTGTAATCTATGGTAAGCTAGCTTTTTCATCATCACTAGCGAGGCACTTACCGGAGGTCTCGTGCAAGCCATATGGTGGAGGACGAGCCGAAGCCCAGCTTGGTCATGATTTGGAACCTGTCTTGAAATACTTCACCTAGGCGGACAGGATAAAAGTGCTCGGGTTTATATTCGGGCATTTCTTCTTCTTCAATGAGCTGATCTTTGTCAATGACATCAAACCCTTGGGAGGGGAAGGTGCGCGGCTCTGATCGTGGGAGCTCCGTCGAAAACAACTGCAGTTTGCGACGAAGGCCGCCGAGTGTCCATGGGGAGGGCATTATCATAGAACGTCGAGAATACGAAGCTAAATATGATGGGGAAAAGGTTGATGATCTTAGAGCAGGCATTCGCCTCGATGTTGTTCGGCACGACGTCATGACAACTTGGTTTTCGATTAAGTAGGCATTGAATTGCGAGTAGTTAGGAAAGGTTGAGTGGGACAGACTACCAAACAGTGGCTAGAAATCATCTGTCTATTAATTACCTAATATTTATGGTTGGCGACCTACTCAGAAAGGTGCCCCCAACTACTACAGACCCTTACGGTAGTGGCCCAATAACGTCCCACAACAACCAACTTCAAATGATATCGTTTATTTTCTCGGTTTGTCTGCACTTGTGTCATCAAAAACTCCCTCTCAAAATCCACTCTCGCAGGCTCTCTTGGGAGAGATTCTCGAGGCGAAGCATCCTGGAATCATGGGCATCATATAATCAACTTCAGGTCTTTGTACGAGCAGGCGTGCACTGGGCGTGAATTGGGTACCTCATCGGGATACGGACGTGAACGCCGACCGGGGATGGTCATATGAGCTTGTCTAATCGAGCGACGTGTTTTCTCACTCTCAGAACATACACAACATAAATTATGTTACTCAGCCCCTGCTATCAGAGCAAAGCGATCCAACTTGTCGGAGAGCACTGCGTCGTCACGATCCGTGCTGATGGTGACGTCCTCCCACCGATCCATCACTACGGCCTCCTGTTGTCTTTTCATCTTCCACCATCGAAGAGAATCCGAGCCCAGGGCAATGCGCGAAGACCAGACCCTACCAGCCGCCATACCCTCGCCCTTGACAACATCAGCCATTGCCTTTGCGACCTTGGCAGGGTCTCCTGGAGGCATTCCCCATTCGGCCACAACCTGCGAGGCAGCGGTAAGCCCTGGTACGTATGCTTCGATGGGACTCTTATCCTCCTTGTTCTGCTCCGACGCGACTTTATCCTTCTCGCGCGGTTCGAAGATGCGCGTGACAACACCGCCGCACTCAAAGGCGACGCAGCGGATGCCGAGAGAGGAGACCTCTTTGTGCAGCGATTCGGCAAAGCAGCTATTTGTCCACTTGGTCATGTTGTAGTACGTCGTGTAGGGCATGTTGCCCCAGAGTTGGTTTGAGGACGTGAAAGTGATTGTTCCTGATCCCTGTTGGCGGAAGAACGGGAGAATGGCCCGCGTCATGTGAAGCTGGCCGAAGACGTTGGTTTGGAAGATGCGTTCTGCGTCGTCATCGCTGCGCAAAGGACCAGAGTCAGCTGATGAGACTTAATCTCAAAGATGTACCTGACCTACCTGATATCCTCAAAGGGACCGAACAAGAATGTGCCGGCATTGTTGACAAGAACATCGATGTGTCCGAAAATCTGCCAGGCCTCCTTGACTTTGCTTGCAATGACCTTGGAACCAGACGTGAGGTCGAGCTCAAGAAGCGACACATTCTCCGAAGCGCGATCGGCCATCTGATCGACCTGTCTGTTGGCAGCAATCACTTTGTCGCCTCGACGGACAATTTCCTCGACGAGTGCAGCTCCAATTCCCGCCGAGGCTCCTGTTACAAGCCACACAAGAGGTGCCATTGTCGCGAACTTCAGTGTCTCAACGAAAACAATGAATATAAAAGAAGAGAAATCGAGCTGGTGATTTTACTAGAGGGAGAAAGTGAAAGTATGAAATGCAATTTGGTAGAATTTAATCCTTGATTAGATAACCTCGAATTGTGACGAGACTCTTATTATATTATATACGTACTGAATCAGGCACCTGTGTGGGCTCCTATAGTGAGGTCCTACCTAAGCAAACAGATCATGCACAGGCTCGTCCGCGCACGAAAAGATGATTAATAAACAAGCCAAGGACTTTATCGACAATCCCTGGAGCCTTTCGAATCAGACATACTTAGTCATTAGTAATTTGACAACGAAATTCCTCCGACGGCCTTTGACAACATGCAAGTCAGTTGAAGGTGGGGCACATCGGCTCGATTCGCTCGCTCATTGGGCCATTTCGTCCGCGGACGAATTCTTCATCCGCGGCAACCCGCAACTCTCCTTCAGCCAGCGTCACTTCGACCGCGCACAGTGACTCGATAGATAGGCTGTCCATCCGAACGCCTCAAGCATGGTGCGCGGCTCCCCGAGGACGTCTGTGTCCGCGTCCTCGACCTCGGCGCCGACACGTAAGACCATGCGGAAAGGGACGCACAGCTGCACAGAATGCGAGTACCTCCCTCCCACGCCCAACTGCTCCGGCACGCCAGCTCATGCGTATTACTCTAGGCCGCCGTCGAAAGATCCGGTGCGACTCGATGCCGGGAGCTTCAGTCTGTTTCAACTGCAAATCTCGTCGCACACCATGTGTAAGCCAGAGCGGTGATGGCGCGAGACTGCAGTCGCGTCGGCGCCTAGAATCCGACTCTCCGAGAAATAGCAGCAGTGAGGCCCCTACGTCTATGCCTTCATATCGATTTTCATCGGCTTCCACGCAGGGGCAAGATTCAGGCGCCCCGCAAGCTTCAGAAGTGCTGGAAAACAGTGTCACAGATCAACGAGCACCCTTCCTCGCGGTTCTGGGCCCGTCTGGAGTGAGTCCCCCATGTTGCCATGCAGTTGTACGTTCAGTAGACCTGACAACCCAGCACAGCTCTCCAAGTCTCCCACGACGGATGATGCCAGTGCGTCATCTCGGTCACGTCTGGCCAGGGACAGCAGTATGTCTCACTCGTCAACAGGTGATCGTAGGCCATCTCGTGTTTCCAGCAGATTGCCTGAGCCACTCTCATCCGGCCAGGGGGAAAGTATATGCGAGACACTACGTGCAGGATTACCTTCCTACGATTCTATCATGGCAGTTGCGTTGGCGCACAAAGGCTGGTGGGTTCGAATACACAGAGCTGTTCGTGGCATGTATGACGACACGATTGAGTCTTTCCCAGACTTCGTCAGGCGGGTCTACACGAGCGACCGGCCTTCAGAACTGGGTAAGATGGCGATTGCTTTCGCTTTCACTTCTGATCTTGATGGATTCTCTATCTACAACTTGGTCGACCGTCTCGTTGTCTCTGACATGGCGTATATGTCTACTGTGGAAGGCTTGGAGAGCCTGATCTTGCTGGCCATTCTGTATGCGGACGAGGGCCAGCCCAGAAGATCATGGATGATCTATCGCAGAGGAGTAGTGGTCGCACAGTTAACGGTATGTCAACATTCTGTTCCGGAGACGAGTGCTGGAAGCTGATGATGTCAAAGGACCTGTACCAGGCTGGCCTCCGATCAACAGTCAAGAGACGGCTCTGGCTGTCCCTTTACCAAGCAGATCGCATGATGAGCATGTTTCTCGGGCTGCCGTACGGCTTTGTCGACATGCATCACCAGCAAATCCTAGAGGCGAAGCCCGAAAATGACTACTTGGATTCGACCATGATCATCCGCTGTGCGACGATAGCCGGGAAGGTCGTTGACCGAAACCACTCGCGTACAAAGGCTTCCATCGCCAAGACACTGGAACTGGACGAGGAGATGAGCGAGCTTGCAACGTCTTTCCCAGAAACCTGGTGGGAGCTTCCTGACCGGGTCCAAGCCGATGGCCACGATTTCGACGAAATCCATATCCAGCTGCACCAGCAACTCTTCTTCTTCCACCTGCGACTCTACATTTACCTACCGTTCCTTAGCGGTTCTGAAGGAAACTCTGTGCACGGTTCTATCGTGCGCGTCGCTAGCATGGAGGCTGCACGACAGCTGCTGAGGCGCTATCTGAGCCTACATAGTGACGCAGAGGCGCTGAGCCCGTCTGAGTGCAAGCTCGTGCACTTCATGGCATTTACCGGGGCCATTGTCTTACTCCTAGGTTGCTCACGCTCCTCCGGCCCAAGGGTGCCAAGTGATGGGGATGACATCGAGGCTGTGCTGTCTTTGATTCGGTGCTTGCAACGCCAGGAGAATCAAGACAACTGTCCCATCGCGTCGCAGTGTCGCAAGACGCTTACGGTGCTGCTGTCGAGATCGAGCACGGACGAAGAGGTCCGCATTCCGTTCTTTGGCACAGTCGTCAGAAAAGGCGATCAAACCGTAGAGCAGGCCACTGAAGCTAATCAAGGCTTCATGACAAACTTGAATACGGGTGATAGCCATGCTTTACCTGCTGGCCAACCATCCTCGTCGACGACTGGTACCAACTCTACTCCCGCGACTGAAGACCTGACGCTACCAAGTTCTGCGTATTCGGAGGCACCGTGGGGGGTGGAGCACATGCCGGAACTGGGCTTCCTGTCCTATCTAGAGGATGTATCGGCAGATTTCGACACGGGCTGGGAGTTCATCATGGATCTCGACAGCTTCTGATAATTGATATGGATGAACCTGTCTCCCCTATTATTAAACCTGTCTCCCCTATTGTCGAACCTGTACCATTCCGTCTACCGTCGGCAGGAAGGTGAAAAGGAATCTGTCTATTTTCACCGCAACTTATCCTACTGCAGAATGCGGAGGAGGTGGGCCGGCTATTTAAGGTGGCTGGTGTTGTGTTTCGTGAACAATATATAGATGAAGAGGGGAGCATAGCCCCAGACTTTTAAGCATTGATGTCGATGTTGGATGCCAAGGAAGCACGCTGGACAAGGTTCGGATGTTGTCTATGTTATTGGGAGTTTGGGAAAGTGCGCACTCGAGTTGCGGGTTGCCGCGATGGTCTCTTTCATCTACTATAGTCTCGTGGCGCATGAAGTTTCACATTATTGTCTCGATTGTTACTCCAGTCTCATTTAAGTCGATCTCATACTTGTCCTACATACATCCCAACTCTTTCAACTGTCCAATTTCCCGCAAATTTGGGCCAACTCCCCCGCTAAACAATCCAAAACCAATCTACAGAGGTGTGCACGTGAAAGGAACGTCGATGCATGACACTCAGTCTTAGTCCACGTTCCGGGGACTTGAAGTGGGTTAGAAAGGAGGAAAGTGATGCATACAGGAATAGAATATGATCGACTTACGTAAGGAGTGATTGAATGCCAGGTGTAGTCCATAGATCTGTCAGCTCTCGGCCTGCTCTTTGAGCCATCCATGCGTCCGAAGGGACCGATCCTGAACGGCTGAATGCTGGAATAGAGGCCCATCTGGCAGTTCCTGGTGAGGGGAGCTTTTCCCAGAGGGCTTGTTCCGTCTTGAGCTCATTCTCGTAGAGAGGGAAAGCTAGAGGAATAAACTGATACCATTCTTCATCCCAGACGTAGTGTGCCTTAGTATACTCCCAGTATTCCGGATACCATCCCGAGAAGGCCCAGTCTAAAATTGCAACTATCCTTCCGTTCTTCACCATGATGTTTCTTGGAGCGAGATCCGCATGGGCGAAGCATATCTTGTAGTTTGTTTGGTGTGTCGCTTCCATCTCGTTGCTTATTAGATGCCAGTCATCTCTATGGCAGTGTCCTCGTGCTAGTGAGTGAAATTCATCCAGGGGTAGAGGCCCGAAGAATCGAGAACCGATGCGACAGTCCATGGCAGGATTCTGGAAAGCCGAGCAGATTAAATTTGTGGGGGGACGAAGGGCCCTCAGAGTTGATATATGCTGCTTGAGCTCTGCGGCGATGTTTAAATTCTGATCTAAATTTAAGTGACCGTCTCTCCAGGCAACAGCTAGGGACTCGCCAGGAACATATTCCATCTCAATAAACAGCATCCCATTGTGTATATGGGTGCCATAGAGTTTAGGGATTGGAATATTTGTGTTGGCAGCTATGTATTGCATAGCCTCAACCTCGGGAGGGTAACACAAGGGGCCTTTTGCCACGCGGTGCCAGCTGAGCCTTTTTACGCGCAAATCGATAGGAGCAAAGAGTAGTTCACCAAGCCACAGCCGCCATCTAAATGGAATAAGGGAACTAATGGATAGCCCCATGTGGAATATGATTGGTTTAGAAATGGAAACAAAGAGTTGGGTGAGAATCAATCGTGTAGTATTGATGGGGGGATGATGATGAATGATATGGGAACGTGTTCAATGGGCCGGAGGAATTTATGTCCGTTCCCCACTTCGCTACTTTGCAGAGTGCTCTGAGATCAGGCGGTTCTTTTTTATTTGCTGGTACATCACAGGGAACATTGAAACTGTCAACGGGCGATTAAATAGCTATTAAAGCTCACAACGTGCATCATTGTTAAAACTCCAACTATTGTAGAACGATCCAGCTGAGGGGAGGGCAATTGACCTTGAGGTTGATCTTTACAATCTGCTTTTCGAATAACTTGATTTCAACACCACCTCTCGTCAATTCGGTGGGTCAAAAATGGGCGTTGGTGACCTTTAAGATTTCAGATGAGGCATACCGTTTGGATACGGCTAGGGGCGCTCCGCAATTCCGCCGGACAGTTGGTGTGTTGTTGGTGGCCTCGACCGTGAGGGTCTTCTATTTTAGAACCATGTAACATTGTAACATGCTGTTGGTTCTCGTAGTCAGGTGCAGCGAATCTAATGCAACATTGTAAATAAGCCCCAAAAAGAGAACTTCACGCCACGAATGATACAACGCGGCTAGCGGAATAATTGATTCATTACCGCCCTAGTTTTCCTGCCCACAGGCAGCTGCAAATAGGCAGCATCAGTGCCATATCTAAGGCTAACAAAATAAGTCAGGCAAAGGAACCTATCGGCATGCAAAATGAGCATAAGGGGCAGGGTACTCCTTTTAGTCAGTGACTCATAGTTAGCTGGAGCAACCAAGTGGATATCCAGTCTCGATTGCAGAAACAGTGGGTAGGTGGGCGCCAGAACGGCCAATCTTCTAGATAATACGGTAGGAAAGACGGGGCATTATTACAGGCTGGGATGGATGTCACCAACACACGGCAGCAGGGTTGCTTGAGTAAGTGGCCATGTTGCCAAGCCACTGAAACATCCCTGGAGGACAGGTGGGCCATGCGAACCAGACCAGAACCACCCACCAACATACGGATACGCTGCTGGGTGTTGGCCGCGGTTTGGTGCTTCCTACAAACTGATCTAAATTTGTTGACGAACTAGACCCCAATGTTACGATAAATTAGTATATGATAAGTGGATTTTGGCTTACTGCCAGGTGGGTGCTATGAAGTCTTCGAGCTTGGAAGAACAGGTATAAAGTGCGTTGCGGCGTCTTCCAAACTCTGGATTCAACATCCAAAAACAAAACTTCAGCAAAAGAAAAAAAAAAGTCACCCAGAGCCGGTCTCTGCCTATTTTTTCCCTTTCGTCATTACAGCTGGCCTGTTATTTTCTTCTCACTTCTCTTTACAACAACCCCTTGAGAACTTTTCTTTTACATCTACCCCGGAAGGCTCTACCTTTTTTTGTCTTCGGCCAATATGGTTTCTTTCAAGAATTTTTCTTTGGCTATTGCCATTGTACTTGGGTTTTCCGAGAATTCTGCATGCATTCCGCTACCTGCCGCTGCTATCACCTGCGCCAAGAGTGTTACCAATGCTGGCAGTCGGAACTGTGTTCACAGAAGCAAGCTGGAGTCATCAGGGGGAGTGGATGTAGTACCCGGGTTTCACAACCGTGGGCTCAATTTGCATGCAGATGAAGACTACATCAGTGCATTTTTGCGCCGACGTGGACCCACCAAGCCACCTGCAAGTCCATCCAAGAAATCGCCAAGCCCCTCCAAGAAACCAGTTGCAAGTCCACCCAAGAAACTAGCTGCAGGTCCACCCAAGAAATCACCAAGCTCCCCCAAGAAACCAGTTGCAAGTCCACCCAAGAAACCAGCTGCAGGTCCACCCAAGAAATCACCAAGCTCCCCCAAGAAACCAGCTGCAAGTTCACCTCAGAAGGCAGGCAAAGTGTGCAGGAGAGATGGCTGCAGTACCCAGGAAATCCACGTGGCCTTATACTCTCAAGGCGCAGGGAACAGAGTGAACCCTACAACTGGCCATGGAAGGTATCATTGGGGTTATCTTGTTGGATCCAGAGACGGGAAAGCCGCCGTGTACCACGCTACCGATCGGAATGAGCTTAACACTAAGACATGGCGGATGGAAAATCCCTCAGGCGGTTGGTGGTTTGAAGCCTTGGCGGAAGTTAACCCATGGCATAGCGAGAAGCTTCTTGGGCGTATTGCTATTGGGTCAGTTCCAGCTGGAGTCACGGCCGACGAGATTAAAGCTCTATTCGAGGGAGTCCCACTGCCAGTTATCGGCGGAGTGGTTCAGGAGAGTTGTCGGACCTGGGTTTTTAATGCTATGAAGGTGCTCCAACAGAAAGGCTGGGTCTCGGCAAAGATTGACACGAAATCTTTTGAAGAATGGGGATTGTCTTACGCCGATGCAAGGACAAAGTCGCAGAGACAGCCTATCGAGACATATCCAAGCCAATAAGACTCGGAAACCCTAAATTTCATAAAGGATCTTGGAACCTATAGTTCAAATAAGAATTTTTACTAGCTTAAACCTCCCATGAAATTTCACTTAAGATGAAGTTAGCTTTTTAAAGTGCTCGACCGTAATGATACTTACTGGAGTTCGCCAATGCAGTCTGCAAGGCAGGTAATAGCCTACCTATCTTAAACAGATAATAGACTGCCCTTTAAATAAGCATTTCTTAGCTTCCTTCTTAGTAAAGTAGGTTATTGAAGTACAGAAAATAAGAAGAATTAGATAGATTGGTTCTATATATATTATAAAGTAGAATCTTACTTTGAACTCTTAAAACTTATAAAGTATCTTATTAATTAAAAATTAATAAAAGAAATATCCAAGATAATTTGAAAAGCTCCAGATTATAATGAAGCACTTTACCATACACCATTCAGCACGGCTTTGGGAATATAGGGCTCTTCTAGGTACAACATGTCCCCGTCATCCAGGACGCCGTCCTTGAGTAGTTTCACGGCTTCTATAGCCTCATCAACCCTCTCGATGCTGGTGAATCCAACAATTGGATTGACTCCCTGCTTCAACGACCAGACCAGGCTGACTTGCGCCATCGTGCAGTCATGTTTCTGGGCCAGCTCCTCCACACGACGGATAGTCGAAATATCTTCTTCCGTGGTAGGACCTATAAGAATTTGTGCGTAGTAATCCGTCTTCTCGCGTTCCGTCTTGCCTGCATCAGGGTTGAATGGTCTTGCCAAGAGGCCGCGGGCCAGAGGAGACCAAGGGATAATGCCGATTCCGGCATCGCGGCAGTAAGGATGCATCTCGCGCTCTTCCTCGCGGTGTAACAGACTGTGGTAATCCTGCATGCTAATAAACTTGTGCCAGCCATTCTTCTCGGCAACATTGTTTAGGGCTTGGAACTCCCAGGCGTGCATCTACTTCAAGGTTAGGTCTCCTCTGAAAGAGGGGGGAGTGAGGGAATCTTACCGAGCTTGCGCCAATGTAGCGCACCTTTCCGCTTTCAATAACATCATTTAGAGCTTTCATTATCTCCTCACGTGGGGTTTCCCGGTCAAGACGATGAATCTGGAGAATATCCAAGTACGTCCCTAGACGCTCCACACTCGCATCTACCGCATCGAAGATGTGCTTCCGAGATAGTCCGATGCGATTTACCATTCGCCCGTTATTGGCTGTCATCTGAACGAGTCGTTCCTGTTCCGAAAGATCATCAAACTCCCCTTCATGTGGAGTACCGCCATAACATTTGGATAAAATGACGACTCGTTCACGAGGGATTTTGTACGCCTTGAGCGCTTGCCCGACTATGCGTTCCGAGTCGCCGTACGAATAGACATCAGCCTATCTTCAATCAGCCCGTGAAACTTATGAAACCCGTGATGAAGTAAAGCAACACACCGTATCCCATGTGTTGATGCCTCGATCGAATGCGTGCTTGAGGATGGGCAAGGCTTGCTCTGCATCAATTGTCCAAGGCATCTGGTCATTTGGACGACCGAGCGACATGGTGCCAAAAACGATTTTGGAAATCTTGAGTCCAGATTTCCCAAGTCTGGTTTTTTTAGCCTACTTTAGGATCATTATTAGGTATATGATGAGTGCCCTACCTTGAATATTCCATTGTGACAGTAGCACTCGTGGCGATTGGCTCTAAGTTGTAGTTAGTCAAAATCAAGAGAAGATCACTTGAGAGAGATGGTTAGAAAACACGTTGCAGCGAGCACAGATCCATCCATGACTTTTATAGAAATTTAGCCATAGAGCATGTCTCGTCTCTCGGTGAGGACTGATATCAAGAGTGTAGCATATCAAGAGCATAGCATTCCTGCTAGGCAAGGATCTGCGTCTTGATCGAGTATGGATGTGGGGCTAGGTTGAGCTGAGCTTCAAATGAGCCTCATGATTGGCTGAAGTCCATTCTATAATAAGACGGTGACGACTTGTTCCGACAACTCCGAACTGATGTGTTGAGCATCTCACAGATGAGGGGCACATATGGACAAGGATCATTGTGGAACTATTGACTGATGCGTTGAGCATCATCGATACCGCATACATGTTTGACCCCCGCAAGTTTACTCACTGATGTGTTGAGCATTCAATCGCATTTTCCAAATCCACCACGTTGGGTCCACGCCGACAAACATCAAGCGACATGGTCTCTACCAAGCCAATTTCGGAGCGGAGAAGGCAGCAGAATCTGCGAGCGCAAAAGAATTACAGTGCGTAGGCCATGCATGGCGGTGCTTTCGGAGCTTACCAGATACAGGAGAGAAACAGAAACGACGCCTGGAGGTTCTCGAGGAACTCTTGTCCGCTGGGGCTGGACCCGTTGATCCCGATCAAGCCACAGGGTCGACTTGTGCAACATCAGACACCTCACAGTCTCAGAGCACCCCGCAGCAGCCCACTCGAGGGACAACTGATCATGAACCGTCACCTCCCACTAACATCGGCATTGACGATGCCGACGCTATGAAAATATTGGCTGCCACGATAGCACCCGAAAAATTGGAGTGGGTGAAGACACGGATGGACGAGTCCAACATCACCATTCAAGACATCATCAAAGCCGGACTGGATGTGCTCCAGCAGCACGTACCAGGGACCACGGCCCATGGGGTGCGCACGGATAGGATACTGGTACCAAAGAACGGCATGCGTGCGTATTCCCTGTCAGTCCCAGATGTGTACGTCAATCACCTCCACGTGAAGCTGTTTTCTACAGTGGCCGCTCTCCGTGCCAATGCCGAGGCCCTGGACATCAACTTTGACGACTTGATCATTGATGACACCATCTCTCCGTTCTACGCTGCATCTGCGACTCCGGATCTCACCGAGGCGGTTGTACGGACAAAGTTCCACCACTTGACGGCCGACTTGCAGCCAACTATATCGCAGGTCCGGCATGCTCATCACCCTTACATCGACCTGATTCCATCCCGGACATTCCGACAGCGTGTGATACAAGCCATCTCTGTTGAGCCACCAATGATTGACGAAGACGACTTGTGCAAGGACATTGAGCACGATGGCCTCATCTGTTGGGGATCCCAGGTGAGGTCACGCGAGGGCTCGCCCGTTGGATCCGGAGCACCATGGGATATTAAAAGCTGGGAGGCGCAGACATGGTTTATGAAGAAGTGGTGGTTTCTCATCGGTGGAAAGGATGGTGAGCTATTCAAGCAGAGTCAGTGGTGGCATGCGCTTCGTGGGGATAAGCTAGGTGGAGAGTTCTTCTAAGCTGAAGCACAACTAGACTTGGGCGTAGAGTCCTTGGGCTCTTTACTTTTTAAGACCTGGTAAATAGATCTAGACGTTCTTCGCGTAGACGGATAGTAGTCTAGATATATGCTGCCCTTTCTTATGCCTTACTTCTGAAATTCACTCAAGACTTTGAATTATCATTGATAGCATCATTGATTATTGATTACCTAGTCCCCCATCCATGCGGTGAATCAACTTGGACCATGCCATGGACCATTAGAGTCGAGCGTTGCAAACTTCTCACAGACAGATCCCAGCCCCTCTGCAAATGGCCAAGCCCAAGAAGGTCAAAATCGCCAGCCTGCTCCGTTCCCAGTACTGTGGCATGTCAGAATCAAAATTGGCCAGTTTAATGACGTGCACAGTGCTTACTTGCTAGATCAAGCACTTCTGCGTCCTCCTCGATCACCCTAACCTTCGTATTATGTTCCCCATTTAGGAGTAGCATGTGTGGTATTGACGGAGGCAGGAATTGTAAGTTTCCTGTCCATTTTGGTAAGTCCATCACACTCGGGGCTTTGCCTTAGGCCAGCGTAAAGTTAGGGGACATTGACCAAGTAAATCATCGGACTCTTGTGAGCACCTCTTGCCAATTAGGTGGGGCTAAGAGAGTTACGTTGACCGCATGACTGACTGCGTTACGGGATGCGAAGAGATGTGTAATTTCTGCATCGGCTATCGGCAAGAGGCTGTTTATGGCGCTGGCGATGTATCCAACGTATCATCGGTATATCAAGATCAAAGAATGACCTCAATCCAAACTAGGCTCCCAAGCTACCTTTTATATTATAACCTAGATGCCATCACTCACGATACTTATTTTAGCTTTTATTGAGCGACCTTTCGCATACGAACAGATAAGGGATGCAAAGTACAGTGTCATCAATTTAGGGGAAAGACCTGTGACTTTTATCCAGGCTCTAGAAAGCAACGCTCTTTGCTGGTAGCTTCCTTCTGAGACTGAAATACGACGGGCAATGGTTGGAAAGATTATAAAATTAATAATACGATACATCTTTTAGTATTGTAGTTGCAGTATTCTCAAATTATGGGTTGCAAATGGGCAATCAAAAATTGCACACCTAGTAAAACCCTCGCTTTCCTATCCAAAGTACAAAGAATGAGTATTAATTACGGGGGAGTAAATAATATTTTAATATTACTGGGATTTGGATCATCAGACAGGCCGTATATATTGCTGATTTCTTAAACTAGGAAGACTAAGAACAAGCTGTGGTGGTACTCTAGTATACTATATTTCCTCTCACCTCTCTCAACTGGTTTAGTATTTACATACCTTAGGTTATATGAAGACGTTTTATTATACATATTCATTATTGTTATTGCTTTTGTAGAGGTCATACTAGGTACAGTAATATTTGATATCTTTAATAAAGTTTGGGTAGAGCTATAGGGTAGGTTATTCCACTCACGTGGATTATCATGTGACTCGCTCCAATCGAACAAATGTACCCAGGAATTCCGTTCCATCACATGGGGCACAGATTGGCCTTGGTAAAATAGTGCCAAGCCTCATTATAAAAGCAGTCTTGGAGCACCACACCGCAGATCAACCCGGGGGACAACTCCGCCCAACTCCGGCTCAGACTGTACCACCATCTCTCCTTATCTACTGAAAAAGCAAGTTTGGTGTGAGTGATTTGGTAACAGGTACTGGCGGGGATCCCTGCACGCCCGAATAAGTTCAGGACCTGCAGATGGGATGATTAGCTGAAAAGAAGCATGTCACTGGCCTTCCGTGCCAAATTGGATCCCCCTGTCCATCCATTCTACCAACACGCCGGTTAGTCCCAATTGCCGGCATTTAGCCTGCAGCTTTTTGATCAACATCATCTAAACCCAACACTGGGCATATTCGGCATTCAGGTGGAGACAGGCATTGAACTAACAAGCCGGAGCCAACAGCCGGAGCTAATGCAATGGCAAGGGGTTGGAAGATGTTGAACTCTGTTGCTGTGTGCCGCCAGAATGTGCCCAAGCTCAGGAGAGTCCGACAAAATTCGGTCACTGGAACGTCAAGCTTGGGGCATACGAAAAAGGGCCCTGTTGGCTGTGTTGCTTCTCAAGGGAACATGTCGAGGCTGTCACATGAAGCATTAGCGGATGCACCGGGGGCGTGGCATTGCTAATAAAGCAGCCAACGTGGAGACCTCGGCGCGGAAGTGAAAGTGTCACTCCCGGCTAGTGAGTTTGTCTGCCAGATTGGGACGGGGAAATGACTACATACGGCATGGTTTGGCATCAATCATCGGCCACGGCTGTCTCAGTTGGCGCAGACTAGAGTCAAGAAACAACAGTCGTTCCCGAGTCTGTCATGTCTTCGGGGAATCGAACAATCGTCTCGTATCTGTGCTGGCTTGCACCCAACTTGCCAGCATCATCCCCTGACTCGACATGTCCGATCATTCGCGAGTCATCTAGATGCGCATGCATGGTTGCAGTTCCTACCCAGCTTGATGGGATCGGCCCTTTCCTGGATCGATAGGGACCGATCTGCACACATGGCTCACTCGGCTTGGGCATAAATTCCCCGCGTTGCCAGGTACCAACCTGAGCCAGTCGACGGTGCAAGTCTCTTGCCAAATTAACTGCCGAACATCATTCGTTGACGGTACGCTGTGGTGGAGAAGTTGGCATCCACCACAAGATATTGGCCCCTTCCGACCGTTACATGGCGGGTTTTGCTGTGGAGTCTTGACGGCAAGCGAACCTCACTCACCGAGGTCACCGCCAACCACATTCGCGCGGAATGTTAGGCTCCAACGCAAGGCGGAGCCCTCTGTTATGGAGTTGTGGATTCATCTCGTCTCCTTATGTCGTAGAAGGCTTGGGCAAGGAGGGAAGAGGGGACTAGACGACCCATGTCTCCAAGGGAGACGTAAATCATGCCATGCTCTTTAATAAATCTCAGACGCTCCCGCGAAGATCAAAGACCTCCCGTCTTCATGTCGATTTTCCCGGCCTCCACACAGGGACAAGGCAGATAGCCATGGCAATCGAAAATCGAGGCCCCGAGCTGCAGGCAGTGGGCATCACGCTCGTTTCCTTTGCAATCATTTCAACCCTTTTACGATGCTATGTGCGATTATTTATGGTAAAGAGCTTTGGATTTGATGACTGGTGCATGCTGTTTGCTCTTGTAAGTTATTCTTTGACTTTGAGTCTAATCCCTAAATCCAACTGACTGCAACCTAGATAAACTTCGGTCTATTTGTTGGATGTGCGTTGGTAGGCGTCGCCTTTGGCACTGGGCGACATCACAAAGATCTACAGCCCCACGACATAGAAATTGCGCTCAAAGTTTGTGAATCCCCATCTCCTCTTCTGCAAGAAATCTCCCTAACGGATGAGAAGTATTGGTGGCTATGCTATCTATGGTACTGCCTCTCAATGATGGCATCCAAATTATCCATTGGCAGCTTCCTGCTTCGCATCACCCTTCGACGAGTACACGTCTGGACGATCTATATCGTCATGGTTATTACCGTCCTTACTGGCGCCGTCTTCTTCTTCGTCACGCTCTTTCAGTGCAGCCCCGTTTGGTATTTCTGGGACAAGAATGTCTCGGGCACGTGTGTCGACCCCGAAGTCATCATGGCCCTCACATATCTCTACAGCGTCCTCAGCGTCATCTGTGACTTTACCTTTGCCTTCCTTCCTATGTTTATTATCTGGAAGCTCAACATGAACAAGAGAACCAAAATCGCCCTGTTCCCCATCATGGCCATGGGATGCGTGTTAGTAACTCCAGCAAGAGCTTAAAGAAGAGCGTATATTGACAGCCGCACAGAGCTAGCGCCGCCGTCCTCGTTCGATTCCCTTATATCAAAGATTTCAAGAACCCAGACTTCCTCTGTAAGCCTATCCGTGGTTTGAATTCTTTTCAAGGCTAACAGACAGAAGGGGCCACTCTGGACATCGCAATCTGGTCGACCACCGAGCAGGGCCTCGCCATCACAGCAGGAAGCCTCGCCACCCTTCGTCCCCTTCTACGAACAATCGGGAATTCGCTTGGGATCTCGTGGTCCGGCCCCACGGAAATCGTGGACCCAATCCAATCACCGCCTGCCACCATCGGCCAATTCTCGTCATCCAAGAGATCGCGCAGGGGCCCATTCAGCCTTACCACCTTCATGCGCGACGACGGCGTAGAGCTGCACTCCAACCCGGATGAACATAGTGATCATAACGGGAGTCAGCCTCCAATGTGGAAAGGGCCTGTGGCTTCGACGACGCATCGAAAGGATGAAGAGTGGTAATTAGTTTAATTTGAAGATTCGTTTCAAGTAATGAGCAGATTCGCATATTTCCAATCAAGCTTCTAAACGACCCTAATTCGCGTGGTATGTTCGATTTGGCAAGAATTCCTCAACCCATAGCTACAAAATGTCATATCACGAGTAGACTAGTAACACTGAGAACTAATAGATAAGGCTTCTGCTACTTCATTCTTTGTAGTTAGGCATCTTGGCTGCGACTAATGAGGCTGGCTTTCCATATGGAATGAAATACTCTAGTTACATATTTTTTGTATTTAGCCTATAATAAAGAGAAGAGAGCTGAAAGGTTTGTTTCCATCCTCCATAAAGAAAGGCATCAGCTGATCTTCTAATTAGGCAGGTGCTTTGGCTACTGTTCCATTGAAGGTTAAACTATTATGTTTGCATCCTTGTGTACTGAGGTTTTATTCTCCCCACATAACATATATGTCGCCTTTATACTCTTACTGAAAGATGCATCTCAAGAAGGCTTTCTCTGTCGGCGCGTGCATCCTCGGTGTCATCGAGGCCTCTCCTAGCCGCGCTCACGCCTTTACTAAGAGGCATGCCGCTAGCTCAGAGGAGTATGACTTTGTCATCGTTGGTGGTGGTACGGCCGGTCTGACTGTTGCCCACCGCGTTTCGGTCGCCTTTCCCAACAGTGAGTTTGTGAATGCCCGCTTTAAGATTATGGATCAGGGCCAGCGTGCTTACACCAGATGCCAGAGTCCGTGCTAGTCATCGAGTATGGCAAGATTGAGGGGACTGTTGGTTACTTCGACCCGCCCGAGGATGGCCGTGGTGCCAGCCGCCTCGTCATAAGCTCCCCTCCCGTTGCCAGTGTTAACAACCGCTCTGCTACCGTCATCCTAGGCATGACTGTTGGTGGGGGATCCACCGTCAATGGCCAGTTCTTGGATCGTGGCTCCAGGTACGACTATGACGAGTGGACTCGACTTGGAAGCCCCGAGTTTGATAACACCACTGACATTTGGGACTGGGAGAACTTTGGGCCCGTGTTCGGCAAGGTGAGTGATTTCCATTGGCTGTTCTCGTGCAGAAAAGCCCCTGTCAATGCATATCTTCTATTCTAAAGTTGATCTATTAGTCCTTATTCCTTACTGAGCCTAGCGACGAGCTTGTAGGAGAGTACGGCTACACTTGGGATGCCTCTTATTATACCGGCGACTCCATTCAAGCCTCTTTCCCTCCCTTCCAGTGGCCTGTCCAGCGTATGTGACTCCCCTCCCATATCGAATGCAGTCTCCCTGCCGTTGGAAATACCACAGACACTAACCCTTATGCTTAGGCGTAGGGTGGAAGGCGTACGAGGAGCTCGGTCTCGAGACCCCCGTTAGTTGCGATGATGGGAACAAGCATGGTATCTGCTGGGTTCCCTCGGCCCAGAACTCTGAAACCGTCGAGCGATCTCACGCCGGTGTTGGTCACTACACTAGGATCGCTGACTCCCTCCCCAACCTTGACCTCCTCGTCGAACACAAGGTCACGCGCCTCATCATCGACAAGGACAATAATGCACCACCTGTTGTCGAGTTCAGACCCGTTGCTGGCGGCGAGATTCAGACCATCCACCCTAAGCATGAAGTCATATTGTCGGCCGGTGCCATTCACACACCTCAGATTCTCCAGCGCAGCGGTGTAGCCTCTGCCGAGTACCTCGAGTCCGAAGGCATTGAACTCGTTGAGGACCTTCCTGGTGTTGGCCAGAATTTCCAGGATCACTGCGGCACCCCCCTATCCTGGTCTTATGACGAACCTTCCCCCAGGGAGGGCGACATCACCAACAACGCAACTTACGCTGCCGAGGCTGTCGCGCAGTTCCGTGAGCGCCCTGCCCGCGGTCCTTACACTATCGCCATGGGTAACAGTGCTGCCTACGTTGCCCTGCAGCACGTCACCCCCCAGTGGGAGCAGATCGTCGCCAATATCCGCGCCCAGATCGAGGACCGCTCCGCCCTCGGCCATCTCCCCGCCATGGCTGCCAAGTCTGTCCAGGAGGGCTACCTCGCGCAGCTCGAGATCATCGCCCAGGCTCTCGAGCACCCTGAGCACCCCATCCTTGAGATGCCCTTCCATACCGGCCCTGGAACCGCCTTCCTCCTCAAGCCTCTCAGCCGTGGCTCCGTCGTCCTGAACTCAACTGACCACGATGCCACCCCCATCGTCAACTACGACACCGGCGCTAACCCCATCGACCTCGAAATCATGGCCACCTACGTCGACTACTTCCGCCGTATCTACGCTACTGATACATGGCAGGAGCTCGGTGCTGTCGAGGTCGCGCCCGGCGCCAACGTAACTACTCACGACGCTCTTATTGAGTACGTCAAGGACAATGTCATCCAGTCACTCATGCACCCTTGCTGCACGGCTGCCATGCTTCCACGCGAGAAGGGCGGCGTGGTGGACTCGAGCCTCTCAGTCTACGGCATCTCCGGTCTGCGCGTTGCTGACTGCTCCATCATTCCCACCATTCCTGCTTCACATACTACCACCACGGCGTATGCCATTGGCGAGAAGGTTAGTAATCCTCTAACTACAATCTGGTTTTTTCCCAAGGAAGTCATGGTTGCTAACAAGCCCTCAGGCTGCCGAGATCATTATCAAGAAGTGGAAGAAACAAGTCTAATGGTTAAATGACATAGAATGATGTGACCTTTTTTACACATGGAAAGGAGGGAAGGGGCGTTGCTCGTCAGGTCTAATACCCATATGCTCAATATACCTTCCCCCTGAAACGATCCGGATATAAGCCTGCTTTCTTTTTTCAAATTGCGCAGTTTATCAATACATTCGAGGCTTGGTTGATCATGGCAGATTTCAGTTTTATATTATTCTCCTAGAATTCTCTCGAGGTATTTCAACCAATTCTCGCCCAGCACCTTTCTCATCTTATCTTCACTCCACCCCTTCCTCGCCATCGCGACAGCCAGTTGAGCCCGGTCGGCCAGCGGACCCAGAGGCTTCACAACCTTCTGACTCCCCCATGGAGTGAGCTGCCTGGCATACCCCTTGTCTTTGTTACACCATGCCATGAAGTCGCTCGGACGTCCGTGACCCTCGCTCGCGTCGGAGCCGATGCCCACGAGGTCCTCTCCCGCGAGGCCGATGACATAGTCGAGGGCATCTACATAGTCGTCGATGGTGCTGTCGTTGCCCTTTGCCATGTGCGGACCAAACTGGCTGAGGCCGATGAAACCACCCTTGGAGGCGATAAACTTGATCAGGCGGTCGTCCTTGTTCCGCGGATGCTCCTTCAGCCCTCCCGGGAGCACGTGCGAGAAGCACGGGGGCTTACCCTCAGGAGCATAGTTGATGACATCTTCACTGGTTTGAGGCCCAACATGGCTTAGATCGCAGACAATCCCGAGCTTGGCCATCTCGTCCACCACCTCTCTTCCGAATCCAGTCAGCCCGGAGTCCCTCAGCTCCGTGTACCCAGCGCCGCTGTAGTTTTGCGTGTTGTACGTCAGCTGCATCTTGCGGACGCCGAGGTCGCGGAAGACGCGCAGGTAGGACAGCTGGTCCTCGATGCCAGCCGTGTTTTGCCAGCTGAGCAATACGGCGGTGCGGCCGGACTCCTTGGCACGGCGGATGTCGGCGACAGTGTGCGCCTGCACGATCAGGTCCGAGTGCTCCTCGAACCACTCCTTCCACTGGACGACATTGGCAAGGCTGCCCCGGAGACCCTCCCAGAGCCCGCAGGTACAAGACACACCGGTGATGCCGCCGGCGTGCCAGGCCTCGAAGATTTCGCGGGAAAAGTTGGCTATGTTGAGGCCATCAAAGTGGATGGACGACTTGTAAATGTCCAAGGCCTCTGTCTCGGTTGGCATGCTGGGCTTAAGAGATGGTTGTGAGACTGGCGTCTGCAATATTGTCAATATTGTCCAAAAAAGAAAGAAAACCTGGATGATGATGTCGGAGTGAGAAATCGGGCTCACTGCGACAGGCTATCCCGCCATATTTCACTCACCACCCTTATATGATGATGGGAGAGATCACGACTCCCGACACTTTGTCACATCGGGCTATTTGAACCTAGACATCGGCCAACCACCCGACAAAACTTACCAAAGGAAGAAAAAGTAGCATTACTACGGCTTCCGACGTGTCGGGCTGGCTCCGACAAGTGCTTATATCGGTGGGGATGATTGGCCAGTGACTGGATTCGCCATCGCCCTAGTCGATTACGAACCGGTTCCCTGCCGAAACGTTTGAATCGACTATCATAGGCTACTGGGTTTAAAACGGACAGAAATTCGCCTTTCAAAATCGTTATCAGGCATTAGGTCCCAGGCCAGTCTTCTCGCTTCACCCGTCTGATTTGATCCAGGAAACTCCTCTAGATATCGCACTGAGAATCAAGCAAGATGGAGACAAACACCGACGTCGTTGTTGGCCGAGACCCGCCATCGAACCACAAGGATAGGGCTGTGATTATAGATGAAGCTGCGAGCTCGACTACAATGGAGCACAGCCATCGCCTCTCTCGAAAGAAGCGGATCCTAGGTATCATCTGGGACTCCTTTGACAAGCCTCCCGAGGAGCGAAAGTTTCTCGGCAAGATTGATTGGTGGATTCTGTCATACTGCTGTATCGCCTACTTTGTCAAGTACCTCGACCAGACCAATGTGAGTGATGATCCCAGCGTGGTAACCCTTGGGGAATGTTCTGACATAGGTTCTTTCCTCCAGGTTAGCAATGCATACGTTTCTGGGATGAAGGAAGACCTTAATATGACGGGCAACGACCTCAATCTGCTCCTCACATTTTGGAATATTGGCTATATCGTTGGCCAGCTCCCGTCTCAGATCATCATCACCAAGGTCCGTCCATCCGTGTGGCTCCCTTCGGCAGAGCTGGCCTGGGGTTTTCTTGTTGCTGGAATGGCCGGCGCCAAAGATGTCAAGACACTCTGCGTCCTGCGATTCTTCATTGGCCTGCTCGAAGCTACCGCGTACCCGGGAATCATGACCTTGCTTGGCAATTGGTATACGCCTAGGGAGCTGGGGAAGCGCGCGTGCATTTTCCAGGCTTCTTCGTCTGCGGCTCAGATGTTTTCAGGGTTGGTTCAATTCATCATTCTAATACGGTTGCCCTGATTGACTGACAAGATTGATAGATATCTACAAGCTGCTCTGTACGCCGGCATGGACGGACGCAACGGCCTCAGAGCGTGGCAGTGGCTGTTCATCTTTGGTACGTGTCTCTCCAATTGAGCGTTGGCCGTTGACTAACGAAAGAGATAGACTGCATCATCGGAATTCCCATTGCGATTTACGGATACTGGGCGATCCCGGACACGCCGCAATCGTCCAAGGCTGTGTGGCTCAAGGAGGAGGACAAGAAGATGGCCATTTCTCGAATGGAACAGGTTGGCCGGGCGCCCATGAAGAAGTTGACCTTGCCGATCTGGAAGCGCATCTTCTCAACATGGCCAGTCTATCTCTTCTGCTCCATCTTCATTTGCCACGTTCTGGGTATCCGCATTTACTCTTACTTCAACCTGTGGCTGAAGGACACAAAGCGCTGGTCTGTCGAGGAGATCAACCTCATACCGAGTGCTGGTTACGGGCTTCAAATCTGCTTCACCCTTACTTACGCATGGGTGTCGGATGCCATCCAGATGCGCTGGCCCTTGATAATTGTGGCATGCATCTTTGCAATGATTGGAACCATCATCTTGTCTGTGTGGCCGGCGGGAAACATCCCCGCCATGATGGTTGGCTGGCTACTGACGTTTGTCGAGACTGGAGCAGGCGCACTCATCATCACCTGGATCAACGAAGTTTTGTCGTACTCGGCAGAGCATCGAGCCATTGTCATTGGCATTGTCGAGACAGCTGCCTTCACGTTCCAGGCCTGGGTTCCGCTCTTGATCTACGACACTGGCAAGGCACCTCACTTTCCGATCGGATATGAGATGGCGACCATGTTCTTTGGTCTGGAAATTGTGCTGACGTTGGTTGGTTTGTACCTGGTGAACAAGTATCCTATGAAGCCGATGTCATCATGAAGGGCCACATTGGTTGGCTTATATAAGATATTACATGATATCAGTATTTTCCTTCTTTCAAGCCTTTTCAAACCTAGATCTAATAGCCTCGGGTAGTGATTTGTCCCTACTTATGAATTATATTTCCTCCAAGCAATGGAGTAGCTTTCTCTCCATCTCCTCAATTACTTCCTGGCTAGTCTTCTGACTCGCCATGATATAAAACACATTTCCCAGAACACGGCTGTGGACGCTCCACGCCTCGCCTTGTTTCAGTGCCGCTTGGTAATCAGTAGCCGCCCTACTCTTGTACCCACCCCCATCGGCATCGCGCATAGTAATGGCGAGCACGCTACCAAGAGCCCAGACGCCAGATACTTGATCTGTCCTCTTTGAGACCTTAGTTACAAAATCCCGAGACCAGACGGACCATACTTCTGGAGGAGCCGCACTGTCCTGGGATAGACCTGGAACAGCGCCTTCCTTCCAGTTGCTATTCCTGGCCCAGTTCCAGTCGCCTCTCGTATCCATAGTTTGCAGTTCGTCCAGAGTTTCCACAGCGACGTTGCATCCGATAGCATGGGCGGTGTAGCTATGCCCGTGGAGGAGAGCATCGCTTTTGTCATCGGATTCAAAGGTCTTGAAGATTGATTCCGATGCCAATGTCAGACAAAGAGGGAGAAGACCTCCGGTCAGAAGCTTGGCATGGACTGTGATATCCGGGTGAACACCCAGGAAAGACGACGGCGTGAATCGGCCTAGGCGGTACAAGCCAGTGAAGACCTCATCGTGGATGACGGGCAAGCCGGACCAGTCACTGTCACCAGTGGGTTGAACTTGAGCGTTGCCAATGAGGTGGGTAGATTTGCGTACTGCATTCACGAGTGCCCGCTGGAACAGGGGATCGCTATGAGAGGTGTCAGTGAGCCGACTGCATGGTGGGAGGATATCACTTACACAAAGATCATACCGCCGGCGCCGAGAATAACAGGTTCCATCATGAGACCACCGAATTTGCGGCCCTCTTTACCGAGCGTCTCGAGCACAAGCTGAACATGGGTCTCGTACCTTTCCAGCACCGCACTTTCCGACCTGGACGAGATATCAAACACGTGGGACAGAGACTCGAATTCTTCACCGTTTCCCAAGTGCTCACGAAGAGGCTCGGGGACATGGACGACCCATTTACCATCAGTGCAGTTGACAGTAGGATAGTCAAACCAGTAGCCCTTGCCCTGGTACCAGTCCACCTTCTCGTTGAACGTGCAAGGCTCGCTGGCGTCCATGGCGCCGATTGTGTCACCGTGGTAGCTCCCCTTGAGCCCGAGGATCTCAATCTTGTCCTTCACATCCCATCCGTACCTGTCACGGCTGGCGCGCAATGCCATCTTGATGGCGACCTCGCAGCCCGTACTTCCGTTGTCGGTGTAGAAGGCGCGCGTGAGCCGTGGGTTCTGCATGCCTCGCAACATATTCTCAGCTAGGGTAATGGCCGGCTCGTGAACTGCCTCGGCAAACATGACGTGTCCGTACCGACCGGCCGCGTAGGCGGCGGCCAGCGTCAACTGCGAGCTTGCATGACCTAAGCCTTGCGTCCACCACGAGGCGGATCCGTCAAAAGCAGGCTGGAAAAGTGGCTTATCGGATGATTCTACTGTGTCTTGAGACTTGTAGATCTGGAAGTAGTCTCCATGGGCAGAGTCAATAGTAGAGATGGAGCTAGGAGATAGAAGCTTTTGCTGGGTGAAAGGGTACCATATGGTCTTGAACGCCCGCTCGCTCATTGATTCGAGCTGAGAGATACGATCTTGGGCGCGCTTGTCTAGACTTTCAACAACTTTACCGATTTTGTTGGAGGAGCCTGTGTGGCTGTAATAGGCAGCCAGAGCTTTAACATCCTCATCCTGGTCACTGTGCTGGGCAGGCGGTCCAGGGATTGCTGTGACAGGAATCTTGCCCTGGGTATCAAAGTACTCTTCCAAGTATCCATCGTTGTTATACTGATCATTCTGGAATAGCAGTACGCTTGCCACGTCATAGCCGCGAATCTTCAAGGACTCGTAGGAGGAAATGGTCTGAGAGATGCCCCCCAGCCTGGAATCACCAACCAAGACGACTGGACTCCGGAGAGGAGCATACAGCTCGGCCTGCGATGTGCCAGAAGGGCCCGGGGAGTGAACACCACCAGCAGTCTCCAGAAACAGCCAGCCAGGCCCTAGCTCAGCCTGCCGCGCGGCTGCTTCTTGAATCTTGCGCAGCAGGGCATGGTCGGACGGAATCGGCTATGTTTGTAAGCAATCAAGAGAACATGTATTGATTCAACTGCCGCAAAGATTCCACTCACTCTTCCTGACGCAATTGCGGCCGTGTGAGGGCTGCAGGGAATGTCATACTGATAAAGAACCTGGGTGCTGGTGGAGGGCGCGAATCTCTTGATGTGGCTGCAAGACGATGACTTGTGTTAACAATCTCTCTGAAACGCCAATTGAGATCTCAATCATCTAGATATCAATAAGTAGGAGCTCTTTTTATTTGATCGCGAGTGGTTCGAGTTTTACACACACTTGTCATCTGCTTCATCCCCTGGTCCAGTTGAGACAGGCTTCAGGTAGGCCACCCTCTCGGCACCACCGCGATGGTTAGACGCGGCATTACAGAGGAAGGTGGAGAAGATGGTCTTCCCTACGTCCGTGTTCGCGCCGTATATTTGGTGAACCCGCAGTCGTCGCCAGAGCAGAGACTCGATGGGCGCCATTGTTCACTGTCCGTGATCGGTGTGTGAAGGAAAGAAGACAAAAGAACAAGGAAAAAGCAGAGAAAGGAGAAGCTCCAAAGTAGCTTGCTTCTCTTTCGTTTGGCAAGAAGAAAAAGCCCTCAACATTCACATGTAACCCTGGCAGGGATCGTCCCTAGTGACATTCCCATCCGCTAACTCAGTTTTCCTCAAACCCCGCGTTCGGTCTGCTACTAAGCCGGTTATCGGCACCTGCCTGGATCTCGTCACTTTTAATTTCAGCTCGTTCCCTTGAATCCTCTCTCATATTCCTTTCTAGCAGTTTGTTGATAACCGGTCGCTCATGGACACCAAACCATCCCCCAGGCTGGAACAGGCTCTGGCCGCCAAGCTCGCCAAACGGGAGTCACAATCTCGACTGCGGCGGTTGACAATTAACCCTTCTCACAACATAGACTTTTCGTCCAATTCTTACCTGTCCCTGTCAGATGTCTCAGAACTGCGGAAATCCTTCCTCGGCCTTGTACAAGCAAACACTTTCCAACCATCTTCTGTAACTTCGTCCACTTTCCTCGGCTCCGGTGGCTCTCGTCTTCTGGATGGAAACTCAGCATGGGCCGAGTCAATTGAGCGTGATATTGCTACGTTTCATCGCGCACCCGCAGGGCTGCTCTTCAACTCCGGCTTTGATGCTCAGGTCGGGCTTCTGAGTTGCTTGCCACAGCCTGGCGACATCTTCATATATGATGAGCTCATCCATGCAAGTGTTCATGACGGGATGAGGCAGAGTCGTGCAGCTCAACGATTGCCATTCAGCCACAATCTGGTCCAAGCGACATCAGAATCGCCAGTCAATCCTAGATTGCTACCGAGCCTCGATGAAGCTCTTGGCAAAGTTCTTTTGGGCAATCATGGCCAGACCATCAAAGAAGGGAAGGCGTCGGTATTTGTGGTAGTGGAGAGTGTCTATAGCATGGATGGTGATGTCGCGCCGCTCCTAGATATTGTCAAGACAGTGAGGCAACGGTTACCGCATGGAAATGGGTACCTCATTGTGGATGAAGCGCATTCCACCGGCTTATTTGGCCACAATGGCCGAGGGTTGGTCTGCGAACTGGGTTTGGAAAAAGACGTGTTTGCCCGTGTTCACACCTTTGGCAAGGCACTTGGTGCATCAGGAGGTAAGAAACTCGCAACCTATCGCCCCTTGAATGTTATAGAGACCTGCGCTGACAACCACTGCAGCCATCGTCCTCTCTTCTCCTGTTGTACGCGAATATCTCATCAATTATGCCCGGACACTTATCTATACAACGGCCATGTCATTCCCCAACCTTGCCAGCATCCGGGTAGTATATGATTTCCTAGCCAGTGGCTCCTCCGACGTCCTTCTCCGGCGCCTCCGCACCCTCGTCCAACGAATGCACGGTCAGCTGCTGTCTATTTGCGTCGAGGGCAGAGTCTCGCCCACTCTGCTCCGTGTTAGGACAGAAGCACCAGCCACGCCCATCATCCCCCTGTTCACCTCCAAGCCCCGCAAACTGGCCCAGTATTGTGGCCAGAATGGTATTACGGTTCGTCCTATTGTACCGCCAACGGTGCCAAGGGGCACGGAGAGGGTCAGAATTTGCGTGCATGCGGGCAATACAGTTGAAGAGGTGGACCGGTTTGCCCGGGTGGTTAAAGACTGGGTGTCTTCTATAACGCGAGGCCAAACAGGAGACATGGAAAAAGCCAAACTATAAATGACGAGCTGATTGCGGTATTTTATCAATTGAAATCGTTATCAAGGAGTCGGCCTTCAGACCCTTCTGTGACCTACCTGCTCGCTCGCAAGTAAGCTGATGAAATATCATATAGACAATGAAGTCGGTCAATTGCCTCGACTATGTGTTGGAAAGGTTCAAGTGAGTCAATGAATTTTTCGAGTAAATCAAGTACATCGGGATTTTAAAACCGAAATGCGTAGCAGAAGATAATTCGGAGAGGATTGAGAGGAGTAGAAATCTAGGACAATGTTCATACGCTCCAGTTAATAGGACATTTTGCCTCACCAGCGAACATGGCTAGCCCGTGACTCCGAATTTACATTCACTACCGCCATCCACTCTCCATGGTAATGGAAAGCTACACGAGCCAGTTTGATATGACCCGAGCCTGATTTTATGATACCCATATCCTTGACATGGCTAAAATCCTTGCTTTGCGGATCGGCCTTTAATTAAGTATCGTCGTATACAAGGATAACGAGAAGCGAATACGTTCATCAAAGATTTGATTAGTTCAAACAGACATAAATCCTCAGTAAGATACAGTACAGTTCAAATATCCCCCTAGTCTGTCGATTGACACCCTTCTGTACTTAAGTTTGAAAATTACACAGACCAGGGGTGTTGATACGACTGTGCGGTGAGAATACGCCGCTGTCTCCGTAGCTCTCTGTGCGTTGTATTTAAGTCATTCCCAAAGAGGACTTGGGTATTAATAGTAATCAACTCCCTTTTATAGGGGATTTGCAGAATATAAATTATTGGATGATTCCCTATCTTTCCAAAGTTCATCTCTTTAACAACTGACGACCTCTTTGTCAAAACTTTGTAATTTGAGCATTCACGATGCGGCTGGTTGCTATTTTCTCTTTCCTTGCTCTCACCTCGGCCGTAGTCGCCACCGATCCTAGTACCGAACTTGATCAGCGTGACATTGATGAGATTAACTTTTCTGATGCCTACGCCGATGCCCTCGCCTACCACAAGCGGGAACTTTTTACGCGCGCAATAGCCAAGAACGTGAAGCACAAGGTAAGTCCATGGGAACTTTGTGGGATAAAAGTAGCGAGAGGGGTCAATATTAACGTCTTTATAGCGTCGCTGCAGCTCCGATGATGACTGCAACAAGGGCTGGCAATGCAAGCGTGGTTTCTGTAAATTAACCACAGTGACAATGGCGCTGCAAGCCATCATATTAGTAAAGATGAGATGATTAGGGGCTAAGGGTGGAAGAGGGGGGTGCGTTGTGTATAAAATTAATCTGCCGTGGCGCGGAGAGTAAATGAGCTTCCATGTCCATAGGTGTTCCAGCTATCGCTAATGGCTTAGAAACGTAACCTCTGAGTCCATGCACTTCAAGTTACTTCTGTAGGTTTTCAAGGGGCGCTGCACTTCATAGATGCGGTGAAAGAGAATTGGGTCTGGGAACTTAACCAATTCCTATACTGCCCGTCTCCATTGTCATATCAGTATATTCTATTCACATTTTTACCCTTGGTGTCCACATCCTAATCCTGCAATAGTGTCGGTATAAATCGAATAACTCGTACCTCAATGCGGTTCCTAATTGCACTGTAAATCGGCTTCCGTAGCCAGGCAATATGAGGCCCGTTGACGGCTCGTTCCCAGCTCTCGTTGCGAACTTGACCATCCCATCCCAGAACACGCTTATTCTGCCCCTCCTGCGAAAGAGAAAGGGTGCCAAAAACCCAGTCCCTAGCTTGGTTAACTGTGTAGTCTAGTTCTTCTGCTTTGGGGCCAAAAGTCTCCAGTACAAACGATAGGGTGCAATCTTCACCCAGAAGAGGCTCGCTGTCATCATCGGGGTATGGCCCAAAGTCATGCGGTGTGTTTGGCTGCACCACGCGAATCATTCTTTCTCGGCTGGCGAGGTCCTCGGCCGAATAGGTCGAGGGGTCATTCGTCCAGTTCCACCAGTCGCGGCGGTTCACCCTCACCGTCAGAGAGCGTATCCTGACGCCAATGAGACTATTCTCGACAAAGTCTTTGATAGATTGGCTGCCCGGGTGCTTCTCACTCGCCACGCGGCGCATGAGCTCCCGCGCGTGCCCCCTGGCGTGGTGAAGGCGGCGCAGCCACTGCTCTATGCCCCCGTTCTCGAGCCTCATCTGCTGGAATGTCATGTCCACGCCCCCGATCAAGAGAAGCTGCCATGCCTGTAGGTAGAAGAGCTGCTGGTTCGGGCACATGTCCGAGCCTGACCTACTCGGAGGGCGATCCTCGTCAGAGCCTTCGTGGATGACCAATGAGGTATTCAGCAGGGGCAGCGCCCAAGTCTCCGCGTACACAGCGCGGCATGTCCTCAACAGTGCCGTGTAGATGCGCCGGGGCCCGGTTAGACTGGGCCTCTTGAATAAACTCCCGTCCCTAAAGGTCCGGTCTTGGTCGCAGATAGTCTGTAGGGCCAAGTCGTAGATGCGCGCTCGGATCTCGGGGGAGAGACGGAACAGAGGGCTGTCTTTTTGAGGATTCTTCTCGTCTTCTTTGAAGGTTGCGGCCAAGGGCAGGTCGTCCTGTGTATCTGGAAGTGGCATAGGCGTCCAGTATGGAGGCCATACGACTTTGTCGGTTCCCCACATCTTGGCTTGAACTGCGCTCTGCTGTGTCCCGTACAAAGAATCAATAAAACGCGCAGTTGGGGATCTCGAACTATTATATAACAAATGGGCGGGTCCGTGAATGCTGGCTGCTGCCTGGCCACGAAGCATGTGCCGCACTGACGACCAGCATCAAAATTAAATTAAATGGCGGTCTGTTCTATATGCCATTATAGGCTTAGGGGATCAATGAAACCTACAAGTCAGCAAAGGAGTTATTTTTAAACAATCAAAGGAAGGACGATGTTCATAACAGCAATTCACTTGATTTCTATCTTTGAATTTTATATAGTAGTGTTAATTTCACGGCAAAGCGCTTAGTCTATGACCCCAACCGGCCTAAACTTATTAGTTGAAGGTGTGGAATTGTATAATACGATTTCCTGGCCAAGGAAATACATGAATTCTCTAGCTACTTAACCACCCAAGAACTGGAACTCATCATCACGAAGTACTCCAAGTGTTACTTCCTTCTCCTGGCCTCCTCTTCTTATAAACCCTCCCATACGGAAACGGAGGTGAGCCAGCTTTTGGTGCAGGACGTCCGGCTTCTCTAAATAAGCTTCCTCTGGTATGAACTTTTGATAGTTTGAGCCGAGGAGGAGAGAGTCCGCCATTATGATGCTCCCAAACTGATCAGGCGCCAGACCCCTCATCGACATATTAAGCAGCCACTTGCGCTTATTATCCAAGAACCGCCCTAACACACCTGATATCAACGCCCACAGGTTGATCAGAAACGCCAGAGAGAGGATAGCAATTATCACATAGGTGATGGGCGCACTCTGGTCAAGACGCCGGGTCGCCCCAAGGGATACCCTCGCATTAACAGCAGCCGCCTCGGGTCCTGCAAATTCAGAGTAGTCAAGTTGGTTTCTGTTGCGGTTATTTGCTAGCTGAGCGGCATATATGGCCCTCTTGGTGTGGAGCCCGTCGAGGACGTCATTCTCCTTGGCCGAGTCGCCAAAGTCATGCAGCTTCATCTTCCCAAAAGGCTCGATGAGCAGGCCGAACGCCCCGTAGTTGCCCCCCTGTTTCGTGTCCGTGCCGCCCAGCGTGGGCCACATATCATCGACCAGACTGGGCATGGCGAACTCCGTCTTGTTCCACGGTGTGAGGGTGGCGAGGTCGGGGCTCGGCGGCTTGTTCTGGTCAAACTGGAGAACCCCGCCGGCGTAGCTCATCCTCACCTTGGTGGAGACCTCGGCCCAGGTATAAGCACACTTAACGATAGCGTAGTAGTCCGGGGTGCTGTGGTTATACGGCACAGATCCCCATATGTGAGTCACGGTGCCATTCGCGACAGTGGCCGAGTCGCCCTTGCAGCTGCCGCCCTCCTGCGTGACAGCGAAGTAATACTTGCCTTCGACGTAGTTAGACGAGACGATTGAAACGCCTAGAGTGACTGATCCACCGCCTGTGCAAGTGTGCTTGTTGTTGATAGTCACATACACCGGCTCGTCTCTGTCGTCCTCAAGGGGCTTTATTGTGATGTCATTGCCCGATGAGATATTCTCGCACTCAGGTCTGAGCGTCACAGCCGGCGTGTCGAATTCGACAGTGGCGCTAGAGCTATCTAGACCTTGTAGGGCGTCGATGTCCAGTGTTGAGAAGAGGAGGCTGCCATATGTCCCCTTGGGCCACGTGAAGTTGGACCTGTCGTACGTGGTGATTAGACTCTGCATAGCTCCTTCGTATACAGGACCATACTCTGACCTGACCACACGATTGGAAAATGTGTCTTTTAGCGCAAACGTCATATCTTCCCACTCTGTGATTTCAATAGTAGTAAACAGGAGCGACGACAAAGCCGCCAGGAAGCCGGAGAGGATAGCAAGACCCTGCACTAATGTGACAACAGGCAACCGCAGTCTGAATGAGTGGTACAGGGCTCGCAACCCAAGCATATCGAGAAGACACATATCTAGTTCCGCGGCCTTGCAGGGTCGCGTATTGACGCAGAAGTGCAGAGAAAGTTTCCTAATTTCTGAGTCTGAGGAAGTTGTATAGAGTGTGATCAAAGTCATTGCAAGTGCCGGGATGGACGTCCACCAAATTGCCGGGGCACCCTGGCTGACTTTAGCCAAGCCATTTTGTGATTTCGATACCCAAAGCGTCACTGCCAGAGTCACGATAAGTGCCAGTGCGTACAGTACGAAGATCGAGCGGACCCATGTCCGCAGGGATGGCGGGGAATAGTCTGAATGCTGCCAAATATCCTTGCGGATGCCACTGGTCTCGAGTAGGTCCTCCTCGACGACTGTACTAAGCTTGCTCCTACTGCCGAAGAATAAGGCTGATCCCAAAATGGTAGTTGGGTTCCGGAACCAGATTCGGAACAGGGGGCTGAACCGCACCATCCCGACGCATGCAATAATGGAAGAAATGAAGAATAGGATAATAATGGGTACGCAGACACTCAACCGCACCTGAAGCTTGTAGATGCTCGTCTGCCTCGTCCCTACTACCTCGCTCTCATTCGTGTGCCGAAGCTGATAGCTCAGAATCAAAGGTCCACTCGTCTTGGTCATATTGTAAACAGCATCAGTCAGAATGCTGTTGCTGTACAAGGCCAGATCGGCCTGGTCAAACTCCGGGTAATCCGTCAACATATATGAGAAACCCAGGGGGCCAACCACAATATCAGAGCCACCCCCTGCCCTCTGTCCGCCGATGTTGGAGAGGATGTTCCAGGGATTGAGAACTAACGGGGTGTTCTCCTGGCCTGGCACGACCGCGACCTCGGGGTCCACACCATCATCAGTGACCTGCACCTTCGATATCCATCCGGTTGGTGAGCAGATGACACCAGCATGCGCCATAGTTTTGTAGTTTGTCTTATTTGCCTCGGATGGTTTCCAGTAAGCACCGAAATAGATGAAGGGGGGGAACTGCTGTGGCAGCGAGGAGCATATCGGACGGGGATGATCGGCCCAAGAGCCTAGTGTCTTGGAGAATGGGACTCCTGATGTAAAGTTGGTCTTGCCCTCGTCTTCCTTCTCTGTATACAGGGGCATAATGCCCCAGGTGGAGGTTCCTTTCTCCGTCTCAACGGCTCTCGAAGACATTACGACTTCATATTCAATGGATTGCTCACAGCCTTCGAATTCCAGGTCGAGGGTCGTGTAGGACTCGTTGTATTGCCCTGCCACTACCCAAGGTTTTGTAACCGAATAGTCAGCCAGGGGTATGCACTTGATATCCATGAATATGCCATCAACCACCGCAGTCACGGGTGCCTCGATCGTGCCTCGAGATTCTCCACCTTTCAAATTAAACGTCTGGTACGTCGCATTCTCCGACACGCCAAAGGGGCGGCTCATGCCGAATTTGCGAATACCAATCGCATGCTGTAGCCCGAATAAGGGTAAATCTCCCCGATCCTGCGCGTTGGTGGTGTCGAATGAATCCAGAGCCTGGGCTGCGACGGAATCAGAGCGGAACTGGCTGTCCAGGTAGAAGATACTCGGTCCGAGGACGACCTGAACCTTGAGGATGACGGATGTGAGAACAACGAAGAAGACGAAGATATGCCGCCCCTGCAGGGCGTTATACATGACCCTAGCGGGGATCATGGCGTTATAGTCGAGTGTGTACACATTATGCCTTGTGGGTGGTTCATTCTGGATGACGGCCCATGGGTAGTACCTCAAGGTCTGCAGCTCGACCCGGGTCCATAGTGTGGCCACCAGGGTGAAGACTAGAATCACCATGTCAGTCCTTGGAAATACAATACGCGCTGACGGGTAAGGTGCCACGCTTACTAGCAGTGGGGGCAAATTTCCATAAAATTTCAAGTTCTTTGCGACCTTCTACAAGGCCGGCGTTGCGTTGTGAAGTTATCAACAGGGCCATCAAAACCACGGCAAAGAAGAGATAGAGGAACGTGAAGGCACCCAGCGTCTCCTTCTTCAGCCAAAACGGCTGCCATGCCGCCGGATCTTCAGAGCGCAGGCCACCCTTGGTCGATTCCCTAGGATGATTGGCATGGGCATGCTTGTTCCCAACCTTGGCTGTGACGCTCTCGGCGATACCTTCCCGAGCGGCTTTATGATGTGTCTGGCTGGGATGCTTCTTTTGAATTGATTCATGCATCGAGCTCTGCAGCCGCGGCGACATAAGCTCCTCCTGGTCACCATGGCTCGAGAGGCTGGAGACGGACCTGAAAGACTCGGTCGGGCTTGGCACTCTTGTTGGAGTTTGTGCTGGGGCGTGCTCGTGCGCCCTCGGGGGCATATCGATCAAGTTGTAGGAAGCCATCTCCGCCCTACCGCAGCATGATGCGCGCAGTCAAAGGTGAATGGCAGAGGCCGATGATCACTCTGCAATTGAACAGCAGCAAATTTTCACGACATACATGCTGGAGCAGAGAAGATTTCAGTTGAGCAGGCTAGGTCTCACAAGACGATGGGGACCCAGCCGCCCTATTTCCCTACTTATTAATGCACTAAGTACTATTTTTGGGACTTTGGCCATCTCTAAGAGGCGAGGCTCAGGGCTGCGCGTGCTGACATGCAGTTTGGGGTCGGTTCGAAATGGCCTGACGGGGGCGGTCTTTGCCTATGCCAGTCGTATCCAGCAAAAATGATCCAGCGGATGATGATCCATTGCTTCTCATTCCACTTGTTGTTATGTATTTACTACGCCGTTTATTCTGATTAAATAGGATCGTTGAGATGAAGCAGAGCCCTACCGGCACATCCGGGTAAGCAAGGAGGCGCGCAAGGGCCATCCACCCTAACAAGGCCTGAAACGTATTTTGAGAACTTTGGTTAACAGTAAAACTAAGGGGTAACGGCTCGGCGTTTAGATACTGTTAGCTTATCCTCCTGCTAGTCTCTTGGCCGCCAATCAGAGCGCTTATAATGCACAAACCCCGGCCATGGCTTACCTGTTGTAGATATCAGAGAGGAATATCCCATCTCTTTGACTGCGCACTGCCTGGTGGGGACGTTGAAGCAGGGACATGCAGCTAATTAGGCGTTGGCTGATCAAGAGGATATAGGAAGGCATCAATTCAAGGTGAGCTGTTCTTGACAGAATAAATGATAGAAACAGAAGACTTTGATGAACTCTTTGACTCTGCTTGCCGAGGATAAGACATAGTATATGGTAGCGGTACCTCGTTTGTTCTCTCTAGATCCAAAGATCTTTCACTATGTTGGCCAAAGCTAATACGAATAGAAACGGACTTCAAAACCGAGATTGAGCTTTTTTATTCTATCACCGATTTGGCGACGGACAATTCCACTTCTATCGTCAAGGATGGCAACACTCCGCAGTCGTGACAATCTTGCAGGGCGATCATGAGCCACAGCTTCTAGAAGAGGAAGAATATCGTCCAATTCGAAATCGTCGCCATCATCCCAACCGCCACGACACCATTCCATGTTTAAGGCAGTGCCAGAGAGAGTAAGAACCTCAACGCTGTCGGGAACAAAGTCTGCTAAAGCAAGAGGCGTTGAGTCGGTTTCCGAGCGTGGTGTGAGCGGGACCTCCAGGTGAGTAAGTCTTGTAAACTCACGAAGATGGCGGAAATTTCCCTGGACAGGCATCCACAGACTGTCCATTAACTCGCCTTCTTTCCCAAGATTCATTGTATACCCAAATGACTTGATAGTATCTTTCAGAGGCTGGAGCGTTTCAGTGATCTTATCAAAGTCCATGATATTAGTCTCCCAAGCGTGTGGTGGGTCATGATGTTCCCAGCTCCATTCCAGAGATTCCAAGTTCCGGGCAACAGCAAGTATCTTGGCCAAAAATCGCTCACATAGCCATCCAATCTTAAGCGATGTAAGGTGGCCGAGGTTGGGCTCGCCTGTAGCTACAGGCCACTGGAAAGTTTTAGGATTTGTCATTATAACTTCCAAGTGTGTGACTGTCGGCAGGTAGAAGAGACTAATAGTTTCTCCGAATACTCTGTTATTTTCTGTATGAGCGATATCGCGTCTCTTGAGGTATTTTAACTGTTTAAGCCGCTCAAATTGAGGGAGCTGACGAGAGAAGATTTTGGCTTGCATGACCTTGCCAATCAACGGTTGCCCATTTATCCAAGGGGTTGTGATCGTGAGATGAGTTGTTCTAGAAAGATGTGCAATCAAGAGAGCGGCAAGCGCGTAGATGCATGTCTCAACTGATCTTAACTTCTCAACCCACATGTCGGAAAATGATGTGTTGGCTTTTCTAATGGCAGCCTCAAACTCGTCGACTGGGACGTTGTATGTGTCCATTGGGGGCACGGCAGCGCTCTGTCGCATCATCCCTCCTAATGATACGACATCCAGGTGTTTAAAAAGTTCTGGCCGTCGTAGGAGAGTCGCGAGGAGAGGGGCGATTGGGGGGAATTTTTTGAAATTCCATTTGAGCGAAATAGTCGAGTAGAGAAAGGGCTCAGCACAGCGTCTTAGTGATTTACTCACGAGGCAAACATTAGGGAGGCTAGATCTCGGTAAGTGTTTTATGACCTCAACAATGACCTCGCTGGGAGCGCCCGAAAATGAGGCCATGATAGAAAGCAAGTAACGGCCGTGCGCTTGTCGAGCGCATGTAGAGCCTATGGGTGTTGGTGAGATGAGGGGTCAGCATTTGGAATAATCTTGGCCATCTCCACCCTCTCTCACATCTCCGCAATAATTATCCCTCGCCGTTTTCCCCTCACCGTCTTTTATATCCGTCCTTGCCCCCCTTGATTTGAAAGTGAGCCGGCAAAGGATGCCAATAGCTGCTGCCTTGGTAATCTCCAACAAGTAATAAACTGGGGGTGTTGCGCGTCCCGCTGCTTTCTTTTGGAATATCTTTCTAGGCGCAAAATGATATTGGCTAGCTACATAATCAGCTGCAGTCTAAAACCAGGGCTAAGCAGGGCCTATGAGCTCAATAAAATAAAAATTCAAACTAATTCCTGCTACACTAAACGCTCAGGCTATGGAATTATATATAGCACAGTATACCTAAAATACTACATGACTTCCACGACATGATCCTGCAGCTGCTTTACAGCATCTAGACACTCCTCTTTAGAACTGCGGTCAATAGTCCACCGACCACGGCGAATGAAACGTCCGTCTTCAAGACGTGACAGCATGATACCCTGTATATAATACTTGAGCGGTAGGTTGACGTTTGCCGGCCCGGAAAATATGTTGACAGTTACCGGTAGGCAAAGTACCTCTTCTCTCATATCTTCCTCAGTATCAAAGAACCCGCTCCACGTCATATTGGGACGTACTCTTTCCATTGGCGCTTGCAGTGGAAAGTCGTAGTTGGTCAAACTTAGGATCCTGGCTTCAGTACAAGGTCCGCTCCTGAGAGGGGAGGGGGCCAGTCTTCCCATGAAAAGCTTCCCCTTGAGCAACAGGCTAGCTGTTTTAAGCATTCCTGCCTTATCCCAAGCGCGAGCGATGTCAACAAGCTCACAAATAATGATCCTCCTCCATGAGGTTGTTTCCATTGCATCGCGGATAGTTACCGACCCCATTGAAGCCCAGCTCCAAGTCGGAATATGAACTGCTGTTGACCGCCTTTTGGAGTATCCAAGTGCTAACCATGGAAGAGTCATGGGGATCAGTGATCTCCACATCCCGAAAAGATATTCAGTATCCGCACAACCCTCCTTGAGTAATAGGTCCGTTATTTCGCTGACCAAATTCTCAAGTAAGGGTAGCTTCTCTTCCCTTAATACCTGTAAGCGCGAGTAGTGTTCAACGAAGCACAGCCAGCGATAATGTATCTGGTCGATGGGGTTGTCATGCTTCTGGATATAAAGAACTTTGATCAACGGCTTCCACAGCTTGCTGACAGACTTCCCATCGCATGTTATCTCTCCCTCTGTCCCAACATCACAGCAGTAGTTCTCGTCCTTGGTGATAGGACCAAACTCATCGCATTGCATTCCATGGCACTCCCAGTACACCACTTGGCTCGTAAAGTGTAACATCCGTGGTACTAAGAGACGGTCGTGTATGGCTCGGGCACTTTGGTGCAGTGGTTCCTGTTCGAACGACTTGATGTCTCCCTTGTCCCTTTCAGCACAAACAAACTTAAAATGGGCCAGAGTGCTGTTTGAATCGATAGGGAATTCGAACGTAGATGGCCTCAGCAGGTCCGGGTCACGATTGACAAATAGCCCAGAGGAAGGGGACATGGACCACGCTGCACTGATCCCGCAAAAGCTGTTGGATAAGATCTTTCGCCTCATCATCTTATTCGCATACATGGATAGATCAGTTTGGTCATCTTGTAAAAGGCAGAGGTGGTCAATCCATAGATGTTTAAGCCCAAGTTGTAAAATTACGGTGAAGGCATCGCGGTATGTTTGAGGCAGGGCGGAAAGTGACTGCTGAAATAAGAGGCTTTCTCTGACTAATGAAGAGAGCTTCAGGCTATCATTGTTGTATGAATAGCAGTGCGTAAGGGTAACATAGCGAGTACCAGTGTCAACTTCTGTTGCATCAACTAGACGGAAAGACGAAGAAGTTTCGCTAAGGCGAAGAAGATACGGAGGTGTAAAGTCCTTGTCTTTATTTGTATTACAGTCGTTATGAGACTGGAGACAAGTGGCTAGCCAGTCACGAACTAGAGTCCAGGTGGCGTTGCCGCCAGTATTTGGACTCAAATCAATGGTTGGATTTCGAGCAGGCCCTAAATCCGCGTCAATATTTCTGAACAAGTCTAGTCAACGATGGTGTCTTGAACTCACGTAACTTCTCTTGTAGCATATATCTATCAACTGTCGTGAAAATTATTGTAATCCCGCTAAAGTAGTCGAGTTCGATGATGGAGTAGTATTTTATTCCAAATTCAGCAAACTTAGGATTCTGTCCCTCTTGCTGTGTCCATTGAAAACGGGAGCAAACTACACAGCCATCAAGGGCAGATTTCTTGAAGGATTCCTGCGTGATGTGGTGCCCAAAAACATAGTTCTCGGGGTGGTTGGGATCTTCCGGTTTGGTTCGATTGGGGAGGACAATATCCCCCTGGCGGAAACCTTCCAGGCAGCATACCCGCTGTGTTTTGGCAGGGTCCCAGATGCCCTGGAGAACCTCAGAGCACACTTCACAGAGCATGACTTCGTCGTGTTGTGGCCAAGAAAGGAGTAATTTGAAAAGAAATGTGAGGCGTGCCCGGCAGCATGGGATAAAGTTGAAGCTGAATGATAACTTTTTGGGGAGCTATGGTGTTGAGACAAAATATATTAGTGAGAGAGAGTTTGAGTATGGAGTAATAACCAGCAATGGAAGAAGCCAGACCCGACATCTCAACACAACAAGCTCTGCTAGCCGCCCAAGGCTGCAGCCAACAGACAAAAATATACCTGTTGGTAATAGGAGTGGGGTATCGCGTGTTCCTGGTTGGCTATCAGCTGAAACAATATATGCAGTGTGTCAGCCAATGTATTACCAACAACAGGCTGTCTTACCAACATCCAGGGTTAGCCATGTTAATCTTAAAATGTCGGAAGGTCCCGGCGAGAGACAACACGGGAATATGGAGCATTTTCTCGTGAGGCAATAATACATACTTACCAAAACACTACCTGGGGCACTCATGTGTAACCCTTTTTCTGTATTATGTTAGATTGTTATCTACCCCAGCCTATTTTAATAATACTGCTATGGGGCGGACCGGAATTTCCTGGGTGCGTCTTATTGATAATCACAGTACTACCTTACTTCTAGATCCAGATCCGTAAAGCAGGAATAAAGAGAGGAAGCATATGTTGGTAGGGGTTCCTACGCCGACAAGAAGTGGTGATAATTCTGCTGTTGTTCACATCCTATCAATACCACTTTTTATGTATCCTGGATTTCTTAGTGGGGTTTAGAAAACCAGTTGGCTATAAAGTCTAAAGATGAGCACCTGAGTATTATCTCTTTTATCTCCTCCGTAACGAGATACTAGATATCATGGCCTGCAGACCGCCCAAGAAAATAGCCTAGCAGAATATGAAGAAACTGCATAAAGTCGCTAGCTAAACACGCATATCATAGCTACCATTTTCATAATGGGCTGTAATCTCCATACCAGCTCGAAGTATTTAGGCACGGAAACAGGTGAGAATTAATAGCCTTCAACTTTGACAAATTGGACCAAATGGCGCTGTGAGATCGATCTAAGTCGCGAGCCACCGGTGACGCTCTTGTTTACTATGCAGGAGAAGCCGCCAGACGCCGAAGGAATAACTTGAAACCAACTCAAGGAGAAACTACACATAGAAGCAAGGAATAAAACTCAATAGGCAATCGGTGAACCCAGATGCCACTCAAGTCTATGGGGCAGCTTCCATCATCACGTGTTTTGGGTGTATTGTGCTTATTTCGTTCCAAGACCGTCTCACCATAAAATTTCGGTTACAGTTGTCTCATATGAGCTTTCGGTGCTTCATTTCTGTTGGCCGCTGCAACCCTCCGCTTGACGCTAATGCATCCTAGGGACTTTGGTAACTGATCCTCTATGTGTATCACATGGAATCCAGCTCCAACAACTGGTCAGCCCGTATTTAGTGGCGGTGGCACAGTGCTGCAGCTGACGCCGATCCTATTGACTCACTTAAGTACAACGATGTCATCGCCGCGATGTGGCTAAACCCATCTGACCAAAAGATTGTATCAGGACCCTGCAGACGCTGATCTGACGACACACATATTTTAACATATTGACTGCTCTCTCGGCTCATAGTCTTATTCATTGTAAAGAATCTAGGGAGCAGTCGCGCAAACTGAATATACGACGATGGCGCGAAACACGCCTACCAAAAAGTCCTATCTCGAGCTCGCAAATGTGCTCATCCTCATGTCAACATTTGCGGGCGCAGTCACACTATCGACGCAGTTTGCCCTGCCCGAGGCTTGCAACGCGAGCCGTGTCCGCGCCCTCGTCGCCTTTGCCTCGCAATTCTTCCTCATGTGTCCCATCGCCGCCTCCTCCATCTACGTCGCGCTGCACAACAGGCCCGACGGACAAGTTGTCGAAACGGGCAAGCACGCCTTCATACAGATCCAGTTCGGCTTGATTGGGGTCATGATCATTGCGGGATTTCTCCTGCTCAACATTGCGCTTCACTTTGCCGGTGGTCGCTATCTCGGCTCTGCGGGATTGGGCCTGAGTGCTGTTTTCATCCTGGCGACAGCGGCGTACAGCATCGAGGATCACCTGTCGCAGCCCAAGCCAGAAGTGGAGGCAAGGTTGAATGGCGATACTCCGCCTCGTCCGCAGGTTTCGATCAGCCAATACCTAGGAATGGGGAGAACCGTTGATCAGACACCTTTGCGCAGGATTAGTGTATTTTTCAGATGGTGGATTGTCGTGCTGGTAGCGATGGAGGTTGTCGGTTTCATGCTTCTTCTTGGTTTAGGTATCACTGAGACGGTCCTCGCAGATTCGACGGCTTGCCAATTGCTCTAGAGAGCCCAAGAGCCGAGGATGCAGGCGTGGATTCGTTGATATGAATGAATAGCTGGGACAATCCTATATGACCGATTCTGGAGGTGCCTCGCCCTGAGTTTTTGACCCTGAAAATGGCAACACTCATCATCCGTAAGGCCTGCCAGAAAGATTGTCACTTTGAAACTCGAACGGAAAGAAGATCAGAGGAAAGCCGAAAGGATCATAGTAGCATGGTCGCATCAAGATTTTAGGGAAATATCAGATGATACATCTTGCCCCAAGTTATCATAGATTTAGAGTTGAACATAAGACAAGCAAGTGTTCACAACTCGAGCTAAATTCCAAGTATACTCTCCTATCCTGTAACTGCACCTTGCCATGGATTTGTGGATGGCTCATTATGCACGTGAGATATCCACGGAAAATAATGCAGAAAATCCTGCAGTTGTGTCTAGCTGTTAATATCCATTACATTATATGTCTCCTTTATCCATTAACAACAGCCAAAGTTAATCTGCCTCTTCCAGGACTGATGTACTACTAGTAGAAATTGACTATAATAACAATCTCTTATTTTAACTATTTGGTCCCTAATTTGCAATATTTCATAAGCGACGAGCACCAAGACTATATTTTAGAAGCCTTGGACCTCTAACTTATAAAATCAGAGTGGTTCAAGAAGTAATCAGACCAGTATGGTACACCGAGTCTAAATTACTTTCTATTAAAGGGCCACCTAGTGTTTGAAACTCAACCAAGTAGTATCCCACTGAGACAATGATCTCTCGGAGAGCGTCAGAGTCAGAATCGTAAGCGTCATCCTCATTAAAAATAATGTAAGATGATTGACATCCGAGAGTACTTGCTCAAGATGTGGATTGATACTTACCTACTAGGCGGGGGGAAGACGAAACAGAGCTACGCGCGACTCTTCTCGTCGACCTATTTGATTTGGTTCCTTTGATGAAAACGAAATCTTTAGCCATGCTTGATTTTGTTCCTCCACGTAGATGTTTGACTTGATTTTGTTGCTTAACCATGAAGAATGTGCAGACGTGAATCTTAACGTGAGACTGGGGCTCGGAGTTCGGACAAATGTCCGGGCCGGTGGAAGCACACCCACGTTGTGAGCTACCCTATAGCTGAAACCCATCGCTCAACCATTGGAAAGTCAGGATGGATTTCTTATACTACAAAAGGATAAATCGTTATATACGTAATCAATGCGATTCAATTATTCCATTTTTGTAAGCATAGAAGAATTTTCAAGTTCGAACCTAAGTTTCGCTGTGTTTTACAAGACCGCAACCTTATCAAGTACGAGAACATCTTGTTGAGCGTATTTCAAGGTGATGAATTAAGATACGTTCCTGTTGAGAGAATTGATACGCGAGAGATATGCATTATGCTAAGTGTGCATGAGTGAAAACTGTTTGCTTGAGATGGAGGCCTAACTCCCGACTTCCTTAGAAGACCCGACTCCCCCTACTTCCTCGAATAGTATTTTTTTCAGGGACAATCATTGAAGGCACATCACTAATGAGGTAGGTGATTGAGTGCCTGTCTGCTAAAAACTAGAGAGGAGAAAGCATTCTAATAAATCGCAAGATCTTAAACGTAGATGAGATCATAATTGCAGACCATATTTTTGTTTGGATATCTAACTTCTCTAGTTGATTCCCCTAGGGATGAAGCCGCCCCAAAGCTCCAAGCGAAGTTCTTTCTCACCTGTATTCCTGCCAGCTATCCTGGGCTTCTGTTCTACGAATTTAGCCATTGACCAATCTGTCGCTGGGGGGGTGGCAGGCAGGTGTGATTCAAAATCTATAGACTGGCTCATCCAAGTCATATCTGTCATCGGTTCCAGACCAAGCATGGCATTCAGGGGCGATGACGTCCCAATGCCAGGCTCTGAAGTAGCTGACATACCGGAGCCTGGTACTGCACCATTACATAGATTTTCCCAGTCTTTGAAACGACTGTAATCGTTATCTTCTCCAGAAGCAATGGTGTGGTCGAGGCTGGTGTGGAGACTAGGGTGAAATATTTCGATCAACGATGTATCCGAGCGCGCTGATTCCCCTCCTGCCGACATGAATTTCATCATGGTGAGCCCTTGTTTTAGGTAGTCTTGCAGCTCCTCCGTCTTATTTTGAAGGCACATTGCCACAAGAACGAGAAGTGCGGCACGGCAAGCGGTGAACTCTGTATACGATGCTCGCGCAAGTCCAATGCTCGACTGGAGCATCTTGCAAGTATCTACTACTGTAATAGCAGCTTCGATACAATCATTGATTAATATCGATCTGGCGCTCATCTTTGGGGTCGTGCTGCCGACCCCTCGCAGCAGCTGACTGCCAGGGGCACTGGAAGCAGAGGCGTGGCTGCTTGTCGACATCTGGTCGAATATGAAGAGACGACCCATGAACATGCGAACTAGGCAATACTCTAGCTTTAAATGCGCTTCGGGGCGGCTGGTGTTGCTATTCAGTGTGTGCCTGTCTCCTGTGGCTGCCTCAGAGAGCCTCTCCCACCAGTCACGAAGACGACCATTGAGTTTGACTAGACGATCCACAATCGTATCTATGTTCTGCTCTTGTGGTTTCCGCAGCATGGAGCTGCAACATAACCAAGAGTTAGAGTGGTATGTAATAGGGTAGAATGGGGGGAAACGGCACGAACACTTGGCCAGCGATGGTAGCCAGCATCTTGTGGAGATGCAAGGTCGAGAGCGCAGGTTTGATGCCCCTCGGAGATAGATTCGCATCTTGCTGTTCAACAGGCATATCTGCATCGATCTCACTCATTGAGATAGACAGTGGTCTACCGTGAAATACCTCCAGGCGTCTATATGGGATATCGACTGTCAGCACTTTTTTCCTAGCGGAAATTCGTCTAGATGGGCAGCCAGACCTCTCCATGGTATAAACAGTCCACCAGACGAGGTTCCGTACTTTGAAGGCTGAAGCATCTAAACCGTGATCGGGGCACCTCCTGTGCATCCCATTTTGAACTGCCAATTTCATAGCAAGGCTAAGATATGTATACGCCAAACCTGATGCGTCTAGTGGCAGGGCATACATGCCAATCAGCAAGCAAGCCTGGACACTCTCGAGAGAGGATATGGCGATTACGTCTGGAACTAGTTTGCAGGCTTGCTGGTAGAACATGACTCCAATAGAATCCTCTGAGAAGGTGCTTGTCGAGTCCGGTGCTAGGTTCTGGCTTTCCCCATTCTCGGATAGTTCATCAAGATAGGCGTACTGAGTGCCTATGGCCAGAAGAGCAAAGACAATACAGACAGTACTCACATCGCGATGTGTGATTCTATGAGTGTCAGTGTAAAGTATATCGAGTTTTGACAATAGCCAGGCTTCTTCAATGAGGAAATAGTTGGTTTGGGCATTCTTGAAGAACACTCTGACGAGGAAATCAGCAATGTGCCGTGGTGGGAGCGTGGCAAGCACTGGGAGAGGGCCTGACGGCGACTGGAGCTCCTCGGCGCGGTGGTGTTCTATGAGATCTGGAACATGGGGGATTTCCTAGATAGCGCTTGTGATTAATATGGGAAATGAAACGACTTGAAGAGAGCTCCCGTCTCATACCTGGTAGTTTGGTGGAGAACAACTCGCGATCCGCTCGAGAATCGTCATAGAGAAGTTCCAGTGAGAGAACTCCCCAGAATAATCTAAAACGTCCAGTGAGTCAATTTTGTTCATATGAGACAAAAATGATGGTAGAAAACGGGGATTAGAAACGTAAAAGGGACATGGGGAAGCACATACGTGTGATGTTATGACCGAGATCTTTTACGGTGATCTTCTCCTTGAAATCCTCACCGTCCAAATCTCCGATCTCATGGGTGTGGAGGTTAGACTGGCCCGTGGAAAGATCGTCGACATCATCGTGAGAAGCAGTATTGGCTAAGTTACGCAAGGAGGCTATGTCAAAGCTGCTGACACCAAGACGTCGGGTGAGTATTTTCTCCATGAGAGTTAGTCGCTCGGTGAGCTCAGCGATTTGATTCTGAGCTGCATCATTCTCCCTGTGGGTGGCATATTAGATGAAACCAGGACTTGTAATCACTGAGGAGGACCAGGCCAACCTTTGGTTACGCTTCAGGTAATCCATGCTCAGTGAGCTTCCGATGTCCACAAACTCGCAATTTCGGCCGAATCGAGCACAGCGTCGGCACGGGAAGCCCCCTGTGCATTTCTCTTTCTGTCGACGACATGAAGTGCATCTATCAAGGTTTGTAGCTTTGGTTAGCATGGCTCAGCATGCACGATTTGGCCGACCAGCTAGGGAACGGAGCTCCTACGCTCTTGCGACCCGCTTCCGCTCCCGCCCTGCAATCCTTGGCGACTTGGGATGTGTATCCTCAGGTGCGATGTCGGCTAAGGACGGGTCGTGAGGCATTTTGGAAGGTCGGCTGGCAAGCTGGCGAGCTGAGTAGCGGTTGCAGTAATACAATGAATTGAAGCAGGAACTGTCTGCCGCCTTCAAGGATGCCGTTGCTCGATAGTAGTGTAGAATCACCAATGAGGCAGCCAAGTCCCGGGGCATGGACATATATTCCATGCCCGGTTCCCGGTTCCCGGTTAATATGCGGTTTGCGGTAGCGAGCCGGTATCACTGTAGCTCGACTTGATTGGAGTACAGATTCCCTTCTCCATTCGCCATTAAAGACTAAGAGACCTTCCCGGTGGTGTAGGGACTAAGTATCGCACAACGACCGCAAGAGGTTAGATCAACTTACGGGTTTCTTCCCAACTTGGCTTAAACAATAAGCCAAGGTGGCAAGTCGTCTATATATGACAAGTTGAAAAAGCTGAGTTAGACTCGCGGATTTTGATACCAAGGTCTTCACAACCTCTCAGCTTCTGCACCACTGACATTCTACGAAGACCCTTACAAAATTACTACTTTCCCCCATATCAACATTACACAATGGAGACAGGCGAATTTCAAGGCAAAGTCGCTGCCGTGACAGGTGCCTCGGGCGGCATTGGAGGCACCACGGCTCGTTTACTGGCCCTACGAGGGGCCTCGGTTGCTCTTCTCGACCTGAAAGATACGGCAAGGATTGCCGACAGCTTGTCCAAAGAATTCGGAGTCCAGACCAAAGCCATTAAAATGGACGTCACCGATCCTCAGGCGGTCCAGCAAGTGTTTGCAGATATTGTCAGCTGGAAGGGTCGGCTGGACTTTTGTGTTAATGCTGCTGGAATTTTCCCCATCGGAAATCGGATCGATGGTACAGAGTTGGGCCTATGGACCAAGGTTATGGATATAAATCTCAATGGGGTCTTTTATTGCTTACGAGAGGAGATCCGTACCATTCTGCATCTGGGCATTGAGGGATCCATCGTCAACCTCTCTTCGGATGCCGGTACGGTCTCATCAGTTGGTTGTGCACCTTATGTGGCCTCAAAACATGCAGTCAACGGCCTCACTAAGTCAGCGGCGATTGAATATGCAAAATCGGGGATCAGGGTCAATGCAGTGGCGCCCGGCAACATCGACACAGCCATGATACAAAATTTTGGTATATCAACGGCAGATTTGGCCAAGGTGGCGCAGCCAACCGGTAGATGCGGACGGCCTGAGGAAGTCGCAGAGTTGATTTGCTTCATTTTGTCGGACCGGAGTTCCTTCATGACAGGTTCTATTGTGGCGATTGATGGGGGGATAACGACTACGGGTTACGGCTCAAGCGACTCACATGATGCCTTTACCAGCTGATTGGGCGCATGCAATAATGACGGTAAAAGGTCGAGGAAAGAGGAGGAAACTCTTTGGAGATTAGGTTTCTCAATAGCATGGCTTCGTTAAGGAATGAATGCGAATGGGGCTCTGTCTGATAAATTTGGATGAAACCCATGAGCGCCGATTGGTCATCGATCTGCAGGTTCGCATTTTCGCCCGAGAGGGTTTAGCGGTGCTTTTAGACTTGCTCCATAGCGTCTCTCAATTGATGCTCATTTGCTGCAAGCCCGTTATCTGTGGGGACGATCTGACTCATGATCCATGCATGTGCTAAAGACAACGTGGGGAAAGTGGAGACGAGATAAGCTGTCCAACTCTGGAGGCAGCGAGTTTTCTCTCCCCAGATTTCATGCCAAGGGTGAACTGTAGGTCTGAATGCGTTCCAAGTCCAAACAGCCCGAACTCGCCAAACGTCAAGTCAAGCGTCGATGCAATCGTGGTAAACTAGGAGGAATAGCAAAGCATGCCTAGCAACACCAGGAAGCGACGCACCGGCTGCGAGCAGTGCAAGCGGCGCAAGGTTCGCTGTGATGAGAAACAGCCCCGTTGCTCGCGGTGTGATTCCCGTGGGGAGACCTGCACAGGTAATTTCAGCTGGGACTCGTGGCAGATCGAGCGCCCATGGCTTTGGGCCGAAGGCTCGCATGCACCCTCCCAGCTGCTGGAAAACGATGTGCTCCGGCACTGGTACGACAGTGCCTCTCTGAACATGGCTATCTTCCACCCACCAATCAACCCCCTTTCATACCAGATCTCAGCCTGGCTCCGGCACTCCAAGGCCCTGCGGCATACCTTTGAGAGCGTTGCCGAGGCTCATCGTCACTACTTTGTCCGTGATCGCCTTTCCCAGGCCATATGCATCAGGGGCCTCGCCATCTCCTCACTCCAGGGAGAAGTCTGCCGCCTACAGTACCCATGCCCAACAACAAAAGCACCGACAATTTTGAGAACTGCCATTCTGTCTTCATTGGTGCTCTCCATTTCCTCCGGTTGGCTCGACTCCACCGGCAAAGATGCCGGATTGGAGTTTTTGCGTGGCGCTCAAGGTCTGATTGCAACTCTCGCCGAGTCAAGACCAGAAGACCCTTTTGCCTTCTATCTCTTTGGTCTGTTCATCTACAGCTGCGCTTTTTGTTCCTTCCTAGCCCCAGTTGATAATCAGATATCGATTCCTCAAACTGTGGTTGATTTGATGCATTCTGAACCGTTCGCGTCTTGCATCCATCCCGTCACTGGCATCTCCAGCACCATTTGCCCGCTGATCGTCGAAGCTGGCAACTACTATCGCCGAGCGGTAGAGCAGAGAGCTTCTTCTCCGGACCTGCATCGTGATTTGGAAAGACGGCTATGCGAATGGACACCACCAGCAAATGCCCCGAAGCAAGCACAGCTGGCAGAGCTTGCCAACGGCTACCGTGCTGCCGGTCTGCTCATCCTCTACCAATCTAAGGCCATTGACAACCCACTGACGGACTCTGAGCAATTCTTTGTCATGGTTATCCTGATGAGGGTGATGGAGACCATCAAGCATCTACCAAGAAATGACCCGTTGCAAAATTGGCTTGGGCCCCTCATCATTATCGCGGGCTCGGAACTCCCAGCGTCGTTTGCAGATGAGAGACTTCACGTTGAAAGAGTAGCTGCGCAACTCGCCGAGTGGACGCGAGTTCCGAGTTATTTGCAGGGCATGGAGCTGGTGCGCACTGTCTGGGAGCTGCGGGATTCAGGCCAAATGATTTCTTGGCTTGAGTTGATGGTCCGAAAAGAAATGTCTTTGGCAATGGGGTAGTAGGTTAATTCATGTCCAACAATTAGTCGAGTTTGGGTGCATATCTTGTTAGCTATTTGGGTTCATGGGATCGCTGGGAAAAAAGTAGGAGTTTATCGCAGTTTGCTCAGCACTGCATTTATTCGTAATGAGAATCTCCGGAATGGATAACGCACTGTCAGAGTATCTATTGGAATATCTGATTTCTTATTTCTATACTCTTATCCTCTACCAATACTCATCACTCCTCGGAAAGGTTCACATGGATGGCCTTCGACTGCGTGTAGGCATCGAGGGCGTACTGGCCCAATTCGCGGCCAATTCCAGACGACTTATATCCGCCAAATGGAATGCCATAGTGGGACTCACCCGAAGAGTTGATCCAAACCATGCCAGCTTGCAACTTTCGAGCCACTGTATGGGCTTTGGAGATCTTTTCGGTAAACACTGCCGCGGCAAGTCCGTATGAAGTGTTATTAGCCTTCTCCAAGACCTCCTGTGTCGAGCTGAATTTGGAAATGACAACCACAGGACCAAAGATTTCCTCTCTAACAATGGCCATTTCCTCAGTAGTCTATATAATAATGTCAGTTTTGATGAGGTAGTTTAAAGAGACATTTCTTGGCCCAATTGCCAACTTACATCGACAAAAACTGTAGGCTGGATGAAATAGCCCTGAGCGCTTTGCTTGGCACCCCCATAGAGCAGCCTTGCGCCTGAACTCTTTCCTTGCTCGATGTAGGAGAGAATCTTATCATATTGGGGTTTAGAGACTTGAGGACCCTGAAGTGTTTCAGTCGAGAAGGGATTGCCAAGCTTGTCGTTCTCTTTGGTTACTTGAACAAAGCGTTCAAGAAAACGGTCATAAATTGCCTCATGAACGTAGATGCGTGATGTAGAGGTGCAGACCTGTACTCACAACAAATAAAGAAAAGAATTAGCAGAATGTGCTCCCCGATGGCTCAGCCGGTGAAGGGGACAGGACACTCACCTCGCCCTTATTATCCATGATGCCAAAATGCGACCACTTTACAGCCTGTTCAAAATTGCAATCATCAAAGACAATACAAGGACTCTTTCCGCCGCATTCCAAAGTGATGTTCTTAAGATTAGTTGCAGCCTCTCTCATAATGGCCCGGCCAGTTGCTGTGCTACCAGTAAAGGCAACCTTATCGATGCCGACATGACTAGAGATGGCTTTCCCAGCTACCGGACCCAGGCCTGGAACAATGTTTATGACTCCAGGTGGCAAGCCAGCTTCGATGATTAGCTTACCGAAATATAGAGCGCTCAGGGGAGTTTGCTCGGCGGGTTTGAGAACGACTGTGTTTCCGCATGCGAGAGCAGGGGCCACTTTCCAGGCAAGCATCATCAGAGGGAAGTTCCTATTAGCAGTCTAATGTGAGTCTTCCATGTCGTATGCGTGATCGTAAGAATCTTCTCCAGTGACTCACCAGGGAATAATCTGACCACAGACTCCGAGTGGTTCTTGTAGGACATATGCTAGTTTCTGGGGGGACGTCTCAATAGTGCGACCGGTGATTTTATCTGCTGCTCCAGCATAGTACCGGAACACTTGGAAAGATTCCTCGATGTCTCCTTCTGCAGCAGCCAGGAGCTGCGAAAAAGGGGGGATTGTTAGCTAGATCTATCCTGATTGAAGGCAGTTCCATCATCGGTCTCGTACCTTGCCATTATCATATGCGTCAATTGCAGCAAGGAGATCACGATCACGATCGATCAAGGCAGCAATCTTGTAGAGGAACACCCCTCTTTCGGTGGAAGGTAATTCGCTCCATTCCCCCTCAAAGGCCGCGCGAGCCGCAGCCACTGCCCCGTCTATGTCGTCGGATGAGGCTCCTTGAAGCTGGATAATTTGACCTTCTGATCTAGATGGCAGTAGCGGATTAGTTGATGATTAGTCTGTGAAGTGGAAATAGGAGGCATAACTGACACGGGATCAATCACGGTGAACCTTTCACCATGACCTTGAACGAACTCATTGTTGACGAAGAGGCCGGTAGGCTGTTCGTAGCTCTTGCCATTGGGCAACGAGATTTGGACTGAGAGAGCCATCGTGTGAATCGGATCAGTGACCTTCGCGTGGTAAACCGTAGCTGATGTGATTAATAAAAAATTACGATTTGAGACGGCGGTTGGATAAATAGGAAGGCATCATGCGGCAATACGGCTAATCATATAAGAAACACGAGGCATGAGACAGGAAATCCCAAAGACGAGTCATCATACAAAATCGTTTCTCCCGGGAGACCGGGCGAGAGACCGTCCGGGGTTTTGTGGAGCGACCATTTCGCGGTTTGGCTTGATATGGATGAGGTGCGAATATGTGGAGGCAGCGCTGCTTGGCTGGATATGAATTATGCGGAGGAATCGGGGCTTGGCCAGATGTGGATGAAATGCGAATACGTGGAGTCTCCAGATGTTGAGGTTGACCATGCCCTGTTTGGACGTTATGCGGCCTCCTTCGCATCACGCGGTTTTGTGATCGACTGGGCAACACTGTGTCTAACCACGTCAGCATTTCCGACTAAGAGAAAAGCTTGCGGGAAATGGCGAGTATCTGAGCGACTTGAAGAGTATATGATGCACTCTTGACCACCAACCTACAATGTAGACATCCCAGTGAAGAAGTTCAACGACATTGCTACCCAGTTACACGTTCGTCTTATTGTAAGTTATTGCGTAAGAGAGTTTGAGGCACTTGACAAGCATCGCCACTAACATCAAGTCTTTAGTGAAGCAATCCGATCATGTCCAACCAGAAATATTCCAACTACGAGGGCGTTGGTGCCCGAAACAGCGAACTATATTCCTATTCCCAAGCCGTCAAAGTAGGCAATGTGATCAAGTGCTCCGGTCAGGGAGGCTGGGAGAACGATGGTAGCCTCGACACAGAAGATCTCGTGGGCCAGATCGAGTTGGCATTTAAGAATGTCGAAAAAAACCTCAAGAACGCTGGTGCCCGTGGCTGGGAGGACGTGTATGCAGTTAGGAGCTACCATATTTCCCTGTCCAGCTCCTTCGACCTCATGGTAAAGCAGTTTCAGAAATGGATTCCCTCTCACAAGCCTATTTGGACTTGTGTCGGGGTTACGGAGTTGGGTATTCCTGGGATGATTGTTGAAATCGAAGTTGAGGCTATTGTTGGCAACTGATCAGTGGGAGTGCAAGGACGATTGGCTAGAGTAACAAGTAGGGCATCCTTGCCTTTGTCAATCGCAATTGACTCAGCCGTGCTTCTTCAAACGATGGGTGACGACACGTTAGTATCATTCAATGTTCCCACGCCCTGGTTAAACTTAATCGTCATTATTGTTTCCGAGATCGTGTATGGATGGGAGATGGTTGTGTCATGTTCGATTAGGATGTGCAAATCGTTCGTGTTAGAATTTAAGCCCAGTCCGAACGCCAGTGTCGCTACGTTAGTCATGTTACATAGAAGTTCTATTCTCTCTTAATAGTAAATATCCGATCACTGGGAGAGGCAGAGTTACCAGCACCGACAGTAAATTACACAATGGGCAAATAAGCCACGAGGATATAGAGACAAGGTCTACTCATTTATTTTATATCATCTATCTACAGTGCCTTGAACCCTGGGCTGTCAAAAATTCTGACAGGAAACGTTTCCTCCTCCTGAGGCTTCCCTTGCAATTTAGCCCATAGGTTTCCAACCTTGAATGTGCGGATATCGTCATAGTGACGGCCGATGAGATAGGGGAGATATGCGTTGCCCACCCCCAGAGCATGCTCCTTAAGCACTTCGTATGCGACAAGACCAGAGCTGTACTCAAAGTCGGTAATGGACAAGATGGGGATCGTGTGAAGGGGGTTGTTCCTGCTGCCCCGGATGGTCACACGGCCCACGCCAGTAGAGCGACGTGGGAAGTCTTCGTGGATGGCGAGCTCGTTGACGATGGGGTCCCACTGAACACCCTTGCCCGTGGAGCTGGGGTACGCCTTGATTTCAAAGCTAGTACCCTCGCGTTTGACAGGGGGCAAGTCGTCTCCAAATTTGCCCTCAATGTCAATGAGACGAACACCGTTGCGCTCCACGTATGCGTAGCGGTAGTCACCTGCACGGTACATCTTGACCTGGGCAGTCTTCTTGGTTTCTCCCCAGACCTCACGACCCCATGTGACGGGGAAGTCGTCGCTAATGAGCATCTCAATCATGTAGATGCCCTTCTTGCCATTGAAGATGACGTCGATAGACACAATGGCACAGTCAAACTCGCCACAGAGGCGACTCTCCATTGTGCCTACATAGATATGGCCCGTCGGCTTTTCAGCAGGACTGAACTTGGGAGGCAAAATGCTCTTGATGAACTCCTCGGTGGTGGTGAAGTCGAGGAGGATTGCCTCCTGGGAAAAGTTTGGCTTCAAGGAATACTCCGCAAAGATGGCAATCTCTTCCGGTGTTGCAACGTACGACATGGTGATGAGGGATGATAAAAAGGTAAACGGAGAGAGGTTGGTGTTTAGGGGCTGACAATAGAGTCTGTCTGTGTACTGGAAGCTGAACAACAAGTACTAGGTCACGGTTAACCTGGGGGATGCTTTATACACTTCGAATGTTGGGGTCGCCGCCAGAAGTCTAGTCTATTGTGTCATTCCATTCGGTGCACCGGCTCGATGGCTCGTAGTGAGTCCGAGATGCGGTATTTTCGTTAACTGCCAGGACGACTCCCCTGACCTAGCAGGACCAGCCTCACCCAGGTGCATGATGAAGAGCACATACCGGGTCCCGGGTAACCCTGGAAGTTGTGCATCACAAGTCTTGGGACCCTAAACCAAACCGGGCGAAAGTGCGAAGAATCGAGTCATGCCGTTATCTGGGACATTACGGATTGGGCCCAGCTACTCCTTATTGGTTCCCTTGTCGCGTGGATCCTACTATCTGGGTGGCGTCTACGGCGTCGAGTTACTGGGGAATTTGCCTTTTGCAATTTCAGAGGACGATTCTGACGCTTTGGCGGAACAACGGCATCCCTGGCTCCCTTCCCCGGAGTCGAGACATCTACGGATAATCTGGAACGGATTGCCACCACTCACAAGTATCGCTCTGGCTGACTAGAGAGATGAGACTTGTTCAGCGCTTGCAAACTAGATAACAGCCAAGCAGGGACAAGCACGAGACAAGTTCAATGACTGCCGCCGAGATAAGCTCCCACCCTTGGGCCTTTCCTTACCTCTTATATCTAAAGGCAACCGACACCTCTCATAACCCTCGAGCCCTTTCTATTCCTTTGAATCTTTCTGTCACCATCTTTCAAATTCTTGATAAACTTTATCCAACTCAATTGCCCGATTCAACCTGATCCTCTACAAAGCCTCGCCATCATGGAGAACCACGAAAAGCACTCCAGCTCTGATGTCAAGGACAATGACAAGGGGAGCGAAACCAGGCCTAAATGTGGTGAATCTGTCAAGGGCGGCACCTTGATTGTGGAAGAAGTCAGGCTGCACAAACCGTTCACGACATTGACCGCCATGGGTCTTGGCCATTCCATCACCAACACTGCCATCACATTGCTGGTCGGAATGTCGAGCACCATTGCGCTGGGAGGCCCGCCTCTCTTTATTTGGGGTTTCGTTGCCATGGCTGTTGTCGGTGTGGCTGTCTCGGTCAGTCTGGGAGAGCTCGCATCTGCTCTCCCACACACCGGCGGCCAGTACTTCTGGGTCGCCGTCCTTGGCCCCCCCAAATTCCGCCGTTTCTTGTCCTATATAACAGGCATTGTCGCCTGGGCTGGCGCGGTCTGCACCACAGCCTCAGTGTGCCTGGTTGTGCCGATCATGATTTTCAACATGGTCTCGATTCGAAACCCCGACTTTATATACCAACCTTGGATGGGGTTTGTTGGTTACCAGATCATCAATAGTTTCCTCTTCCTTTTCAATCTCTATTCGAGGTGTCTCCCATATATCAGCAGCACACTTCTCGTCTTTACCGTCTCCTCCCTCGTCGCCATATTTGTCAGCATGCTGGCCGTTTCTAGCCCGAAGCAAGATCCCTCACGAGTTTTCGTCGACCTCTACAATAGTTCGGGCTGGCCGGACGGAGTTGCATTTCTTATTGGTATAAACGCTCCCAACTGGGGCTTTTCCTCACTCGACGCCGTTGTCCATCTCGCCGATGAGATCCCCAATCCTCGGCGCAACATCCCAAAAGCTCTGCTGTTGACCGTTGCTGTCGGTTCCTTCACAGGCATTCTCATTCTTTTGTCAGCCTTCTTTTCAGCTACAGATCTGGAAGACATTGCAAGCTCCACAACTCCCTCATTACAGATATTCTACCAAGCCTTTGGAGGAAACCTGGGGGCAGCTGTTGGCCTGCAGGCTCTGGTTACCGTCTCAGCATCTGGATCCATTGTTGGAATTCACACTTGGCAGTCGCGCATGGCCTGGGCCTTTAGTAGGGACAAGGGGTTCCCCTTCCATCGCTATCTCAACCGAATTGCGCCGGAGCCATTTGCTACGCCGATATACGCTCATATCTGGTCGTGCGCCTGGACGGCGCTCCTTGGGTGTCTCTATCTAGGATCGCAACTTGCCTTTAATTCCCTCGTTTCTGCCGGCATGCTTCTGCAGTACATCACGTACAGCATTAGTATTTTATGTCTCTTGTGGTATGGGCGATCCAATCTGCGCCATGGCCCATTTTGGTTCCCGCGATTCGGCCTTGTTTGCAATGTTGTCACCGTCATGTGGTCGATCACCGCTGTTGTGTTCTATTCCTTCCCTTACTATCTCCCAACAGAGGCGGACCAGATGAATTATGTCTCTTGTGTAATCGTTGGGATTTTTCTGTATGCCTTGTTGTACTGGGTCCTATTTGGTAAAAGGGAATTTTCGCCACCTGAGCCTGAGTATCATGATTGATTCTATTCGCCGGCTCATGGGGGCTTTGAATAGCTTTACGGAGCAGAGTAATAAAGTCAATCTTTTAAAGCAACACCAAGAGTAGTTAATTATCATCCTTTTGGCAAGTCTAAATTATTTAGTAGAATGAGATAACCAATGCCGGAAAGCAAGTCTCTGAATTTGCTATTTGATCTATTGGACTCACTTTGGGCCGGCCCTCAAATACCAGTATGAATGCAACGAGGGGTAAACTGCTTGGCTTTCTTCTGATACGGCATGGTCTGGTTGAGCATCGCGCTTACCGCATTCTCTCGTGCATACAAACTAAATGAACCTATTCGTGTCCTCAGATGACCATTCCAAAAGCCCATGGAGGCTCGCATTTCCACTGAGAGTGGGATAGTCTAGGGTCCCGGGTTAGCTGGAAGTGTTGAGAGCTCGGCCCGGATGCTTGACTATGCCTGATCTAGACAAACTGCGAGGGCCACCATCATTTGACTCGATGCCTGAGAGGGGGCCCCAGTTCACTCCATAGGGTCATAGGGACGGCCATCTGGGGCCATTTCGAATGTCCTGATGATAATATTCCGTCACCTTGGTTATGACCTAACCAAACTGGTCATTTGGTCAAAATACAAGGGCTAATACTTCCTTCCCCCCCCGCCTCTGCGGTAAAGGATAACATTTACATAGTAATTAATAATTCTCGTCAGTGCTAGATGTCTACCTTCATAATGAAAGTTGCAATTGTCACCGGTGCTTCCTCTGGGCTTGGTCGAGCGATTGCCATCGCGTACGCCAAGCAAGGATGGAAAGTAGCTTGCAGTGACCTCCACCACAGTCCACCACAAGGAGAGTCTCTGTCGACTGTGGAAGTCATCCAACAGACTTGCAGCAATCAGGCTGCATATATTCACACTGACGTTTCCAGCTCCGAGAGTGTCCAGAACCTCATCTCCACGACAGTATCCCTGTTTGGCCGCCTCGATGTGATGGTCAACAACGCCGGCATTGCCCTCGAATCCTACAATAATCTGGGTCCGAGACCAATTCACGAGACTGATGAATCGACTTTTGATAAGACAATTGCCGTCAATCTTCGTTCAGTATTCCTGGGCTGCAAGTACGCTATACGCCAGTTTCACGCCCAAGAGCCACTATTCGGAAATCACCGGGGGTGGATAATCAACACGGCATCGGTGTTTGGTTTGAAACCTCAGGCTGGTCACGGTACAGACACAAACACGAACCCTAGATAACATGGCAATGATCTGATGAAAAGCAGTATCATACGCAACAAGCAAAGCTGGCGTTGTGCATCTGACCAAGTGCTTGGCCAGAGAGCAAGGACCCTACAAGATTCACTGCAATGCGATATGTCCTGGATGTAAGTCGAAATGACTTCACTTCTTCTTCTTCTTCCACCCCTCCTTTTTCCATGAAGAACACTTCACATGGATGTTGACTAAGCAACCTGGAAACAGTTGTTAAAACCGCCATGGACAGCCAGATGCTAGAGGACAAGCAAATGGGACCCGACACAGTCGCTGTGCACCCATGGGGAGAGTTGGGGCTGCCCGAGGACATCGCCAAGGCTGCGGTTTGGTTAGCCAGTGACGAAGCAGCTTGGGTGACTGGCGTTGCCTTACCAGTTGATGGGGGATATATGACGGCATAAGTTGGCAATATTAGTCACTCTACTAGATGGAAGGTCAGAAGTTAAGACGTTGTGCTGAATGAAGACTATTTTTTATCCCCCGTGTTTTTTTCACACCTTTAACCGATACTTCAACATTAAATACTCCTTAATTGGTAATCTAGTGGGCTCTCCAAGTTCACATTTACTGGTAGAGAGAACCTCGTACACTCCCTTTGACTACTGTTTTGTGCAGGCTGAGAGATCTGATAGAGTGGTTTCATCTTTTCTGAGAGAGAAACGTAGCAGAATAATACAGAAATGGTTCACCACTAGCGTGAATTAGCAGACCATGAGAAGGACATACACCGTTGCTTATTGCCTACACCATTTGTCCGAGACGCTTGTTGACAGGCAGAACAACGTTACGATTAACCTTCTTTGTCTTCCTCAACCTGATTAACCACCAGTGAAATGTGTGAGACGGCATTACACCCGTTCCCGGTGTCGTGACCTCACCGGGCCGAGATGCATGGCCGAGTTGGCTAGCTTGTTCAACCGGTCGGGGCACTCTCCGGATACGGAGCCAGTATCAACTAGGCTCTCTATCCGGACAGGCATTTTCAATGAAGATCGAATTCTGATCCTATCAACCGGTTAATATCGAGGTCAATAAGATGTACAGTCTATATAATGATAAATATGCTGCTTTGTAGTCTTCTCCCACACCCTTCAATCTTCAACATCAAACACTTTTGTCAGTTTGGTTACCTAAAACACTCATCATGCCTGCAGCAAGCCAGCATTCGGTTGTGACAGAGGTCCCCGGACCTCTGTCTAAAGCTGCCCTGAGGAAGTTGGATGACTTTTTCGATTCCCGACCAGTTCATTTTGTGGTAGATTACGACAAAAGCGAAGCCAACTAGTCAGTAGTACATTAATGGGTTCGAATGTGAAGTGTGGAAGTTGACCGCATTGCAGCATTGTCGACGTGGATGGCAACAAGTTCCTTGATGTGTATGCTCCTTTCCCATTCTGCACATCGCGTCGTGCAATGTTGGTCTGACCAGATTCATTTAGGTACTCTCAAATTGCCTCCGTTCCCGTTGGATATAATAATCCGACCCTGACTGAAGCTGCCAAGTCTCATGACATGATACCCGCTCTAAGCAACGTCCCGCCATTGGCAATTTTCCTGCAAGCATATGGCATAGCATCCTAGTGGACGGATTTCTCAGAGTCCACCCCAGGGGCCTCAACAGAATCTTTACTGCCCAATCCGGATCCGAAGCCAATGAACTTGCCTTTAAGGCTGCTATGATGCTATATCGTCGCAAAGAGCGCGGCGAGGGCATTGACTGGACAGACGAGGAGATTAGTTCCTGCCTGGATAACGCAAAGCCTGGCTCTCCCGATCTCGCCGTCTTAAGTTTCACTAACTCCTTCCATGGCCGCGGATTTGGAAGTCTGTCAACTACCCGATTAAAAGCCGTCCACAAGTTAGATATCCCCTCTTTCAACTGGCCAAAGGCCCCGTTTCCAGCTCTAAAATATCCTCTCGAGCAATTTATGCACGAAAATTCGTGCTTAGATGAAGTTGAGAGGCTGATTCGGTCATGGCACTGTCCAGTTGTGGCTCTTATCATTGAGCCCATTCAGAGCGAGGGTGGCGATAATCACGCCTCGCCCTCCTTCTTTCAACGTCTTCGTGATCTGACTAAGAGACACGGCGTCATCATGATTGCCGACGAAGTTCAAACTGGTACAGCTTTCTCAAGACAACTCTTCTACTCATTGAGGCTGCATTTACTGATCCAAAGTGTCTCTTGACTAGGATTTGGCGCTACTGGTAAGTTCTGGGGTCATGAGCACTGGAACTTGGCCTCGCCTCCTGATATTGTCACGTTTTCCAAGAAGGCACAGACAGCTGGATATTATTTTGGTGATAGGATGCTTGTGCCTGACAAAGCCTATCGTCAGTTCAACACATGGATCGGCGATCCAGCTCACGTCATCATGGGAAAGGCCATCATTCAGGAAATTCTGAGCAAGAATCTGGTCGAGCAATGTGTAAGTACTTGACCCCAATGTTGGGGACATGTATATTCGTTACCCTACCGAGCTAATGCATTTTTGTTTGTTAGTCCCGCGTCGGTGACATTCTTTACGCCGAGCTTGAGAAGCTGTCGCGCAAGTACCCAAAATACGTGAAGAATCTCCGTGGAAAAGGCCAAGGGTAAGCTCGACATAGCAGCCGTTCAGACTAGAGACTGTCGCTCACCAAATTTAGTACCTATATCGCTTTCGATACAATTGACTCGGCTGCTTTCGTCAAGGCTATGAAGATGAAGGCAATCAGCATCGGTACCTGTGGTGTCAATACGGTGCGCCTTCGGCCCATGCTCATCTTTGAAGAGCAGCACGGTAGGGTCCCGATCATTATGATGAGTTTTCACCGCATTGGCTAATTACATCTTCTTTCCTCAGTCCCTCTCTTAATCAGTGCTTTGGAAGAGGTACTCGCAGGTTTACACTGAGCAGCTAGCTGAGTATTCGGTCCTTCTAGTGCAGCTATGTGGAGGCAATGGGTCTCGTTAGATACTATACTGGCTTGTGGATTGGGTGAAACTACATAGACTCAGTGAACTCGGGTGAGAATCGTTGATTGTTATCGGCTCCTTCCACATAACTTACTTGACTTGTTTATACGTAAGAGAAAGAGAATAAAGTTCAACAACAATGGAAGCTGCCAGAGCCCGACAACTCAACACAATGAATAGAACCGCTGGACACTTCTGTGAGTTTACCAGTTGCGCAAGGTTGGATTGGCGTGAATACTACTTGCCTGTTTTCGCATCAAGAGCGAAATGCCCTGCATACTTGCCAGCTGCCAATGTTACGTTGAGAATCTTCCGGGTGGCTTCTTGGACCTCGGGGGTTGTAGCATCGTCAATCGTCAAAGGCAGCATATCCCATGGAGGACGCGAGGTCGTTTGGCCCGATGAACAGCATGTCTAACACATGAGTAATTTATTAACACCCAAAGCAGGGCCAGTCTGTATGCAAGAAATTCAAACTCAAGCCACTGTCCCAGGCTAGGACCCTGGCGAGGCTTTGCTCGGTCAAGGGACTGTTTTAGGCGTGTCTCTCCTGACAAGTCGACAGGGGAGGCGATTTGATTTGACATTGTCGTAATCTAGGTACGAACAAACATGTGGTAGCGATAATCTGGTTGTCTCGAACCATTTCCGATGATGGACATATGATCTGGAGAGGACAAGTTAGGGCAAAAGTCTCAGCATTGCCTTACTAGAAATTAAACTCATCATGAACAGCTACTCTTCATGAGCAAATATCTCCATCAATGACATTGATCCGCTTCAAGAATGCTTCGGCCGGAACTCGGTCCGTGGTGGGTTTGGCCCCACATATCAAATTTGATCTAGACACAGAGGTATTGAGCAGTCGACCAAGTGAGAATAGTGTCATTTAAGGTTAGGATCTTGAATCAGTAATAAGGCACTTAAGTTCTCTCAAGATACTGGGGTTTGCTTTCTCAGTAGGATGTAGTTGCCCTCTGAATCTTCTGCCATAGCTTCAGCTGCATGTGATGATCGCTACCTGTTAAACAGTCTAAAATGGGTGTAGATAGGAGATAATCAGGATATAGCGGTGCTCCCAAAGACGAGAGATTAGCCCTGCCAACTTGTGGAGTTGAGTAAGTTGACTGGATAAACATCCCCGCACTCGGAGTGCAGATATGACGGCGAAACTCAAAACCATCTCGCACTAGCCAGTCTCCTCCTCCATTGCTGCTCTGAACTGGCTTGGCCGTTAGCCTCACCATTGCTGGTTTTGGAAACACGCAGGCGCCCCCTTAACTTGTCTTGCCTTGATTGACAGATACCATGAGTAAAGAGCCAAGTGAAAGCATTGCGCCTCGTGTGTGGCAAGCATGTGTCATTTGCCGGCGCAAGAAGGTATCGATTGGTGTCTCTGCCAGGCCAGATGCGGACCATATTAACCATGTTGCAGATCAAGTGTGATGGCAGTGACCCATGTCGCAACTGCAGCTCCCGGGATCTTATTTGTGAATATCCCGGTAGTAACGACAATGCATCCAGCAGTCGCAAGTCTCTGAGCCTGCATAACCAACCCTAGTTCGATAGTTGTATTGACTGACCACGAGTAGTTATGCTGCCATGTTTGAAGCTCGGTTTCAGCAAGTTGATACGCTGTGTCAGAGACTAGAAGCTTTGACAAACCAACTTACCGACGCCATTGAGAAGCTGCCAAATAAGACAGTCGCTTCACCTCAGGATTCCGTTACTGAGCAGTTGGAGCAGGCCTCTAGAAACATACAGTCTCTTGTAGCTCCATTAGATTCTGAATCCGCAATGTCTGGCACAGAAATAGCAACAAGCGCACCGTCTGACCCAGGATGTGCCCATTCGCAAGATCTCCAGCTCTACCAACAGGCCTCAAATGAACAAAGTCTCGAGGAGGAGACAGACGACGAATTAGCAGAGGATTCAGCTCAGCTGAACCCTAAGTATGACCCAACCCTGGGGATCTTTGGCTCGCTCGTTCCTGATTCATATGGGCGTTTACGGTGAGTCTCGGTTTTGTCAATGACGCCCTATTCTCCTCCTCACGTACTGACTCCGCAAGATTCATCGGAGGTGCCAGTAATGAGCTGCTGGTCCAGGCTATTCAGAGCCTGACCCCAGCATCTTCAACAAACTCGGAATCGCCTTCTTTTTGCACACCAGGACAAACTGGACCAACTCAAATGGAACGAAGGGTTACAATTGAGATTCCCCTCTTTGTCCATGGCCTTCAGTGGCGTGAATTACCGCACCTACCAAAGCCTGAAGAGTTAAATCTGCCACCGCGATACGTCGCGGATATGTTGGTCGGGCTGTATTTCAACCAGTTCCATTATACTTTCCCGGTCTTGTACAAGCCTCATTTTATGGAGCAATATCGACAACTATATATAGTCCGTAAGGAAGCAGGGTGGGATAGGAATTTCCTCTCCGTTTTCTTCGCTGTATGTGCCTGTGCTTCGAGCCTCGTAGCCTCGGACGGAAACAATTCGACATTTCCCGGTCTGGAATACTACGAGAGGGCCTTGTTGCTCCATTTCTCCACAACCGGTCAAGCGACTATGGAACGCGCCCAGTGTCTTGCGCTGGTATCTATGTGCTGTGCTGGATGGAATACCCTGTCGTTAAGCTGGCATTTTGCTGGCCAGGCAGTCAAGGAAGCTCAGGATCTTGGGATGCATCTGGGCAGGCTCGTATGTATCGCTCCCCTTTCTTCACGACTTGATACTGAACTCCAGATAGGCACCAGTTTCTGGCCATTCGATGAAAGACACCGGTGTATCTTCACTGGAGGCAGAAATCTCTCGACGAATCTGGTGGAGCATCTATGGCCTTGACAGGTATGCCATTGTACATCTTGATATGGGTGAATTCTAACCGTCGATCGCAAAGGGTCACATCCATATGTCTCGGAAGACCGATGGCAATCAACGACTGCGACTGCTGCTGCGACTTACCAATGCCTGTTGCCGACGAAGAGCTAGAGGCTGCATGTAACCAGGCAACTCCCTTTGATGATGGACTGCCAGCAATGTCGCCTTTGTCGGGCTTTTTGGCATTTGCTCAGCTTTGTCAGATATCTGGCAAGGTTCATAGTCTCCAGTCACCGACCCGTATAGCAAGTCTCAACACGCCACGAGGTCAAAAGAGGATGATGGCCTTGGGGAAGAAATTGGAGAAAATGTTGGACGTGTGGCTCAATGACTTGCCAGACGAAATTCGCTTCTCTGCCAAGTATGTTATATGCTTTTTCTTCAATATCTTAGCTTCTTCTCACAATTGTGCAAGGTGGTTTGATGTTTTGACTAACCTTGGCGTCTAGCAACTTGGAGCACAGCCCGGACCTAACCATGTGTATCATCCTATTTGTCGTCCATGCAGGATCTCTCCTCGACCTATATAGGTATCGTCTTTCCACTGATTTGGCCCGAAATCGTATACTAAATACCGAATTAGGACCTTCACCAATAGGAAACATGCGTTTAGCCAGTCTCAAACCTTGAAGAATTGCCTCTCTGCTGCCCGTAGCTGCATCAACGCAACCGAGTTAGTGCGGGATTTTGTGCCTCCCTCACATTATATGGCCTTTTCCGTACATTACCTGACAATTTCTGGCCTGGCTCTGTAAGGATCCCTCAGACACCTGACTCCCACGTGGAAACTAACCTTGATGCCGATAGGGTCTGGATGAAAGACCAATCACTTGGGAAACCTGACCCAGATGTGGAAAAGTGCGTCAGATTCTTGAAAAACTTGGAAGGAACGTGTTCCGGAGCTTCGAGGGGGAGGGCAATCATCGAACAGACCTTGGGTATCTTTGCAGGCAATCGGCAGGGTTCGTTTTTAGAGCCACAGCTTTCTGGTGCTTCCCATATCCACACTCCCGATTTGCTGAACTTGGATCCTTCTGACCCGGACTTTAATAACTTCTGGGGTACATTTTGAGAATGGGAGAATGTGGCATTGTCAGCACTACCTAACGGTAGGTATTGTGTGGAGCGCCTAGAGGATGCAAGGGAAGCCAGTCTGCTAGTTTCCAAATTTTTCAATAGTTGGGGACAGAGTTCTACTACGGACCGGTTCGATGGGTTAGAAATACAAAAATGTTTTATACTTATTTCAAACAGCGCGGATGGGATCATTATGTTATGATGTCGCTTCCCAGAATCGGCCTATGACTTTCCTCATTCGCTTCACACCCTCTTCAATCTGTTCCTTCTATATAAGGATGAATTAGCTCACAGTCAAAGAAACCACTGTCATGGTGCTACTTACCGTTGGAGTAGCAAAAGAAAGACGGAAAAAGGCAGATCGTGGATCAGCCCCCCTCGCTTTGGTTGATATCTTGTCCGGCCCTTGCCATGCGTGATAATATGATCCAGGTGTCAGCAAGACGAGCTCCGCCACCATGGCTTCCCACAGCTCTTGAGCAAACGCCTGCTCGGGGTCCTCCAATGATTGGGCCTCGAGCTCAGCGAAACGAGATACTCCACCAAAGTAAAACTTTGACCAGACGAACATGCCGGCTTCGGGGTCGACGAAGCTAAAGACGGGCCGCAGCTTGCCAATTGCTTTGTCCTGTAAGCAGGCCACATACCCTTGAACAGTTGGCAATGGTGACTTGGCGGCTGACACAACTGTGAACTGGTCATATATGGCAGAGATGAGCCAATCTCGTCTTGTTTTGTACTGATATTGCAAACTCTGAAGCCACAGTAAATATCCATCAACCCCCCATTGGTTAAATAGAGCAAGCGTGAACGCTTGACTAAGACCTGCAGGGTCTTGAGTCTCCACCTCGGTTGCTCGGAGTAGTCGTTCGGTGAAAAGAGGATTGGCGATGAAATAGCCCAGCCGGAGACCTGGGAATATGGTCTTAGAGAAAGACTCGAGCCGGATGACACGCCCTTGGGTGTCCATGGAAAGGAATGATGGGGTTAATGACTTTAGAAACTCTCCGGTGGATTTTGGCTGATATGGTTGCTCCTCGGCTTGAGGCGAGTATCCCGGATATTGAAGAAAATAATAGGGATCATCTTCCACAATCACCAAGTCTGATCAAAATTAGCTGGTGAAATGTCAACTGATTGGAGGGAATGCTACATACCGAACTCAACGCAGACTTGGTAAATTTCCTTGTGACGCTTTGCTGAAATTGTGATTCCTGTTGGATTTGAGCCTACCGAGACCAGATAAAGCCTAAAGTACCATATTAGCATCCAGGTGGTTATGTGGCGGGACGTGAAAACCCTACACTCTAGGTCGTCGGCCTCCCCTCGACTTCTCATCCCAGTTCTCGAGCGTTTCTCGTAGATTGGTCGCCAAGATGCCTTCTGCGTCGGCTGAAACAGGAGCTGCCTTGATCCCAAGGGGGATCCAGAGCGCCTGTGCAGATGGATAGGTAAACTCTTCAATGATGACAAAGTCATTGTCTTCGCAAAGGAGGCCAACCACCTTGGACCAGGCGTTTGTGTTTCCAGGATGCAAAAGACATTCATAGTCGCAAGGCGGGGCATGCACTCGCTCTGTTAAATCTTGAGCAAGTTGGATAAGCTGTCGATTCCCGGCCCCAGTTCCTGCGAACGTGCGTCAGCGGTGATGTTGTAGGCTATGGTATCTCATGCTTCAAGTTGTACCGTATTGCAGAAACTGAGTAAGGTCGAGATCTCCCGGAGACAATCCGCGACCTAGATTGAGGCTTACAAGATCGGTTTCCGCCGATTCATTTCCCAGTGATGCAGACGGAGGGAGGCAGTCAAATCTGGCTTTCTCGAGAGGAAACAAAGACGGATGAGGAAGACCTAGAGTCATTCTTAGCTTCATGATAAATCCATGCATGTTTCTTGCAGTGCATACCTCCAGCAAGGCTAATCATGCCATCGTAACCCATGAACTTGATGATTTCTTTGAGAGGCGAGGGGTGGCGAGACTTGCTCTTCACGTTGATATGGTGAGAGAGGTCCACAGCCTCCTGCTTGCGGTTTTGGCTGCCCATTTTTGTGCCCTATCGGCGGTTTTGGCTTTGACTTGTTGATGAGCCAGCGAGCTTGAGTTGGAAAACACGATCTTAAGTTCCGAAATCAAGGTTTCTTACAGTGGTTGTTGGTCCCGCTCCCCCCATTTCCTCGGCCGGAGATCCGGGCGGTAATGGGCAGCCCACATTGAGTGATTTCCCATGCACTCCCATGCCGATTAATCAAACGGATCTCCGATGTCATCGAGTAATAGAATGACGTTTGCCGTCAGAGGAGCACACGACTCCATGCTCCAGCCACGACGCCAATGTCAAACGTTAGCATCCGTATTCAAGATATTCAATATTATCAAAAATGGGGAACACCATCTCCTACCACCAAAAGCCCTACGATCTGAATCTTGGCAACAAGGGGACGATTCGCGGTATCCAACTCGATGAAAAATCACGTCGCTACGCTGGTATTCCTTATGCACTTCCCCCAACCGGCGACAATCGCTGGCGCAAGCCGAGACAGCTCCCTCCAGACTATATATACCGAGATGGAACCGGTGGCCCATTTGATGCTACCAAGTTCAAAGCAGTCTGCCCCCAGAAAGCCTTCCATGCCGGAAAAGCCGAGGGAGGCTCCGGGAAATACAGCGAGGATTGCCTCTTTGTCAACATATGGACGCCCGTAGGCGACCCGAGGGAGAAGAAGTGGCCCGTGATGCTATGGCTACACGGAGGGTGGTTCCAAATGGGCGATCCATCGCAGGAGCCTGGCATGGACCCGACCGAGCTGATCTCGACTGGAGGCCTCAACGCCATTGTCGTGGCTATAGGCTACCGCTTGAACATCTTTGGTTTCCTTGCCGGTCAAGATCTGCTAGAGGAAAGCGGAGGTGATTCGGCTGGAAATTTCGGTCTTTGGGATCAGCGCATGGCTGCTGAATGGGTTAGAGAACACATCTCGCTGTTTGGAGGCGACCCAAACAACATCACCCTCGCCGGTCGGAGCGCTGGAGCCTACAGCGTGGAAGCGCAGATGTTGTTCGAATTCCGCAAGCCAGGTCCAAAGACATCACTGTTTCGACGCGTGTTTATGGACTCGAACGCAATCCCGGCACAGCCGAAATCGTTGCACGATACCCAGGTTCAGTTCGACGAAGTGTGCAAGAAATTTGATATCGATGAGAGTTTGCCTGCAGAAAAGAAGCTCGAGTCGCTCCGGAAGTTGAGTGTCAACGATCTCCTTGCAGTCATACCAAAACTGAAGCAGCACACGTTTCGTCCAGTCACCGACAACCTTTTCATTCATCCAGCGATGATTGAGTATCTTCAGAGCAAGAGCTTTGCCGACGAGTTCAAGTCCAGGCACTACAAGCTGCTCATTGGCGAGGTTGCTAATGAAGAGACATTATATTCAATGTACAACAGTCCAACGGATCCAAATATCGACTCATTGAAACTTCAAGTTATGAATTATTATGCTCCAGAAGTCACGGACAGAGTAATTGATTGCTATCCTCTGCCGACTTCCCGGGAACTGGAGGATTGGAAACGACTCTTTGGTGAGTGCTTGAGGTCGGTAATTACTTAGCTTTTCATCAGATACTAACTCATGGTTTAGGAAACATCATATCTGACGGCCAGGTCCGGGCGCCTTCGAGAGCATTGGCGATGCACCTGGTGGGGAATGGAGTTGATCTCCAGGATGTGTGGCGTTATCAGATTGCATACCGATTGTCATTTATCGACGAAACGGTAGCACCCATGTCGTTTGGAGTGGCCCATGCCATGGACAAGCCGTTCTGGAAGTGAGTTTTATGTATGTTCGGCCCTATTCGGACTTAAATTAACAAAGAAAAAGCTTTTCGATCCAACATGGACCAACGCCGAAGGAGAGGGAATTGATGGAAGATTGGATCCGGATCTTAGTAGCATTTGTGAACGACGAAGATTCGTTTGAGTTTGGTACTCAAGCTGTACAAGAGATGAGGGTAGTCACTCCGCAAGGCACGATCGAGATCCAGAAAGATGAACGTTGGGATGAGCTCTTACGGATCGGTGATATATTTAGTGGTGAAAAATAGCAACATTACGGCGAAGAAAGCCTCCTTCCAAGCCCAGGTTACGAGGCCTTCGGCCCATAAGATATTTGACCGGGAAGTAGATTTGCTCAGAAATGTAGTCTGAGTACATGAGAAGTTCCGACGGTTATTAAGAGGCGGGTCAGACAGTGGCCGACAAGAGTTCTAGACATAATAGAAGATCACTTAAACTTTAGGTAGGTTGAAACTACACCGAAGCATTTCAGCAAGGACACCCTTGCTATGATAACCTTCGTAACGGAAACTCCCCTAGACTAAGCCGATAACTTGGAGACATGAGAAGGTTGTAAGAGTTAGAGCCCTTTCTCTGTGGTACTTTTATAGGTTCTTTCATCGGCCGGGGTATTGAGCAAATTAAGCTGCATATTAAGTATATCACCAACTACTCCTTGTCCTTCCCTCTCTAGGTAAAGCATATGGAAGTATTGTATTGGCAGCCAGTCGTAATCGGATCACGAATAGTCCCGACTGTGGCCAACCAACTTGATCCTTCGTCTTGCCATACGCAGATTCCTACACTAATACTTGTACTTGAAGTGAATGTTCTCGCGATCAGTCATGTCGGCTTCCGCGTTCACTTTACCCAGACGCAGACTCTCCTCCTCGGAGATGCCCTGTTGCTGGATAATCTTTGCGCGGCGGCGGTTCTCCCAGATATCTAGACATAACAGTCAGTCGAGGTCAGGAAGATCGATGGAAGATGTGCTTACAGTAGAATCGCCATGAAGCCATGCTGCAGAATTCGACACCGTATAAGACCGCACAAGCCGTAAGGCCACGAATATACTTGGGCGCATCCGAGGCAACAAACATTTGTGCTCCAACGGCATTACCGACGCAGTAGGCGATGAAAAGCACCGTGGCCGTGACTGTTTTCTTCGTCCGGCCGGCAACGTTGGATGGTAAGAATGTCCAGATCACTGGAGGACGACGGTCAGCTGGTGAGATATCGTTGTGAGTAGGCTGGGGACTTACTAAGCCCGGGAAGTGAGCCAAATACTTGCAAGATGTACATGGCCCATCTTGTCCACTTCATGTCATTCTGTGGCAGGAATGCTAGCGCCATCATGCCAGAGAAGGCGGGCACAAGGGAGAACATCATCATGAGAACTGCTTCTGTTTAGCTAAGGACAACTAATGGGAGATCTCAAAGTACGTACATCGCAGGTTTGGCTTTTTCAATGTGACATATCCCACAATGATAAACCAGCAAATGCTGACGCAATAGTAAGGGGTTGATCCTTTGAGTAGAGTCTCTAGCGGAGTAAAGCCGAAGGACTTCCAGATCAACTTGGAAAAGGTAGTGTTGGCACCATTAGGCAGTGCGTTGATGATTGTGACGAAGAAGAAGAAATAGGTTTGAGGATCTAGGTTAAGTCCCCATGTCAGCACCTGCGCCAGCCTCACAAGATACAAGCGCCAACTAACCTTTGAATGTGGCCCATACCTGCTCCCGCTTAAATTCGGATCGCTTTTGCTGATCGGATCCTGTCTGGTTTGAAATTACACGGGCGATGGCAGCGCGCTTCTCATCTTCGCTCAACCATCGAACCTCGCGAGGAGTTCCTAAAACAAACCAGACAATGATGCCGCAAGTAATCGTCAGAGCTCCAAGCAAAAAGGAGATTCCCTTCCACTAGATAGAAGAAGTTCGTTAGCTTTGAATTTCAAATTGGTTTGGGAGACAACAAGGAAGTCGTACAGCAGCTACACCGCCCGGGTTGTTTTGGGCATGGAGACCAATACCATACATGGCTAAACCCGCAAGGATATTCATACCAGCATTTGATGTTCCCCAAATCAGCGATCGAAATGTGTGTTCCTGGGATGTATACCATGCCCCGGTGATCAGCATGAAGGTTGGAGAAATGGTACATTCTAAAGCCCCCTGAATCGTCCGGAGAATCATGAGGTGCGCAAAGTTCTTTGCAAATGCAATGCATAGAACAATGACGCCCCAGAGCACCATAACAATGGACAGAAACTTGCCGGTGTGGCATTTCTGCATAAGCCAGTTGCCAGGTGCCTCGCAGACCATGTAGGAAAGGTAGAAGATCGTGCTGAGCCAGTTAAACTGCTGGCCCACGAGCCCTGTGTCTTCTTGAATACCGAACACGGCCTGCACGCTGAGGGAGGTCTTGTCGGTCTGCTGCGTGCCATAGCAAATCCACATGAGTGGGAGAAGCCAGAGATCGATCTTCCAGAGCAGCTTTCGATAGTACTTAGTCGAATACTCTGCGGATACATCGACCGTTCCCTCTTGTACATCGTCGATGGAGGGTTTGTGCGTCATTTCAATGTCGAAGTTCTTGTCGTCTTCGCCGACTTTGATTGGTTGTTTGTCTGTCATTGTCGATGCTCGAAATTATTCGATGCGATTGCTTTGATGATTGAGAGATTCTGACCAAGTAGGGAACGATGCCGACATCTGAAATATAAGACACGTTGGCCCCTTGACCAATGGTCAACAGCATCAGGTGAGTTGTGTCAATTGGCGGTTATCTTGGCTCCTCGCCCAGAGGCTGAGAAGTCGGCCGGAACTCCCCCGAAGTTGGCAATTTTAGATAACAGGGCAGAGAGCTGCATCCACAGATAAGACACCATGATTCAGAATTAGACTCCGATCTGATATGCGGGGCACGAATCCAGCCGCCTACCCCAGACAGACTATTGTAAACCGCGGGAAGTTCCAAGTAGTCGGCTAAGGGATGCAAGTTTGTCACGCGCTCCCTGCCCTCTTCTTGGGGCTGTAACCGACACCTACGATACTATTCAGAAGAGGAACGCAGCCACCGTTTCTTCCCCATGGATGTTACTTCTTGACAGCACAACTGGTGGAAGTGAGTTTAGAAAGCTAGAGCCAAATTACAATGGGGTTGCAAATGGGGTCGTGCGCACGTACCTACTTTGCACAGCTACGGTTTTAGCACGAGCTGACGGGATCGGTAGTTGGCAGGGTCAAGAAAAAGAGGACCTTGATTGGAGTCAAGGAGTCCAACCCCGTGAGCTATGAACACCGCTAAATAAGCCATGCCAAAGTTCAGTTATACACCTTCTCCCATTTCGAATTGAGTCCCTCTCTGATTGTCTCTTCCTCCAGGAACTCAGCTTCATATCGATCTATAATATTCTTTCCAGTAAAGAAATCCACGTCTTCAATTTTGACCAGCTTGCTCTTCTGGGTAAGCATGTGGCCAAAGAGAAAGAACAAGATATACAGGAATGCCGATATCACCAGCAATGAAAAGGCATAGTCAAATGGTTAAAAAAAAAAAATCAAACAAGTTATGCCAGTAAATCAAGGTACACTTTCAGCAGTGGCCTCCTTTCCACCCGAGCCTAGGCCTATGTCAATAGTTCGTCATTCCCCGCTGACAGACAATCCAACACATGCAAATCACTTGAGCGAGTCACGGCCATATCTAGCGGCAAGCTGGCTTGGCGGGACCACCAAAATGCGTCCTCAAGAAGTGGACAGCACGACCGAAAGAGGGTGCGCTGGGCTTGTTATCCTTTATACACCCATCGACGGTCGTCTCGCCAAAGATGTACCCTTCTTTGAATTGGCCAAACTTGGTGTGCGCCCGCACGCGGGCCTCGTATTTATCTCCAACTTTGCGTACCTGGCAAACGAACTTGCCGCCAGCCGAAGACTTATTGTCACCGTGCAGGTCAGCCCAATTGCTGCCCCAGCTTCCAGACAGGTTCCCTGTATTGATGGCCTGAAGATAACTTAACGCTTCCTTCTTAGCATCGGAGATGACGTCGCGGCGGGCAAGGCGGCTGCGCTGGCTGCGTCGTTCGTTGGCATAGCGCCGGGAGATACGGGACTCTCTCGCCCCTGGTAGAACGTGTCGGTATGCCCCACGCCCTGCAAGGCTTTCCACGTTGTATTTGCTTCGGACGGCTAGCCTGGGGGCGGAAGTATATTCGCGTTCTTCGTTTCGAACATTTTGGCCAGGGCTGTAGGCATATGGCTTGTCTCGAATAGCGACCTCATCTCTGAGTTGGATGTTGTTAGAGAACGCGCTCGCAATTGACGCGGATAAGAAGAAGGTGAACGAAGCGAATCTGTTGAACTTCATTTTGTATTGTTGGACTCGAATTGAGTAAATTCTTAGCAGGTATAGAACTAATAAAAGAATAAGATATATGATAATAGAAAAGGAAAAGTAATTTTAAGTAGACTGTGTGTAGCATAAGACTGAGATTTTAGGTGGATATAGTTTTGAGAAACTCCATTACGGCTATTGCAGACTTTATGGCCTTGCTTAAAACGACATTTCACAGTCTCAAAGGACCTGTGTTTCCTCGTACCACCGATTTCTCTATTTTTAATACTCCTTTATTGTGATCCACGCTTTCCTCAACGATTGCGCATTCAGCTTAGCTAATGGATCAAGTCCTTTTGTCCAGCCTGACCATAAAAGGACATGATCACGCAGTAAAACGAATGTTGTAGTCACATTTACGATCCTGATCTTTGTTCGTCCCGCATCCTACAACACCCTGCTTACAGTTAGAAAAGGAGAAGAGGTCTTGCTTACCTCTCCGTGTTACTTTTCTACTACGCGTTACCTGTCGCGCCGATAGTCGCATTCAGCCTCAATACGAGCTGTATCAGCAATCCCTATATAGTTATATTATTCGTGGTGGCTGCAGGGCAAGTCCTTGGCTGTAACACATGTTGTGCAACTGTAAGGCTTGGAATGAAGGGGGCACGGAGGTATATTAAATGGCCTTTTGTATCTTCGCGGCTAGAATCCTTCATTAGTCACACTAAGGTAATATTACTACTATAGTATTAATTCAATTGTAACCCTGTGTTCGCGTCCAGAACGCACTGGTATAACTTACTACCTAGGCTGTTTTAGAAGTTGTTTTTATACAGTGACCTAGATATCAAGCTCAAAAGAGACCTTGGATTACAGAGATACTAGTAGTTTGGCGATAAGCGATCAATAATACTTACATTGACATTTGCTAGAAATATTAAAAGTGCTCAGGCGGTTCCCCAAGCACCATCAGGCTATGAAATTTCGCTACATCCAATAAGCGGGTGGCGAGGTAATATTAGAATTCTAGTAGGTAACATTCTTTAAATAGGGTGTACTTTTATGCAATTATGCATTATTCATATGCTTGTATACTTATACGCGCTTCTAGCGAGGGAATAAGCTCATCTTCTGCTTTTTATCTAAATGCGAATCAGGTGCCATTCCATCCCTCTATCTCACGTCATTCATCCGACCAGTGAGCGAAACACAACTCACGCGATACATATCCTTCGCCACATACCTACGTTACTTACCTATTTTAGGATTAGCAACTAAATAGGCACCGTTATTGTCCATCGACTCTCATGACTGGGATTTCTGTACATCTCAGCGAGTTTGCAATCTCACCTCAACTCTTCCAATCATTCATCACTTGTTGCTGTTGAATTTGTTTTGTTTCCGACTCTATATCGCATCGAAATGACAGAGCCCCTCCAAAGGTACAGGCTCCAGACTCTTATTCATTACAGAATTCCCAAGCTAATGAGGCAACATGCAGTCCCTATACTAAAGGGAGCACTCTTACACTAAGCGTCACAGATATTGGCAAAAAATCACCTCTGCAGCTCGAGAATGGCAGTGAGATAAGAGTAAAGATTGTGGACGTGATGGAGCCGGCCACAATGTCTGTCATTGCTATAGTCGAGCTCGAGTCACCTCAAACGAAGCAAAAATGCGTTAACTCCGGCGTCCCTTCCAAGATGATCCTTAAGCTGTACGACCGTCGATTCGCTTTGGATCTCCGGGAAGAAATTAAGGTCACCGGGCCCGCGACTCGAGCCACAGAAGACGAGTTTGTTGCATCCTTACGTCAGGGCTCCATGCCTAGATTCCTCGCGAAATATGAGGAAAATGATACGCTTGGGTCGGGCGATTGGGACACACCAATGAAAGAGGCCTACTTCTCTATTATGTCTACCAAAATGCACCAGACAGAAACGAAGGTCTATGACTGCCTCACGGACCTGCAAGGGATTCATGTGCCCACCTTCTACGCCAATCTTGACTTGGCTACGGAACCTACTGCTGGAGAGCAGCTGGAAGAGAGTATTACCGAGCACACTAGAGTCAGGGCGATTTTGATTGAGCATATCTCGGGCTTCCTTTTGTCTGATCTGGTGACGGAGACGTCGGAATCGGAATGGCCTGTCATCTGCACTCAAGCAATAGAGGCTGTGAACAAGATTATCGACTTCCATTTTATCAATCCTGACTTGCAGCCCAGGAATGCAATTGTCCACCGAAGAGAAGAGCGCTCGTACCAAATATTCTACATAGATTTCGGCATGTGTTATTTCCGGGATCCTTCCGATACCGATGAGAGGTGGAGGGAACGCAAACGTCAGCGAGGTGAGGAGGCTGCAGTAGGTGGTTCCCTTGCCCTCACTATCTCAAAGGCAAAAGGAAAGAAAGGTAAGCCTTACAAAGGGCCACTTCCTCTTCCTTGGGCATATATCCCCTCGGGTCGCTTTGAAGGACAATATCTGGAGCTGTGAGCAATGTATTTCTCCATGTTCAGGAAAAGATCATTTTAGCCTAGATTGAAAAAGTGAGACCTTTGATAAAGCGGCATAAATATTTTCGCCGGCCGGCTAAGGTCAGCTTCCATGCCGGTATCCATTAGAGGCTGGCACTGCCGCCATAAAGGGAAAGTAAAGAGGTTGATATGGAATAATTAGCTCAATATATCTTGCTGGCCCTTACCGCCCCTTGCTATAATGCCAATAGGGCTGTTAATCTTATCTGCGATGCGCAGGACGACAAGTTGCATTTGCTCCCTTATATTCTTTTAAGGTCTATCGTTGAAGATATGTGTGACAATTTGTCTCTGCAATGCTACCCAGCCCAGTTTACTGACAATGCACGCGTGTATAACAATGAAGCGGAGCTGGGAATTGCGATTGAGGAGTCCGGCGTGCCCAGATCAGTGCTGTTTATCACTAGAAAGACTCTGTATCTCGACGATATAGAGGGCGCCTTGAGAAGGACTCTCGGAAAGATAAGGGTGCCATACTTGGATATGTAAGGTTGCAATTTCTAGCCACTTCAGCGCGGGGCTGATCATCGTATTCCTCAGGTATTTGATCCATGCACCATTCTATGCTAGTTCTCCATCTCATCTTAAGTATGCCTGGAGGAGCATTGCGTAAAGAAGGGTTTGGTCCGCAATATTAGGCTATCGAGTTTCACAGAAGACCATAGTGACAGTCTACTGAAGACAGCGACGATCCATCCCGCAGTTCTCCAAGTTGGAGATGCATCCACATTTACATCAACAAAGACTCAAAGCTTATCTCCAGGAAAAGAAAAGCTCAATAAAGGCTTTTGGATGCTTAGCTCTGCTGACCCATCTCCGACGGCCCCAAACACTATTAACATGCTAACAAGCACATAGGTAGAAGCAAGAGCATAATTACACGTGCCCGTATCATACAAATTCAAGCTAATCCGTTTCTCTCCCCCTAAACTTGAACATCTCATTTGACGGCACGCTATTTCTATCCCTCATTTTAGCTGCGGCCTCGGGTCCAGCAACCGGTACCCGATACTCAAAAGAACCTCCCTTTGAGCTTTCCACTTTGTAGGGGAATGGTAGATACTCGGGCATTAGCCCGAGCTGCTTCAATACCGTGCCTTGGTCCCAGGAGATATGTTCATGGTACAACCTATCTCCACGAATATTGACGACTGCAGTGAAGGGAATCTCTGCCTTGAGGTTGGTGGGTGGGATTCCAGGAATACTTGAAGGATAAATTAGTCTCATGAAGCTATGTTTACTCCTAGTATGTAAAGAACCTACAGCCAGTCAATCTCTCGATCGTGGGTAAACTTGAAGATGAATTCATCAACTACAGTGTTGATGCCAAGAGTGCGGCTGATGAGTTCCAAGTCTGTATCGGCGGAGTTGTTGAAGATGAAATTATGGCGATAGAAATTCGTGAGCTTCTCACGGCCAATGCCACCCGTGAGCTAAAGCGACATGCTCGGTTAACTCAGACTGCCCGGCCAGAGGTGCGTAGAACCGACTTACCGTAGGAACGTGATTTACGTATGGCTCCTGTACCATGGTACTCATTGTATGCTCAACAGACCGGTCGGCAAATTCATAGTATGTGTGCTCCTCCCAGATTGTTTCCAGATCAAAATATGGCCCATGCATGCGCGGTTTCAGAAATTGAAGGCTTCTCGTGTGCGAGATGGATTCAGTGATGTAGTGGAAGTGCTCGTGAGTGGGTGTTGCAAAAGCATGGCTCTTCACTGATGGGTAATAATATTGTGTGACGCCTGGTTGCTGTTTAGGTGTTGTACGTTGTCCAGCCACATGATACAGTACTGGGATTTCAACAGCCGGAAGCCTGTCAAGCATTAAGATATCAGTGTAGACTACGCTGGCAATGACATCAGGAGTCTTGGCCAGCCCCGGAGCCGCAATGGCCCAGAGACTGGGATCGTAGGCTGTAAAGCGTCAGAGCCGAAATCCAATACAAGGACAGCGGCACTTACAAACTAAACCAAATTTGCCTTTGGGCTCGCATTTTGTACACTGGTCCAGCGCTTGCACAGCTTCTCGCAGGACATCCTCGCTCGCTCTATCTTGAAAAGCAGTTGAATCTAATTGGACAACTGCATATCCCTCCTCAGCCCATTTAAGCAGGCATGAAGGTGCGCCATCTGAGAATGCCAGAGGATCTTCGGATTTTGAATTCAAAATGATCAATCCAGGGCCCTGGCCGCGGCGTGAGAGAGGAAGCAGCAACGACACACCGGTTCTAAGCGTCGTAAGGTGTGAGGCAGGGAGTGGTGCCGGTGGTTTGGAGATGTCTGCGAACATGGCTTGATGGAATGAGTGCTAGCATGGAAGGTCAAGGGGTTGAAATCAAAGTATCAATGATGAGAGGAGAAGCTGGCAATCAACCGGTGTTCCCGTTTTTTGAAGGTTGCACCATTACGTCGTCGTTCGTCAGCCGTTGTCCAACCAAATTAAGACCCCGCGTATTTCGGCCTTTATCGCACAGCTACTTGTCGGCCGGAGCTCATCCGCTGCCGATGCCAGATCCCTTAGCCGACGACCTGCTAGATATGCCCTTTCTAGACGTACATCGGCCCGCACCCCGGTTCCCTCACAGAGTTGGCCATTGATTATAATCCCAGGTTTTCATAGTCCAGGCCTACCCTTCTCAATTCCGAGGCTAGGCTGATTTTACCAGTGCAAGCTATGGCTTCTCTCGCTCCCGGTCGTTGCTGCTCCATGGGAGCCCTGCACGAGTAAGTCCTGAAAGTTTGAAATTTTCCAAGGTCGGATGTTTATTCTAAGTTCAATAGAGGAACTCCAAATGGAAGCTCCATCGTGATTGACGATCACCTCGAGGCCTATCTGGCAGTGCCTCCAAAGAGCATAGATTCGCAGAATATAGGCCTTCTCTATATACCTGACATTCTGGGCATTTGGCAGAACTCGAAGCTCATGGCAGATCTCTTTGCTACGCAAGGCTATACCTGTCTCGTTTTGGACATCTTCAATGGAGATCCGGCGCCGTTGGAAATGCCAGAGGACTTCGACATCATGGACTGGTTATCCCATGGGTCGAACGGAAACAACCCCCACACGCCGGAAGCCATTGATCCTATCATCTTGAAAGGATTGGCTCACCTGAAGTATCTTGGGTTAGCTCGTATTTGTGCTGTGGGATATTGCCTGGGAGCCAAGGTAAGGGCGATTCAGCAGCTTCCACCTCTGAAAATTTCCTTCTCTACGCTAGCCATGTCTAACAGTACACCAGTACGTTATCCGCCATTATAAAGATGGCATCGAATGTGGCTTCATTGCTCATCCATCTTTTGTTGACTCCCGATGAGCTAGCCGCCATCTCTGGACCGCTTTCAATTGCTGCAGCAGAGAATGATGACATCTTCACGGCAGAAAAGCGCCATGAATCGGAGGGAATTCTAGCCAAGACAAATCACCGTTACCAGATCAATCTGTTCTCTGGGGTGGAACATGGCTTTGCGGTGAGGGGAGATCCTTCAGTGAAAGCAGAACGTTTTGCCAAGGACCAGGCATTTTTGCAAGCAGCTGCCTGGTTTGGGGATTACTTTGGTACTCTTTAATACAAATTCTATAGACATTACAGAATCCTCGTTACCTAGCCTGTCTAATTAAAGAAGCTCATGTAATGGGAACCTAGCTACATCTAATCACACTACACAATAACTATATCATAACCATATGATAATCACATAATGACCATCGGAAAACAACTGTCCTCGATTTGCTGTGAAGATTTCCTCTGATGGGAACATAATAATGAACATAATGCGGGGAAGTAATTATTGGTTCGCAATCAGCTTGTGGTTCGCAATCAGCTCGTGGTTCGCAACAAGGTCTCTGGTATATTCGATAGCGGCCCAAGGCGCAGTAGTTGGGCACCCTAACGTCATAACCAGAGGGTGTGGAGAAGAAGACAACCAAATGACATGGCGTGTCTGCCAGAATCTGACTCGGGGAAGGCGTCAAGTGGGGTATTCGTCCTTCAGCTACCTACGCTGCGTTGACGTGTCACACTGCAAGGTTGCCTTTCGTGAAGGAGCTCACGCTTGGCGACGTACTCGGCGATGGTGTGATGGTTCTTACGCAGAAGCCGTTGCCAGCTCTGGGAGCTTCAAGGATGGAGGGCAGTGCAGTGTGGCGGTTGGCGCCGTACCCCTCTCTACCCTGGTCTGATATCAGAGGGTTGGTTGTCCAAGAGTGATACCCGACCCTCTGTGCTGAAGGCCCAGGACCGACCCGGACACCAAGTCAAACTCGCTTTCCCACACTCTAGCAATTCAATTGCTCTTCCCAGCATAGCTCAGAACCCCGAGTATACCAAGTACACTACGTTACTCATTCAACATCATGGATGCGCTTTCCATAGCGGCGGCTGTCGTCGCGTTCGTCGACTTTGGAGTCAAGGTTTCCTTCAAGGCGTTTGAGATACACTCGTCCGCCACGGGCCAGCCAATCCAGGTGATCGGCCTAGCTTCCTCTTCTAAACACCTCTCCTCCCTTGCCTCTGCGGCGAGGGAGACAATAACGACGTCCAGCTACTCCGGACAAATGGAGTCTTTGGACTCTCTCGTCGTAGAATGCACCGATGTGGAGGAGAAGCTCAAGGACGCACTCACCAAGCTGACGGTGATAAAGGAGGGCAAATGGAATAGGGCGCGTCAGATCCTCGAAGTGTCCATTCGTAGCATTTGGAAGCAAGAGGAACTGGACGCAATGAGCACGCAGCTCGACAAGATCCGCGGCCAGGTCATGATGAATGTTTTGATGTGTGTGTGGTAAGTACAGCAGAAGGCCTTTCTACTGACAGCTTGACATGAATTGCAGAACTTGGACGCTGACTGCATAAAAGGCGCGAAGCGAGCAACAACAAGAGCCAGACTGAACATGTCCTCCAAACCGTCCGTCGCATTGAAACTGCGATGAAGGATATGGACGAGGACTTCAAAACCATGGGAGCAGGCGGCCGGCTGCAGGACGACAAAGGAAAGACGAGGATGAATACGGCAATCTGGGCATCCACGGGTCTGGTTGACGTTACAACTGACGAAGCCACCGCTCCTCCTCCGTATACACCCCTGCCGACAATCGAAGCACCGAGAGATGCTGGCATAAAGATCAGGATGCCGTTTTCGCAACGATTACTCCGCAGCCTTCAGTTCGCCGAGATAGACAACCGCGCCAGCCAAATCAAGTCGGCTTTCCCGAACACGTTCAAGTGGCTCTTTGACGATGAAGGCGAGCGTCAAAAGTACGGAAAAGAGAGTTCTGGGCTGAGCTTTCGGCGATGGCTGAGCTCCCATAACGACGGCTCCCATGGCGAGGGCTCCCAGGGCGAGAAAGTCTTTTGGATCACCGGCGTGCCCGCGTCTGGCAAGAGCACGCTGATGAAATTCATCGCCACCCACCCTTCTCTCAACCGACGGCTCCAAGAGTGGGCAGGCCAAGACCGAGTACAAGTAGCCAAGTTTTACTTTTGGAACGCAGGATCCAAGATCCAAAAGTCGCGTGTCGGTCTCTTCCGGTCGCTACTCTACCAGCTGCTGAGCCAGAACCCCGAGCTGTCCGAGATTGTGGCCCCGAGGCGACAGCTCTACTTCAGCATTGCAGGTGACGGGGCGGAAGCTCCAGACTGGGAATGGTCGGAGCTCTGCCGATGCTTCTCTAGGCTTGCCTGGCAGCTGAAGAGCAAGAATATACGTCTCGCGCTGTTCATAGACGGTCTAGACGAGTATGAGGGGTTCGACGACAAGCTGCCCGAGACTCACCAGTTGACCGATGAGATGGTAACCTTTCTCTTGCGGTCTCGAAGGGAGTACGATTGGAAACTTTGTGTGTCGAGCAGGCCCGGCAACTACTTTCGTGACAAATTTACCAAATCCCACTCCTTGGCCATGCAGCAACTCACACAACCAGACATCGACGAGTATGTGAATCAGCGCCTGCTATCCAGCCAGGCAATCCAGGACGCTATGATGATCGATCAAGAGGCCATCGAAACGCTGATCAGCAACCTAAAAACCAGGGCTCAGGGCGTCTTTCTTTGGGTTGTACTCGTCGTTGAACAGCTCCTCATTACTGCCCAAGATGACCCCCATATCTCCGTGATCCTCCGAGTGTTCGACAGCTTGCCCCAGGACCTGAACAATCTGTACAACGCTATCCAGAACCAGATAGGGCCGGAAAAGCAGCGGCGCGCCTCTAAGCTTTACCAGCTGGTCATGGAATGGAAAAGGACCTGGAACGGGTAGATGGAGGCCATCTTCCTTTGGCTCGCAGACGAGGAAGACCCGGACGCTGCTGACTACCCTGGGCCGAGAAAAAAGTATCCCGAGAGAGAGAAGCATGAAGCGATTGTGAAGCAGACCTTGAGGGTTGTAGAAGGGTGCACCAGAGGCATTCTCCAGGTCTCGGACCCCACAACGAGAAGAGGCCCTCCGACGGTCGACTTCCTTCACAAGACGACTTACGACTGGATTCGAGAGCCTGGCAACTGGAAGGGGATGGTTGAAAAGGGCCCGGAGAGTTACCAGCCCATGATCCCCATCCTTGCCATTTTGGCCCGCCATGCACAGTCACTGTCCACCACAAGCAAGTACTCTACCCGCAAACAATGCATCAGCCGACTCTTCCTACTGGCAAGCAAGGTCCAAGATCCACCAAGGGTTAGATCCCAGATAACCGCCATCCTCGACCAGCTCGACGATCGAAAACTCAGGGATCTTGGCATCGACAGCATCTTGTTGCAGACTGCGATACCTACCAAAAGCAAAGGTATGGACAGAATGGCAGAATCAAGCCACATGACCTGGGCCGCCGCATGGGCATGCCGGCCTTACATCTGTGGTAAGGTGGAACAGAACCCTTCTATCCTCTCGGCGCCAAGGCGGCCTGCTCTGCCGTTCGGTCTGAGGAAAGGCACGCCCTCCAGCATACCAGTCTTCGAAATCGTCATGTTCGGATACCGCCTCCATGGTTCACGCACGGAAACAGGGGAGGAGAACTGGTTTCACGGTGTGCGGAAAATGAACGCGTGGCAGGCGTGGCAGAGGCTGGAAACCATCAAGGAGCTTCTTCAGAAGGGGGCCAAGATCGAGAGGTATATGAAAGAAATCCTTCGAACGGCGGTCAAGGACGCGCCCCAAAACAGCGTTGAGGCCAAGTATGCCAAGCTGTTGTTTGACCTATCGGGGAGCAATCACATTTTGGGGTCCTTTGACGCGATGAGGCGAAAGTCGTTTCCGGAACACGAGGTGGACAAGGCGCGCAGGGATGGGGAGTTTCCAGACTACCAGATCGATTCGTAGTCGCTTACAAGCGTCGCCTCCTTTGTGGCCTCGACTCGAAACTGAGGTTCTATTTAACCCCTTTTATCTATAGGTCCTATCCTTGATTGAAGGCATCGCGGGACCCAAGAAGTTCGTTCTTCGATTTCAGATGCGATTCGTAGAGTTGACAGCCTCAAGAGGGATGACGAAATTGATTCCTCCGACAACTCTCTGTTAGCGATGACTCGCGTAGGCAATGCGAAGTAAAACTCGACTCCTGTTGCCACCCTCCACCGTTTCAAAGACATCAATGGAACCCTCATGAGGATCTTCATCTTCGGCCTCACCTGATTCTCTTTCACAATATCCTAGATACGCTGCACAACTAGCTTTACCGTATGAAAGGCACCCCCGAAATCGACATCTTACTTCGAGGCGCTGTACATGATCCAGTAAATCGTCGCACCAACGCCGAGCTGCTGTGGCAGAGCGTGAAGCATGTCGCACAGGGTGTCAGGATCGTGCTGCTCAAATCCACGAACATAACTCCTTCGATCCATGAACTCCAGGTCAAGAGACAGACATTGTCTCCAACAGCCTCTTGAATGTTGCGATCAATAACAAGCATATCTGGGCGGCCCGGTTATATCCAGTCGACAAATTGGTTAGAGAGTGCTCGTAGGTTTGTAGTCTGCGGTGGAACTGTTTTGTTGTGGACAAGCCGGTTTGTGAATTATCACTTCTTAAGTGGGACGCGTCAAAATCAATGTCTGTTTTCTGCGATGGAGACTTATGATTAGAGCCGGTAGACAGGATCTGGAATAGAACTTCAAATGACAGAAAACTCTAGATGTTTCCGGACGGAGATTATGGCTAGAGTATGCCCCATTACTTATTGCCCGATAAACCGATCAAGATTCGTTAAAGAGATCGGGTCCTCTGCATAGATGAACCAGTGTTTACTATGTGTGTCTCGTACTATTCAGACCTACTCTTTTGCGATTCAGGGAAGCTGTGAAGGAGCTAGAGGTTTACTTTATCTCTGATCCGAGCTATTCCCAGAAGGGCTTATTATATTCTTTCGACGTAACGCATGGAAATTTACACACCCTACCCAATCTAGAATTTAGAGACAATCTCTTTAATCTCCATACTTCCATCTAATAAACTTGACTTCTCGTAAAGTCTACTATACATCTTTCTAGTCTTCCTGATAGTGGCGTCTCTGTAATTATCGACAGCTATGAGAAGGGCTTTAGCTTTCTCATGCAGGCTTTCCAGTATTCCCCAAAAATCTTAATAGAGATTAATTTTAATATTATTAAACTAAGCTTAGCTATTATATTATTAAGAGGCTGTCTAAAGAGATTTAAAAATATATAAAAGGAGTATTATAATATAACTACTACTATATAATATATAATTATATAAATTACTAGGTATTAGGAATTAATAAGCCTATATTACTAATAATAAAAATTCTACTATAGTAAATACTATACTATACTCTTAGATATAATAAACTAATTAATATTTTTATATTCTTAAATATTCTAATAAATAAACTTTTCCTAATATAAACTCTCTAACACCTTAATTTAATCTTAACTAGGAATATAGAACTAAAACTTAGCTTAATATCCTTAACCTTTAAGGGCTACCTCTACCTAGATAAGCTTAATATAGTATATAATATACTAAAACTAAAGGTTATATTTTAGGTTATAATAGGTATAGATAAGGAGGTAGCTATTATTAAGATATAGTATTTAATCTAGCTATCTCTTATCCTCTCTAAGTGCTTATAGTAATACCTAGCTATAGGCTATATAATAAAGAGATAGACCTAGTAGATATAGCTACTAAATCTATACTATTATAAGTGGCTTTATTACTATAAATAGGCCCTTAATTAATTAGAGGGGTATATCTTAGATTAGTTTAGAATAGAGCTATCTTATATAATATCTAATAATTATTATTATATATATAAGGACCTAGTTATATAGCTTAATTAAGCCCTAATAGATAGGGATATTTATATTTAATATTATTATTATTATAAGGTGTTTAATAGTTATAGTTAGTAGTAATAAGTATCCCCTCTTAAGGCTATAATTAACTTATATATTAGCTAGCCCTTATTAGAGTTTTTAGAAGATATAATACTTATACTTAAGTGAAATATATAATTATCTAAGTTTTTATAGTATTAAAGATTTAGGTATAAGCTATAAATTATATTTTAAAAACTATATATAATAATTATATATATAGCCTGATCTTAGGACTAGATAACCCTTATTTATAGCAAGAAAAAACAAACAAACAATAATACAACCACGGTTAAAGTCACGGCAGATTAGAACTTTCTGACCCTACCGTATACCTAGTGAGTATGTACCATAGTGTGTGTTCTCGACAATTGTTTCCTAAAAGCGTCAAGCATCCATGTATCCCTGCATCTCCACATTGCGAGGATTCTGCTCAGCCTAGATTATTGGTGCGGTAGCATCCCCGATACCACTTGGGGCCACTTCAACTTGATATTATCCAAGAGCCTTTGAAACTGTTCGAAATGCAGTTGCTTGTGCTAGCTAATTAGGCGATGTTGCGCTCCACTAAACTTGTACTTGAATAGCCTAGGTCAACCATAGCTCAAACGTATTTATAGGGAGCTTGAACACTAGGTACAAACAGACTTCATAGAGACATCATCAACCTTCATCAGACCATAGTGTTAAAACTTATTTCACAGAATCCCAAAATGCATCTTTCAACCTTTAAAGCTTTAGTTCTTACTTTGGCCGTTTGTGCAACAGCAAACATCATTCCTGAACGTCGCGCCGAGCCTTTTGCAGGTTACCTCATGACCGGATTTTTGACAATTCACACAATATCGAGCAATTTCTCTCGGTTGGAAATGACCCTATTAATTTCCAGCACTTGAATCAGGGCAACTCGATTCTCAACTCAGATATTGGCACCGGTGGCGTCAGGGATCCGTATCTAACTACCAATTCCGATCGATCGGTCTTTTATTTGATTGCGACCGGTATGACCCTTCCATAATATCTGAATTCCTAATGCTAATACCCACTATAGATCTTGATATTACCGTACCTGACTTTAGCTGGGACACGGCTACCAGGAATGGAAGTCTGGGAATAGTGGTCTGGACATCGTCTAACCTAGTGGACTGGAGTGGTCCGTACCTTCCAACTGTCGAAGTACCTGAAGCAGGAATGGTCTGGGCTCCTTCAGCAGTTTATGACGTGATGAAGCAAGGTTGGGATGTCTTTTGGTCCTCAAGGTTCTACGATAACCCCTCCCACTCCGGGTGGGCAACCTACGATCGGATTCGCACGAGCTTTACAACAGACTTTGCCACGTTCTCGACTCCTAGCAACTATATATCTCTTGCTGACACCTCTGTCATAGACCAAGAGTTCCAATACCTTGGCTCTCCTGGAAACTACGTTCGGTTCTTGAAGAATGTCACGACCAGTCAAGTTTTCGCAGAAAAGACCACCACTGGCATTTTTGGGACATGGGACCGCGCTCCGGGAAATGCGCGCGAGGAAAGTCCACGCGAGGGTGCCTTGGCCTACAAAGACAACGTGGTTGCAGACAAGTACTATCTGTGGGTTGACGACGACTACATCCAGTATATCGCCTACGAAACGACTGATATTCTGAACAATGCGTGGGAACCGACAAGTGCGAATGGAATTCCCCCATCCATCAAGCATGGATCAGTTTTTCCAGTCACGCAGGCTGAGTATGACCTCCTGCTCGCAAAGTACCCAGTCTAGCTTCCCCTAAGGAAATATGAGCGATATGATGCTTCAGATTGTCCGATAGGATAAATTGGATGGGGGTCACGGTACATCTGCCTGTCTCGAAATGGCAGCCGGCACGCCCAAGACGCAATCTTGGGACTGTGACACTTTTCAGTCGTCACATCATATCACACAAAGGACGTTAGTTTAGGAAGAGCGATTAAATAGCCGTGGCATAAGCTTCTACTCTAGCTAGTTCATGCCAAACAACGTTACCCGATTTTATTATCCAATTTCGTCGTTAAAGCTTATATAGGCCAGGCTACATTTGCAGGCCACACCTAGCCCGCAGCAAATTTTCCTATTGATTGCGATATAAATCCATACTACATTTAAGTGAGTTCGGTTCCACCCATGTTTACCGTTTAAGTTAAATGATTTAGCGAGTTATACCGGAACCCTAGGTTATAAAGCTATCTCGCCTTCCTTCTAGAGCGATAGGAGGGAGTAACCCTTAAGAAAGGTTGATTATTTAAAAGATCTCGCATTAATAATCCTAAGTATTAAATTTATAGTCTTAATATAATCGTGAACTATTATCTTTATGCTTAACAACTTAGAGAATAAATGGCAGTACGTGTCTTAATAAATATGCTCTCTATCATATATTCAGTACTCTGCAGATAAATTATCATCCAAAGCAACTGAGGAGGAATTTAGCCAAGTCAAGCTTCAGCATAATAAGTTATATATAGGTAGTGAGAGGCAGGCTATAAGATTGGCAAAAGAAATATCACCTATTAAGAACACTTAACTTGTGGAAAGGTGATTCAATTTGGAAGTCATTGTCCATTAATGATATAGAGCAAGCAGACGACTGTATTCATTCGTAACAGATAACTACCTAGGTAAACACTGTTGGTGAGATAACAACTATCAATTTAACTGTAGACAACACGTTACCGAATGCCTTTGCTAGTGTGCTACTACACATGACAGAGGAACTACAATGTAGTAGCAGGTTTAGGTAGCATAAGGACATCTGAAATCTGTAAGATGTGGCTAAGCCGCCTTAAATTGCCACCAGTTGAAATTGAACAAGTCCAAGCTGCCTTCACCCCTGAAGACAAAATACAAAGCATGAAGCCCATTCGCATTGGTAATGTCGCAGGAGACAGTCACGTAAGTCTGCCAACCGCCTGTCCCCGGAACGATGCACGTGCCCACCAATTGCCCAGTAAGAGCGTCAAGCCGCAGCTCAATGGATCCTCCATTGAGTGCGGAGGCGACGCGAGCAGAGAAGCTTGCTGCGCCTGCACCAAATTCTACACCTTGCACTTTGATGTAGTCACCGTTGTTGATGGACCAGATATTCAAAGTTCCTTCTCCAGATGCTTCGGTCTCAATGCCTTGGCTCCAGGACATTGTTTCGGCCTCGTGCTGAGTATACGGGTCAAGACTTCTGATTTGTGTCGGACCGCTGCGGCTCATCTGCACCTGTTGTATAGTGCCATCTTCGTTGTAGAACAAAGACTCTACACACACAGAGCGCGTAAACCCACCGCCTCCAGGGAGAGCACCGTTGTGATAGAATAGATAGTCTTGTCCTTGAAATTGAACGATGCCACCGTGATTAGTAAAAGCAGAACCTTCACGGTCCATGATAATTCCGCGGTATGTCCATGGGCCCTTTGGACTCGGCCCAGTCGAGTACTGGAGGTTTTCTTGGCAGCAATCAGCTGCAAAGGACATATAGTAGAGGTCTCCTCTCTTGTGAAGCCACGGTCCCTCCTCATACATGGTTGTTCTTGTGGGATGGTTGAAACGGGCGCCAAAGCTCTCAGCTGTGAGCTCAACTTGCTGAATGTCGCCAGAGTACGAAATCATATCTTCATTCAGATAAACATACAACAGGCTAGGATTACCCCAGTATAGGTAGGCTTGTCCGTCATCGTCGATGAAGATAGTCGGATCGATCTCTGTATTGTCAACTAGGGGATGACCGAGAGCGTCGACGTATGGCCCTGAAATGGCATCAGCCACGGCCACGCCAATTGCCATAGCACCACCATCAGCCTTTGATACGGGGACATAGTAATAGAAGCGGCCATTTCGGGCAACAACATGGCCAGCCCAAGCTCTTTCACTAGCCCAGCTGAACGTCGCCAAGGACATGACTACACCGTGGTGTTGCCAATTTGCCATGTCGTCGGTCGAGAAAAGATGCCAGTCCCTCATGTCAAAGTTTGTAGATCCATCTTCGTCATGGCCGGTAAAGAGCCACAAACGCCCATCGTGCACGATGGGGGCGGGATCAGCGGTGTATATCGTCTGCACAACTGGGTTATCAGCAGTCCCAAGCCCAACAAGTAGGCTTGCCAAGAATAGGACCGCGAATACGAGTCTTGAGTGATAGCTCATAATGTAAAGGGTTAGAGAGAGTACCATGAAACAGAATATATCGGGATTGGTTCATATCTATCTGTGGATTCTCAGAGGATGTTCGTCCGCAAGTCGTGGGTATGGCCGATTTTTTAAATCCAGCTATTACTTTCCCAGGCAAGGGTGTTACGAAAAGCTAGGCAAGATGGGCTAAGCATACTTCGAGTTGCCACAGACCTACTTGGCAAGAACAGGGCACGCGAATCCGCACCAACCGAGATGTCTTCCATAACCACCTCCCTCTTTTTTTTTAGCGCCAGAAAGGTAATTGCCGAGAAGAATGGCGGATATTGATCATTGGTGCGGCAGATTTACAATATGACAGAATGATCTCTAGGTTTTAACCGGCGGGTAGGGGCTGTCGAGTCTTGGTGGTGCTGGCGGGGGTGACCCCAGCTATTGGTGCGGGTTGATTCGGGATGCCAGAGCAGGAAGCGCTTGGATAAGTCGACCGCTTCTCAACCAAGGTAAGATTAACCCTTTTATCCAAGAGACTTGCTTCTAACGCAGGAGAGTTGCTAGATCTTCTGCACGACACTGCAAGCCGACCCCACGTTCCCTTGCGGTTGGGGACCTTTTTGTTCGCGTCAGGCCATTTTATTTATTTATAATAAATCTTGATTAACTCGGATAACAACAAGACCACGCCAACAAAGCGTGTGTACGAAGTATTTCAATAGTTCCACGCTGGATCAAAGTTGAGTTGAAATCCACCATCCGGAAATAGGTCCATCATAAAGCCCTCATCTTCCTCGTACATTCCGATGTTCATACCGTTGAGTTGGTTAGAATCGGGCTGGCCGGTCTGCCCCGGTCCGAAATCTAGAGGCATCTGCGTTGGAGGGCTAACACCTGTGCTTCTGGTGAAGTCTGACACGGTCTTTCGGAACCCCTGGAAGATGACGGGCAAGCGTCTGGGCATGGGACATTGCATGCCTCGACTAAAAGCTTCTTCTACCTTTGTCGGCACTTGTTCAAGAAGCTTGAGAAGGTCTACTGCTGGGAGAGCCTCTGACGCCTCCGACTTCATGGTGAGGATACGAGCTAAAGTGCGAATGGCGTGGCCCATCTGAGTCCAATGGGGGTATGGTAAAGATAATACCGTATAGCCATCGAGGGCCAGGAAATCCATGATCGCCGCTTTAGCAGCGTCGGCAGTTGAAAAAGCGAGCGAAGTGCACCGGGCCGCGGCGCTAATGCCGTGGGCATGTAGATCATCATGGCTCATGTTGTGGGACACCCCATCCAAATAGCTTCGATAGAGCAGTAGACGTACGATGTCGTAGGATAACGAGAGGAGTACTAAAAGGTCGAAAGGTTTAGCATTGACACTATTTGAAGTAGCGCATTGGGCACGCGGCAAATGGGATTGAGACTTACCAGACGAGGAGCTGTCACTGGGCGGCAAACGTGAAGGATCAGCTTTCTTAACCTCCCTTCCCAGCAAATCGAACATTGCATGTGCTGAAAACTTCAAGTTACTGCTTCCGTCATCCTCGCTGATGGCCGCGATAACTGTCTCGGCTGTTATCTGCAACTGTACTAATCTCACCAAGTGCAGGTCTGATGGAAACTCTTTGGCCTGCTCCAAGATATGGCAGCTGTTAGCTACTGATGAGCTCGACTTTGCACCAGCAACATCTCCTAGACAGGCCGAAAGTCTGCGTCGTAAAATAACAATTAGTCAGTCACTTAAACCTCAAACGGTGCTTCTTGACGTACACTGAAGACAGCCAGAAAAGGCCAAGTTGCGCCCGCCGCTGTTCCAAAGTTCTCAATTCTCCATTGCCAATAGATTCGGAGCCAACAAGGGCACCTAGCCTGGCCTTTGCAGCCTGGCGAGGCTCATGATAGATGTCGAGATCTACCGCGAGAGCTATAGCACTATGGATGAGGCTGGAAAGCGTTGAGCCTAGGTGTATGTGGACGTGGCGCCTTTCAAAGTCCGTAAGCGTCTCCAATAAATATGACGTGATGAATAAAATGTGCTCACCAAGCTATAAAAACCAAGATGCCTTGGAGGAGGTCTAGCGAGACTTCGCTCTGGTCCCAAATTCGATGAGCGATCTCTGTTCGGCACAAACTACAGAGCCTTGATTGTAGTTCCACATCGTGCTGACACGTCACCGCGATGATGATCATGAAAAGGACGGGTTTCTCACGAAACAACTCGGCCGGAGTCATGTGAGGAGAAAGAATAACGAAGGGGAAGAGCGGCATCATGTCATTACAATACAGGTTGAGCATCTCAGATGCACGGCGTTCTGGGTCGGTGAAGATGGATGATCCGGGCGGAACCGAGTGGTCAATAGCTGAGCTAGGAGAAGGATCTTGAGAAGTAGAGGCATTTGAGCAACCAGGGTCTACCAAATGTGCTGAGACTGGCGTAAGCGGCCGTGCAGCAGTGCCGGATCTCGGCTGGCGAGGGAGAACATGCCTAGATACCGGTACGATCAGCACAAATTGATAGACCTCTTTGTGGCGGAGGATGAAGAGCCAGGCTCCACGTACTGTCGGCCGTGGTTTCGTGGGGTCACCGCCCTGCGGCTGTGGCTACCACGCGGCTGCAATGTGCACTCCTTGTTTAGTCGTGCACAGCTGATATCGATGTCAGTAAGCGTTCTCTAAGGGCTCCCGACAGAAAAGGAGGCAACTGGGTAGGCAGGCAGGCAGGCAGGCGAACGGGATTCCGTTCCTCGAATTGAGTGCAAGGGGCAACGGCTCGCTCGATCACTCACCGCGCACACTTTGCTTGACCAGGCACGAGATCACATCGCGCTTTGGCTTTTGCGCATACGCTGCACGATTTCAGATCCAGTGTCTTGGGCATGGCGAGTTATTCTCATCTCGAGAGGAAGTGGGTTGTCTTTGGTTCAATCTCAGCGGTTCATAGAAACAGTCGTCTCCCTGCATGCGGGTGGGGCTTCTATAGACTGAACAAAGGGGCTGTGCCGATTGGGTTTCATTCTCAAGGCCCCTATCTTAAGGTAGGTACCTTACCTAAGGCAAGGTGCCTTCGGGATTGATACTCACAGAAGCACCACGAGGCAGATTAAGCTTATTATTAAGTTCAACTTGGCGTACTTGCTTGGGTTGCCACAGATTCGATTCCCATGGGATGAGTGAGTGAGTGATCAGCATGCATTGATGGACGTTTTAGTCCCCACCAGGAAGGATGATGGTGGCTCCAAAGGGAAAAGATCAGTGGTCAAACGGAATTCCGGCCTGGCGAAGCAGTTATACGAACGGAATCCCGTTTGTTCAACGACAACTTGACAGTTCAAGTATCAAGTTCAAATTAGTATCGTGGCTGTGATGATTATAATTGCTTTGCTGGCATGGGTTTCCTGGGACAGATGAATGACAGTGATGATGTTCTATAAACTATAAAATAGTCTCGACGTCGACTTGTTTACTAAACAGCCATTCATCAATAAGCATACAGCAACGAACAAGCTCCTCGATTCCTTTCACGCTCTATCCCTAGAGCAAACCTCTCCTATTTCCACCTTCTAATTTTCCGATGGCACTTTTCCTCCGGCAAGTATGGGCTCTCACCATGAAGGACTTGAGAATCATTCTATTTGGGCCCTGGATCTCTACGCCCATCCGGGCGTTCATATTTCCAATTTTGTTTTCTGTTTTTCTGTGAGCTGCATAATCCCTAGCATCGAAAGTTTGCTATGCTGATAACACGTCAGATGCTACACTAAAAACCTCTTCTCTCCTCCGACAGAGCAAGGCATCGGCCAGCCGCACAAGGTCAGATCTCTTCCAGATGCCCTGAGTAATGCTTCCGGCGGTCGAGAACAACTCGTCTTCGTAGACAATGGTTTCCGCGCCGGAGAGATTGAACAAGTTATTTCAAATCTCATGGTCTCCATCAATAGCACGGAAATCGAGATCAACGTGTTGATAAGCGAATCAGAACTGCTGGCCCAATGCCAGAGCGCAAGCAGCGGGTCATCAAAATGTATCGTGGCAGCCACATTTCACTCGTCGCCATCCGAGGGCGAGAGTGGCAGATGGAACTATACAATTCGCGCCGACGGCTCGCTCAAAGGTGGCCCAAATGCCCAGTCAGAGGACAATGATGCCCAAATTTACACGTTGCCATTGCAGCGCGCCATAGATCTGGCCATTGCTGGTTACATGCACTCAACGTCTCAAGTTGTATCTGAGATTCCATTTACCTCAATGACTAATGAGGACCAGAGACTGCTAATACATGAAGGGTTCATGGACAGAACCGACAGGATACTGTCCATTGCCTACTTTATTGCCATGGTTGGGGTTCTATATCAGCTAGCCGGACGTGTCGCGACGGAGAGAGAGATTGGCATGGCACAGCTCCTTGACACAATGATGCCCAACACTCGCCGCTGGGAGACTCAGGCTGCACGCTTGTTGTCCCACCTTGCCGCCTTTGTATTCGTGTACGCGCCAGGCTGGATCGCCATAGGCGCCGTCATCGGGGCCATGTCTTTCACGAACACATCCATCATAATCCCGATCTTGTCCCATCTACTGGCTGGAATCTCGCTCACTGCAAACGGTCTCTTCTTTGGCTGCTGCTTTCAAAAGTCACAGATGAGTGGCTTCACGGCAGTCATCGTGAGCGTGATTCTGGCAGTTGGTGCCCTTGTCTCTGGAGACATTGCAACCGGCTGGATTGTCTTCTTCTCCCTCTTGTTCCCCCAATGAACTACATGTACCTTCTCAAGTTGACCGCGAGATGGGAAAGCCATAGCCAAGCTGCTAGCGTTGTCGCGTCTCTCCCGTCAGGCCACCCCAACGTATCCATACTCGTATTCTGGGTCTTTGCCGTCGTTCATGTAGTCACCTATGTCCTTGGAGGCGGCCTCGTCGAGAAGTTCTCCTGGGGCACCGCATCCAGCCGGCGTACAGTCCAGCCACCAGACCTTGCAGTTGCTGTCCGGCTACGCCAGTTCACAAAAACATATAGCGCAAGCGCTCTGCAGAAGTTTTTCAGCTTTGTCACTCGGACACCGCCGGAAGACTTTACGGCCGTTGACCAGCTCAGTCTGGAGGTAGTTCGAGGAGAGATCATGGTACTCCTAGGCGCCAACGGCAGCGGCAAGTCTACGACCCTTGACTCCATCGCCGGATTGCAAGCGCCCACCTCTGGATCGATCGATTTAAGCTTTGCCTCGACTGGGGTGTCTTTCGGTCACTGCCCCCAGAAGAATGTCTTGTGGGAGGAGCTCACCGTCCGCCAGAACATTGCGATATTCGACGGCATGAAGTCCATATCAAAAAAGTCGTCTCAAGCGCAGCTGGCAGAACTGATTGAAGCTTGTGACTTGACGAAAAAGGCATCTTCCAAGGCTGGATCACTGTCTGGCGGTCAGAAGCGCAAGTTGCAGCTGGCGCTCATGTTTGCTGGAAACTCAACACTGTGCTGCGTGGACGAAGTGTCCTCGGGCGTCGATCCATTGTCACGTAGAAAGTTATGGGACATTCTACTGCGTGACGTGGGTCAGAGGACCATTCTTCTCACTACACACTATCTGGACGAGGCAGACTTCCTTGCAGACCGGATTGCTATGCTATCACATGGTGTGCTCAAGGTGAGTGGAACGCCAGTCGAGCTGAAAGAACGCCTTGGGACAGGATATAAAATCAGAGTTCATGATGGTTTGGTGTCGAACAGTTCTAACCCACACGGCGATACGACCGACAACTCTGAGCGCGTTTTTACTACCGGCAACCCGCAGAATACTTGTCGCTTGCTAAGAAAGCTGGAGGCTCAGGGAGTATCGGACTACCAAGTAGACGGGCCAACTCTGGAAGATGCCTTTCTAAAAGTTGCTAGCGAGGATTCCTGGCCACAGCCGACTTCCCTACAAACTACGGAAGAAGTCCGTCGATCGACGGCCGCATTTGTCAATGAAACGTATGAACCGAGCCCCAAGCAGGGAAACATGTCTGCTCTACACAGCGGCCGAAAGACCACGATACTCACGCAAATGAAGATTTTGCTCTACAAGCGCTTCACCCTTTTCCGAAGGAATCCCATATTACACTTGGCCTCTATGCTGATTCCTATCGTTGCGGTGTCCTGCTGCACCATCTTCCTTCGCAATATGTCTGTCGCGAGCTGTGCACCTGATGATGCCGCACAGGGTCCAGCTACTGATGCTTCTCTTTCAATCAGCAACATGCGCTTCATCGCAGGTCCCAAAGACAGAGTATCGACCAATAGCATTGGAAGGGCCCTTGGTGGTCAGCCACGCGAAGTCATCATGGTCGACACCTTGGCCGAGTTGCATGACAAGGTCAGAGTTGAGTTTCGCAACTTGACAGGAGCCATTTACCTGGGCGATGAACCTACCTTTGTCTGGCTTGCGGAAGAGTCGCCTGCATTCGGCCATGTCACTCAAAACCTGATCGACAACCTTCTGCTGAATGAGACTATCGCGAGCACCTTTGAACCCCTCATGACGCCTGATACCGGCGATACAGGCAGTCTCATCATAGTGACGACCATCTGCGGTCTGGCCATGGCTGTCTATCCTGCTTTACTTGGCCTGTATCCTGTCTTTGAAAGACTCAAGGGTATCCGAGCCATGCACTACAGTAACGGAATTCAAGCTCTTCCTCTCTGGCTTGCTTACTTGACCTTTGACTTCTTCGTCACTCTAGTAGTCAGCACCATCGCCGTCATAGTCTTGAGCGCATCAACGAGCGTGTGGTATCACCTTGAGTATCTGTTTGTCGTCTTCTTACTGTACGGGGCTGCCTCAACCTTATCGTGTTACGTCCTATCTCTATTCGTCTCGTCTCAACTTGACGCATTCGCGATTGGCGCCGCAGTGCAAGCAGCGGCATATTTCATCTTCTTTGTGGCGAATACGATTACCTTTTCTACTAATACGGACCCATCGTCTCTCAATACGACTTTGAACACGATATTCTATTCCCTTGGGTTCCTTACTCCTGCCTTTAGCATGACCCGAGCTCTTTACGTCTCCCTCAACATGTATGGGATTTCCTGCCAAGACGACCATTTGGCCAGTTACCCTGGAAGTATCGGTGTCTATGGTGGACCGATACTGTATCTCTGCCTCCAATCAATAGCTCTGCTTGGTCTACTGTTCTGGAAAGAGGCAGGTTACACCCCCCACCTTCCAACCAATCTTCGGTCAAGGGCGGAACGTCTAAGTGATGAGGAAGGGATGGAGCTGAGTTCTCATGCGTCACATAGCAATGTGTACTGGTCAAACGACACAAGCTGCCTCGAGGCTACCCATCTACAAAAGGACTTTGGAAAGTTCACTGCTGTCGACGATGTGACACTTGCCGTGCCAAAGAGTACTTGCTTTGCCCTCTTGGGCCCCAACGGTGCCGGCAAGACGACCTGCATCTCCATGATCAGAGGTGATGTGCCCCCCAGCAGTCGAAACACTGAGATTCTAGTCGACGGCTCATCCATGCTCAAGCATCGCCAAGAAGCAAGATCCAAGCTCGGCGTGTGTCCTCAGATTGATCCGCTCGACAACATGACCGTCATGGAGCACCTCCGCTTCTACGCCGACGCCCGCGGGCTGCAAGACCCAATGCACAACATCAGCACGCTGCTGCGCGGTCTTGGCTTGTCTGAATTTAGCAACCGCATCGCCGCCAGGCTCTCAGGCGGGAACAAGCGCAAGCTCTCCCTGGGCATCGCGCTCATGGGTAACCCTTCCGTGCTGCTCCTGGACGAACCTTCTTCGGGAATGGACGCCCTGAGCATGCGTCTCATGTGGCGCGTGCTTGCCGGGGTCACACCAGGGAGAGCGCTCGTCCTCACGACGCACTCGATGGAGGAGGCGACTGCTCTAGCCAGTCACATCGGTATCGTTGCCCGGAAGATGCTTGCGCAAGGGTCTGCAGAGGAGCTGAGGCAAAAGTATGGCGGTGGGTACGTCGCTCACATCCTACACGACGACGCTCCCCACACTAGGACAGAGGATATGGCGGCCATCTGGGCGTGGATGGTTGGCACCTTTTCTGGCGCCAGCAATCTGGACCGGGGGGTGCAGAGACGGGGACAGATGCGTGTTGAAATTCCGCTGTCGACTTCCAGCGGACTACGGAGGTCGCTGGCCGATATCATGGAGAGGATGGAGCTGGGGAAGAGGGCTCTAGGAATCCGGCATTATAGTCTGAGCAGGACCACGCTCGATCATGTGTTTTTTACCGTCGTGGGAGAACATGATGAGTGAACTTTTGAGTACCTAGACTAGATACATAAAGAGGCGCGGCTGCAGCTGATGAAGCTGTCACTGTCAGAGAAGCCTAGCCGAGCTAGCTTAGTATTATAGTCACGTGATGTGGCTATTTTTAAATTACATAAATTAAGCTTATCTAGTCCTCGTCGTGAACCAATATTGTCAGTCGGCACTACATTTAAGTTATAATTAATATTCTTTGAAATAAATTATTTAAAATTATAAAACTTTTAATACTCAAATAATTTATATCAATTAGCATTTTGATAAATATTTATTTAATATCATTATTCATGAATATTGAGGATACAAGTTTTTACTCTAGGGTAGACGGAGGAGAAACGTTATTCCTAGGAGTTTGAAATGGCCACATACTAGCTCCCCCTTGTCCTGCCAGCGGTAGTCTAATTTCCCCCCAAATTAAATTGCCGTTTGCCAAGCGCCGTTTACCACAAGTCTCGGAGAGGAAGAAAGAATCCCCGTCCGATAAAGGCTAGGTTGGAGAAAAGATGGCCAAGAACAAGATCATTGTAGCAAAAGGACACCTTATTTCTCAGTAACTGGCCGACATATTGATGTACCCTTATCACGGTCCTTACCTCTGCGCCGTTTCCCTGCCGATAGCCCGGTCATTATTTTCCCATAAGATCGACAATGAAATGGCACCTTGGCTTGGTTGGCCCCATTCTCCACCAACCAGAAGCCGAACACGTACAACACCACGAGAAGCCGTGCTTTGACCAATGTCCTGCCTGCATGGGCGGTCACTTTCACTCGGGCTTTTCTCAAAAGTCCAGCTTTCCCGAAACAGATAGGAAAATCAACCAATGGCGGATTATGAAGACGGCCCGAAACAACGGCTTCTACCAGCTATAAAAAAAATAAAAAATTCTTTGGGGCAGGTTTGGACCTTTGCATCTTAAAAAAGCATCAGCAAGACATCCCCCTTCACTTCCATCTACAACAATCAAACCCTCTATTCATTTCATATTTTCCACGTAAGGGTCTCTCCATCTTTCCCCGACCGAGAATCCACAAGCTAAAAGTGGGCAGATCGAAAATGTCTACCACCACCGTCGCAGTTGCTGGAGGCTCCAGGGGCATGGGTCTCGCCATTGTCCACGAGCTGAAGAAGTTCCCCAACCTATACACGGTCAAGATTCTCAGTCGAAAGGCGAACGCAGCCCTCTCTGAGGAGCTCGGAGTTAAGATGGTCACTGTCGACTACCTGGATATTGAGGCTATCACAAAGGTCCTGGAAGCTGAGGGGGTCAACACCCTAATTTCCAATGTTTTCATCTCGGATGGAGTCACGCCGTCCCAGCACAACCTGATCCGTGCCGCAGAAGCCTCAACGGTGACCAAGAGATTTGTTCCCAGCACTTTTGATGTTCCTTACGATGAAGAGTAAGTCACGGATCCTTTAGACTGCTTGGGCTGTTAGTTAATATTTAAATTAGGATGGCGAGCGTTCTATATACCGGTGGCTACAAGCTCGACATTGAGAGACTGTTAATGACGACAAAGACTCTCGACTGGACCCGATTCCACAACGGCTTCTTCCTGGACTATTACTTTTCGTCCAAAATGAAGACTTTCTTAACGCCTGGAAAGTATATCGCGGATCTTGATGAGAAGAAAGCCATTATACCTGGTGATGGAAATGTCCCTGTCTCCTTCACCCACACTCTGGATGTTGCCCGCTTTGTGGTAGCTAGTCTGTGGCTCGCCCATTGGCCGAGCCGACTCTACATGTTTGGAGACCATCTCACTTGGAATGAGTTCATCGACCTTGCAGAAAAGGCCTCCGGTTTGTTGACCTCCCCACGCGGCGCCTATCGTGCTTACCTCTTTCTCAGCCTCTAACACTACTACAGGGTCCAAGTTTGAAAAGGAATATAATGATCTCGAAGACTTGAAGTCTGGAGATATCACTCGGTTCAAGCAGCTGAAAGGCTGGGATGTTTTGTATCAGTATTGGACAAAGAGAATGGCTGAGCGACTACCCTCGGCAATCCAGTGGTTCATGGGCACGGGCCGTGCAGACACCTATCGATATGGGCCGCGCTTGAACGACTTGTTCCCCGACATCAAACCACTTACTGTCAAAGATGCGCTGGAGAGCTATTACAAGGGCACAATTCCAGAGAACATGGCTTGAGAAACCTAAGGACATGATTTCATCAACTTCACTGAGAGTTTGAGTGGATTCTTCTTGTATGAACGTTCAGGCGATGATCTGAGTAGGTTTCAAGTAAAGCACACTGAACAATACATCGCTGGTAACAGAAGTAGAGTTGTTGATACTTTCTAGACTTAGATGAAATAAATTGATAAGTTGTTCTGCAGTAAATAAGCGGAATCCTAGTCACTTATTCTAGACTTGACGAGTCTTGCTTACCCGAGGTTGGCGGCGGAATCAAGACGCTACGGACAGAGCAGTTACGCATCTGCCACAAGGCCCATCAGCTTGTTGGTCTCAACCTTGAGCTTGACCCCCTTCTCTTAGCCGTAAGTTCAGTTATCATTACCATCATCCAGTGACATCAAGTCAGAATCTGGGCGCTGCGCATCATTTTTCAGATCTGAATTGCACATAAACCATACAAGTGAGAATTGAATAAGTTTAAACAAGCAGAGCTTTCATGTACGGATGATGGTAGATGCAAGATTCACAGATATTAGTTCGAGCTCATCCGGAAAAGGTATTCATCGAGTAAGGACCATACCGAGGCATTGCACAGTTAGAGAACTTTCGACATCAGAAAAATCTTGTTCGGTCCTACGCAGACTATTACAGCCTCAAAAGAAAAAACCGACCGAGCGAGCAGTGGCAAGTTTACTCTCGTTTAGAGGCTGGGACAATATGTCATTTCGCTTTCTGCTTCGCCACTGATTGAGACCTAGCACCAACATAATACCATAAGCTCTGTTTTGATCAACAACATAAGGGCTCCATGGCCAGAAGGTAGAGTAAAGTAAACTTCTAAGCTATAACTAAGGGACTACTTCTCCAAGGCCCGGCGGGCCTTCTCAATAGAGTCACTATATAGTGCATCCAACTGCAGCTTTAAGGACTCCTCGGCTCCTGGTATAACACGATCTGCAAAGCCCCTCCATGTTATCTGCGTTTGCCCCTTTGTGAGTTCTTGCAACTGGATGAAACCCAGGGAGCCAGTGGCCGGAAACCCAGGTGAGTCGGTAATCGAATATGCGTAAGAGTGGGTGGCGGGATCGATATATTTCAGAGTTTCTTGGACCTTGTTGCCATACATAGAGAGAACGCGGACGGAACCAACACCATACCCATGCAACTCTACAGCATCACAGCCGGCTATGTAGAGTTGAGCGGCTCCAAAAGAGGACCAAAGGGCCCAGGTCCGGGCAATAGGGCTGTTGAATGTTTTGGTCACCTGCCCAAGCGCCAGCTTCGACGCGATGATCCCTGTCCAAGGAGAGCATTAGTTTGAGTGAACCGTTGGTGATGGAAGGGCGCAAAATATATAGAGAAGAAGAGGACTATGCTGTCAGATGATTCTTACCTGCCATGATAGTACTGCCCAAGGCGACAATAATTAGGAGACTGTGTGATCGTAGAAATCACTGTAGATAAACAACCTCAGGGGCCCTCGGACTTCGGACGATTGCAAATTTGCGAAATTTGGCCAGGCCGGACATTGCAAACGAAAAACAGGGATGCTTATCAAGGTTAATGAGCCCTATTGGTCCTTACATGAGGTCACAGACATGGAACCATCCGGCGGGCACCGCCTATGCCGGCGTCCGCGCTCTCCGGAACCCGAAAACACCAGGGTAAGTGATTGAGTAAGGATATGTTTTGTGCCAGTTACCAAACAGTCAACAAAAATCATTGTTCTCTGTATAATGAATGCCAACTAGTTGTAGCCGTAAGAGTGCTACATTGTCGCCCTAGTCGAATGATGAATGTGAATGGATAGCCGGCGCAAGATTGGAAGAAAGTTCACACATAGATAATTCTATCAAACCTGAGTTGATGTCGAGGTTGGCAATGGCCTAGGTAGAGAAAGCAAGTTGGAGAGTCTTCATTGAGGTGGTAAAGCTGTTGCTGTCGTTTCTGAGGGTTTCAATCACTGCATAGTTCTGAAAGGATCACACAGCTTGGACAGCTGGTATCGGTGCTATCAAATTCGTGTGTTTCTTCTTCATGGTGCCAAGTCCCTATTGGTAGAGCCACGTCACGCGCTGCCGTGACAGACGCCTCGCCAGCCCAATACCGTACATAATGCATCTCCTGCCCCCAGTACCTGTTTACTGCTTACACGCAGCGATCAAGCCTGCTACGGCCGCAAACGTCGAGAGTAGGGTTCGCTTTAGATCAGCACTTTTCCACGTAGCCACCAAATTTCGGATCTCGTCTGTCGTCTGAGAAGCATCATCTGACTTCTTCTGGCTGATCAACTTCGAGTGGGCCGCGAGAAGCTTGTCATTGACTGGAAAGACGTAAACGACGGTGTAGACGGCAACTAGTCCCATTGAGACTGCAGCGGAGATATTGAGAGAGAAGCCAGGACTATTCACGCCGTCTACTAATTGTTACTCTCTGGTACGATTAAAGGCAGAAGCTTTCACTCGGAGAAGAGCATACCTAGCAGTGCAGCACCAAGGAACCCCAGGCCAGAGCCAGTCACCGCAAAAGGCCCATACTTGCGCCCGAAGTCCCAAGCTCGGAACCACTGTCGAGTGATTGTTTCTCGATCAGACAAGAGTAACGCGTTATGTACGGCTACTCTGTCAGAGCAAAGTCCGTAGCCTAAGGGCTCTCAGCCATGATGCATTGAAGCTAAGAATGGGATATCTTCCTACCAGACGAGTGAGCAGCTACAAGTAAGCTCGTAACCTGCAGAGCCTGAGTCCAGTTGGTCGCCATTTGGAGGGTATGTGCACAGCGGATGCGCTAACTTCAGGGCTGTGGATGAGAAGGATGGCTTCCGTCGGTTTTATGATGTGGACCTCTGGAATGGAACGCGCGGGCTCCGGGGCGAGTCGTGATTTAATAAGCCATGCAAGAGATCGGCATTGCACAATGTCCGAACTAGTCCTTTAAGGTGAAGTTAGATTCAGCCTGCGCACCGGCTCGGACTCCGAAGGTTGCACGAGCGGAGGGCATGTCAAGCGGGATGCAGGCAGGCAGTCTAGCTACTCCGAAACGACAATGGGGAAGAGACTTTATTACTCCCTAATTCGTTCAAACACTATCACTACTTGAGGAGATATCTGTGCAGACCTTCCATCCTATAATGGTAAAGTGCTGCTGCTTCCTGGCTAATCAGTCACTATCAAGCACTCGTAAGATACAATGGCTAACGTTGCTGTTCTAGGTGGCTCCGGCCATGTGGGGAAACCGATTGGGGATGATTTCAAAGAGCACTGTAGTCATTCTGTGACTACCTATACCCAGTCGTCACGTTGGGTTACCTAGCCCTTTTGATCTCCGCATCTCCTGACCTAATGCGTGACACAGGCTCCCTTCACATTTGATCGACAGGCGCCTACTGTTCTAGTCCACTGCGGCGATACGACATTTTTAGCCTTAGTCTTATATATTCTTTGCTAAACGACATGTTTAAGGATTACGTCTTATCCTAGAGAAGCTGATAGTTATTAGGGGATCTGACTTAGTATCTAAAAAGGCAGTTGACACTTGATTATTAGATATTAAGATGTTGACTATAAAGGAGATACTAGACTAATCCTAGAAATTACATAGTGGAAAGGAGAACGAAAGCATGGACAAATGAGAGTAGATAGCCGTAAGATGAATTATTAAGCCAAAATCTTTTGAGACCTCCCGTTCTATTAGATTTAGTTAAGATTTTCTATTCAATCACGTTTAGTCTAGAATCTCTGTTTTCCAAGAGACAACATTCAGCAGACTGCTATGGTAACATCAGCCATGATGAAGTGTGGGGTTTTCCAAATGAGAATCGTCTGCCCAGCTCTGGCATAGTTGGTTGAACTAAGAATGGGAGTCACGTCAATAGGGTGCTGATACTAGATGAGTCGAATTAAGGTTTGCCAAAGGCTTTTGACTCCATCCGAACGAGGGCCCAAACACCAACAACCCTCTATCGTCGTTGCATGCGAAGCCCAGGTGTTTTGAGCGAACTGGGCTAAATTACAATACGGTAGGGACACTGTCAAGAGGAAAGACAGAAAGAATTGACGAACATCCGGCAATGGTTACTCATCGTGCATGCCACAAGCTAAGTACCGCAAGTACTAGCTGAAAGTTGGTCATACGAATGTATGATGTCTTGGCAATTCAGGGCTGACGGGACCTCCGGGCTCCGTTGTGATACTATTAGACCTTCGGGAGTTCGGCCTATCGTGAGGTGTCCGTGATGCTCTCAAGATGCATATTGTTCTCTGGATCAACCTATTTAAGGGAGCCGCCCATCTTTTCTTATGCTGCATCATCATCCTTCAAACCAACATCTCTTCTCTTTTACCACACTCAAGAATCTCTCCCAATAACTTTTTAGCATTCCATCAATGGCAAATACGGTTCAGTTGCCTATCAGGCCACTATTGTGGCTTCTCCACGCCACGTCGGTTTTTGCTGCCGGAGTTTCCCACTCTGCCAGGGCCAACTCTGCAGATACCCTCAAGGACTGTCTGCTGAATGCTGTCAGTGGGAACATAGCTGAAGTAAAGTTGTCGAGCGATGCTGGATTTCAGACTGACCATGTTCGACCTCACAATCTCAACTTTCCATGGGCTCCCTTTGCTATCACATATCCAACGGAGGCTTCCGAGGTTGCCAAAATTGTTACCTGTGCCTCCAAAAATGATCGCAGAGTACAGGCCAGAGGCGGCGGACATGATTATACAAACAAATGTGAGTATCTCAAGAAGATATATGGTCGTTCGAGACTGAGTGGAACAGGTCTTGGTGCGGGAGATGGCGCAGTAGTCATCGATGTGAAGAATCTCAATCAGGTTCAAGTTAGTTCAGAAGGTATTGCCACGGTTGGCGCCGGCAACCGCCTCAAAGACGTCTGCGAGAAGCTCCATGCCAATGGAAAGAGATGTATGCCTCATGGTTCGTCTCCCACCGTGGGAATCGGAGGACATGCCACCGTCGGCGGTCTCGGGCTTCACAGTCGTCTCCTAGGCACCTCGATTGATGTTATGACTGGCGCTGAGGTCGTTCTTGCTAATGGAACTATCGTAAAGGCTTCTGAGAAAGAGTACTCGGACCTGTTCTGGGCGATCCGAGGTGCCGGTGCGAGCTTTGGCATCGTAACCAGCTTCGACTTCCAAACCAATCGTGAACCAGATAATGTCGTCAACTTTTCCTACACTGTCTCATCCACAAGCCCGGCGAACTTGTCTGCTGCTTTTAAGGCCTACCACCGTATCACTACCGAGCGAAATCTTGATCGTCGGTTGTCATCTGTGGCAGTGATTAGCAAAGATACACTTCTGATTAGCGGTGCTTTCTTTGGGTCAAAGTCAGATTATGCAGGCCTCGACTTCGGCTCCCAGATTCCTGGTGTTACCAACCGAACTCTGAAAAACGATTTCACCTGGATGGGACATATGAATGCCACATTCAAGAGTATTTCAGACTTATTCCCTGCTCAGTCCTACTTCTATGCCAAGGATACTGCCGTTACGTACTCCACCCTTCCGAGCAACTCGACCATTGACGCCGTATTTGAGCATCTCCAGACTGCCAAGTCCGGCACTGACACCTGGTTCGTCCTGATTGATCTGTACGGGGGCGCTCCGAACGATGCGGCCGCCGGGGCCATGTCGTATCCTCATCGCGATCTGGCCTACTTCTTCGCCTTGTACGCGAGAAGTGGCTCTGAGACGACTAGCACGATCCATGACTTTGTAGAAAAGGCTGTTCTCACCTACCAGGACAACAAGCCGGAAAACTTCTTGTCTTATGCAGGCTACACCAATCTGCGGATCAAGGGTAGCCCCCAGAAAAAGTACTGGGGTGCCAACCTCTCCAGGCTGGAAGGCATCAAGGCGGCAGTTGACCCCGAAGATGTATTTTCAACTCCTCAGGGAGTGAAGCCACGTGCGTGAACGGGATGCATTTGGGGACAACGATGGTTGCTGTACAAAGTTGGTAAACTTTTAGCAGCGGCCTAACACTCTTCGGAAATTCACCTACCTCAGAATCTGGTCAACATGCTGATTGCATTTTTTAATGTTCTCTGTTTTGAACCCTTTATCTAAGCCGGATGGATTTGAAGCAGATTGCACTCATCTTATTTTCTCTAAACTTTTGGATTTTACTCAACCTGTTAGTTAGATAGCCAAGAAACAATAGCATAACTTAGTCTTTCTAACACTAAGCTCAGTCTGCTTGCTACAACGACTATAGACCCATCGAGAAACATGTTTTTGGGCCCACGCTACGTTGACACGATAATAGGCATGCTGATCACCAACACATAGTTCCCTACCCAAGTGCAATAAACAAAACTGAAAATACCCGGAGTCTAATACCAACAGGGTGAGTTATAATTAGCGATAATAAGGTTATTATTCAAGAGGTAGGGTGACACTCGGCGGTGCAACACTATGCCAATCTTCAAAGACTGAGCCGGCGTCATACCACAGCACAATTTATTAAGATACCTGAATTTTCATGTGGTGCAGTCCCGGACTTGATCGTGCTGGTAGACATACCCTAAGCTCGATTTCGATGAACCAAGATTGGGTAAAGTTGAGAAGTCGCGTAGAAAGTCTGTGCTGGCTACTTGAGTACATAGTATTACAGACGACAATACCAGACAAGAAGCGATGCTATTTTTAGCTGGCCTGGCCACCGGAGCTAAGTCAACACGAAAATCGTAACCATGGTGTTAGGCCTAAGGCTAACCTAATGTATTTTTATAGATGCCTATTAAAGCGAGTTGCCATGAACCATCCTCGTATTCGGGATAGCTTGACGGTTCGATGTGAGGGTGAAGTAAGCATAATTGAGCATTGCCCCTGTAGATCACAAACCCTAACGGGGTACTACACAGCCGAAATAAAAAAAAATAGCAAGTGGAAGCGAAGAACAAATGCCGAATTATCCGAGGTTTATACACGTAGATATCATTTTCAGGCGAAGAAGCATCCAGCCTTTGCACAAGGTAGAGATCACATTCGGATGAGATAAGACCCTCCTCCTCTCTAAGCTGTCTTTCCATATATGTATTCTGGCATCTTCTATTGCTGTTTTTAACTTTATACTTAAACTCTAACTATGTCTTTCTATATATGAGCGAAGCTACTCTAAATAGCTGTTACTTAAATGGTACTATTTTCTTTTCTTTTAGGTTAAGATATGTATATAGTACTATATAATACCTTGGGATATCCCGATACTTTATAATATTAGCGATACAGACAATCTATTTTTTCAATATGCTGTCATCGTGTCTCTTTCTAGGATCATCTAATATACCAATAGCCGGTGGTTCGCAAGACAATGCAACTCCGTAGTACCGGCTGGATTGTGGCATGCCCATGTACGTACGGATACGGTGTAAAGCTCAATGTCAATGATCAACAGTAACCTAATCCAATATGGAAAGTCCAGGGTTAGCTATACGGGATATTGATTCCTAACTAAATGAAAAACCCCGGCTATTCCGCTGACAACGCAGCAGTGACTAGGGTCTTGTGCAGCAGGGGACTGTCAGATTACATATTTATAATACTAACTGTCCCATCATATGTTCCTCTTCCCATTGTTCCTTAAATATTTCTACTAATTTTCTGCCTCCTCACAACAAGTTATCACGATGGCGTTGAAACAGGTTTCTCTAGTCAGCACTATGGTTATCGGTGCTCTTGCTCGCTGCGGAGCAGAGCTATCGCCTGAGTTAAAGGCTAATTATGAAATTCCGACGCGTACAGCATCGATAGCTTCTGCCGATCCCATTGAGGTAAACACCTATATCCAGGTGATTACCAATGGGTCGACCATCGACGATGGTTATCTCACCAGTGAGCAACTCGACAAGCAGAAGGCTGTGATGAATGACGTTTTCGCGGACCATTCAATCCAGTTCAATTTTCTTGACACCACGTACACCGAGAACGAGGACTGGGCCCATGGTATCATGATGCAAGACATGTCGATCGCGCTTCGAAAAGGGTCCTACAAGGACCTCAATATATTCTTCCTGCAGTCCATGGGCGGCCAAGTCACTGGACAGTGCTCGTTTCCTCTGAACCTGACCGACTTCCCGGACCCTGGTAGAATGAAATCATTGGATGGTTGCATGGTTGTTTCAAGCACTATTCCTGGTGGCTCTCATCCGACCTACAATGGTGGTCTAACGGCTGTTCATGAGGTTGGACACTGGTTTGGGTATGTTTTCACTTGTTCATTTTAGAGTCGATACTTTTCCTTTTCCTGGAAGTAGAATAGCGGTTTCTCATACAGTGCCGTCGCTAACACAGATTCTAGACTCATTCATGTCTTCACCGATACATGCGGGGGCAATAGTAAGTAAAGTGAAAAATACTAGCGCTTCGCATCTTGTACGTGCTGCGAGCGATTAATGGGCATCACTAACTCAAATTTGGAGGAGATGAAGTAGATGATACCCCTGAGCAAGCAACGGCGACTTACGGATGTCCTACCGGCAAAGATAGCTGCCCTGAGTTCCCAGGAGTTGATTCAATTCATAATTACAGTGAGTTCATCTCTGATGGGGTGACTCTGAGTCCCAAGGCTTGTTTACTGATGATCTTGGAAGTGGACTATTCAGATGATTATTGTAAGACTGAGTTTACGCCTGGGCAAGTCAGTAGGATGCATAATGCATGGGCGACTTACAGGGAGCCGGTTGACGCATGAAGAAATCGGGTTTCGACAATGGGTGCACCGGGAGGCTTTGCAGATCGACGACAACCACGACCTGGCAGCTCCTGCTGTCAAGTGAAGTGCTCGAGGAACCCCAGTAAATGGCGAACGAGATGTGAACTTTAGGGAAATACTGGAACCTTACTTTGAAAATCTTTGTGAACTGATCCAAGCCACATAGTATTGAACATCAGCAAGACCTGGATCTAGGGGAGAATTGTTGGATCTTGCCCAAAGTTGAGTGACTTGGTAGCCGAAGGCGATCACGGGGTATCAAAACTATGATCGAGATGAATTTCATGGGGCTCTTCGTTCATTTAGCTACCACATTCGACTAAATAGCTATCATGTCATATAGTGCAGAGGTATTCATAGAGGCTTCATTGCATGAAACCATAGTCACTCGAAACTCAAGACTGAAGTAAGACGGCGACTGCCTCCTCCGTTGGTATTCTCTTGTCAGGGCTCGTCGCTTGCGTTGCTCTCGTCTGAAAGAGGCGGTGAGGGAGGAATGGGGCATGAGATCCGGTTAAAGTAGTAACAGAGTAATAGCAGAATGTATAGAGTAGCCCACCTTGCAATCGGTTAAAGTGGAGGGGCATTCAGCGAGTGCCAAGCAGATCATGTGCTATTGTCGCCGTAAGCCGAAGGAAACATTTGTCTCTGGCATCTGGTAAGGAGTCGTCCCCAGAGGTAGGGATTATGTTACAGAGAAATGTGGCGAGCCTACTTAGTATGCGAGGCAACTTGAACATCTGCGCATTTTCTATGATATCGGCCGGAGATACATAATATACTCTATCACTACTTGATATACAGGAACTTGGAATTCCGATAAGCTCTTGCTACAGACAACCTATCGCCTTCTAGACAGACCAGCTTTGAGCCGCATCCAGTCCCGCAGCTACGTTGGACCCATCTCGCACAACGCCATAAGTTTCTTCGTTTGTCCAGAATTCAAAGTCAGCCTGGCCGTTGCCCGGTTTGCTAATCTGCCAAGGTAACCATGGGACACGGAGATCATTGAACACGGCAATGTGCTCCGCAATCTCGTTGGCCTTGCCACTGCCGGAAGCTCCAAACTCCTCAAACAGCATCAGCTTATTCGAGTCAAGGGCGCGCTGTAGCGCGGCAGGCCCTTTGTTCCGGAACTCGCCCACGCCGCTGTATGAATGTATATTGACGAGGTCCAGTGCCGCGCACGCCCAGTTTTCGGGGATGTCGCTATTGGGAAACTCGTTGCCTCCTCCTAAAGGGGTTTTGGTTAGCTCTAACCGTAAGTATCAACATAGACCGAAGACTTGCCTGTGGAAATGAGAATGCTGCTCTCGCCCATGACGTTACGCATGAACTTGGCTCGGTCGCACCACCATGAAGGGTGAGGGGCATTGTTGCCATTCAAATGGCCCTGACCTTCGTTCTGGATGTTGAAGGAGAAGATGTGACTGGAGAGGTCTTTCCAAGCGGGGCTACCTGTGATACGGGAATTGCGGTGCCCGAGGATATGACGGATACGGTTCTCAAAGTCCGAGATACAGTTTGCATCCGAGTACCAGAACTCGACATTATTGTCACTGGCTTTGCCTTTTGAGCAGTCTACTGCAGGAAGATGGTACTTGTCGACGTAGCTATCATTCCCCCAACAGCCGAGTTGATATCGATCGTGTAGAGCAATGGTCAATTTGATGTCTTTATAGCAAGTAAAGTCATGTCAGTGCTGGGACTAGCATGATCATTTTGTGGAGGGATGACTTACTCCGATCATGGGCTTCTACCATGAGCTGGTCAATAGCTTCTAGCTGAGTATCATCCCAGACCCCGACTGTCGCAGGCTCAATGTCGGGCATGTAGATCGAGCCCGTGTTCTTGAAATTTGAGAATGTTTCAGATATGAAAAGTCGCAAGACTTTGAGGTTTGCGGCCTGGATTGCGTCGAGAACGTCAAGTCTATCTACCCTAAACATGTAGTGTTAACGAGAGGTCTATACTCCAACGTAAGGTGCGTACTCTTTAAAAGCATGCAGAAAGAAAGAATTCACGCCAGCGAAACTATTGCTTTGCTGACGCGCAAAAAGATCTTGTTCATGGGCTGCGGCTACTGCCAGTGCAGCATATCCCACTACAAAAGATGTAATTTTCATTTTTAGTTGTGTTTGGGCGAATTGTTGTAGTGCGTAGGATTTCAACTCTTTAGGAACAACGAGAAGGCATGTGAACATCCCAGAATAGAGGACAACTACCTAGGACGTTATATAATTATGTCGATTTGATGATGGCCAGCTTGTATCAAGCCGACAAAGCACTCTGGGACAGGTCATAGGTAGCTCAACTCCTCTAGATGTTTGAGAAGCCTGAACATTAATCCTCATTTGGAAGGTACTCGGTAGCCTGGCCTTTGGGGCACCCACATTGTTTCATTACTCGCCGTAGAGTCCCGCAACAAGATGGTCTTGACGCGGGAGGAATCAGCTCTGCCGATGTGGGGATACATTGCTCGGGGAGGCTAAGGTGCTATTTCATAATTCCGTGCCAGATGGGGAAGGTTTGACTGCCAATCATCACATTCACGGCATTGATTCACCTTGCATGATGCTCGCCTTGTAGCAAATGAAACTTGGGTCCGGGCGTGATGGAGAGAACGGACTGGGACCGGTGAATGAAGCTAGACATAAACCAAGCAATACGATCATTCAGGTACAACACTACGATGATGTAGGCTAGGACGGTATTTCCAAATTCCGCCTCCTACTTATTAAGCTGAAACGTGGATGACCACCCAGTATGAAAATAAGCCTGCGGCTGACTGGCCCTGTAGTTGAAATTGAATTTTGCGATGCAAATAATGGCACATGTCGTTCGAGGATAGAATGAGCAACATATTGAAACATGGATACATACATCTGACCGACACGCCTTACGAGAAAGACAACAGGGTCATCTAATACTCGACCTAAAGGAGACTTGAAAACTCAGGGGTAGTGTCTGATCTCATGGTGGACCCAACATTGACTCTGGCCTGGGCTCCGGTCCCTGGAGATTAACTATTCCATCTCGCAGCTGCTCGTCCTTCCAAGGTCTTCTAGCTCTCACAACCCTGGGCTGATCAGAAGGCCGCCAATTCATCTCACCTGGCCGATGATCATTTGTGAACGTAGATGCTCTAGTGGCCAGCAAGGATCCCAGGACGCCTCACATGTCCCTTTCTCTTAGCCCGACCATCAAGAGCAAGACTCAGTCATGCGCCGAATGCCGACGCCGCCGGATCCGCTGTGATGCACAAGTTGTGCCATGCGGCCAGTGTGTCTACTACCAAGTCCCCGAGCTCTGCCATTACCCGGCGCGCAAGACGCGCAAGGCACCATCAGTAAAGTACTACTATTCCTTTTGCTACCCAGCATCAATCATCATCTGCTGTAGCTTACACTGGGCAGAGAGTATGCCGATGTGTCCAATGCATACGAAAGAGGACGAGGCATTCTTAGCAGGCTCTTCCCGAAGCACTCCCTGGAGGACCTCGAACATCTCTCGTGCGACCAACTGCTCGCTCTGCTTCCCGCCGCATCTCTCCAAGTGCCTTCATCGTCCTCCATTTCCCCCTCCTCTGCACAGCTATCACCACAGGTTGCCGCGGCGCGCTGCGTGGCGGGCGCCTGCGACTCCCCAACTGCCACCATTCTAGATCTAGAGCCGTCCCCGGATCAGGAGTTCGAGTGGAATGAGACCGAAGACGACGACATTCATCGAAGATTTTCCGAAGATGACGTCAATGGTCTTTCTATTTTGTTCGAGACGGGCAAGCATTCCTACCTCGGCATCTCCTCTGTGCCAACCATCATGCGTGTCATGGTTCACAGCTCGCCCCAGCTTCGAGAGGCGATCCAGAAGAGGCGAGAGACACAGTCGCTGCGGCCTCGTCCATATCTGCCTGCAACTCCTAGAGAGATGGACCGCTGCGCGCAGCCGATCATCAACGACGAGGCATCCTTGGTGGACGCCTACTTTCGGACCGTACACGGCATCACCCCGATGATTGACGAACTGGGATTCCGGCAGTGCCGGGCGGTGGGTGGCGGGCTTGGCCGGGCTCGCGGCCCGTGGCTTGCCCTCTACAACATGGTGCTCACGCTCGGCTACATTGCCGCCAACGACGACAGCCAGCCGGGGCATGGCATCTACTTTGGCCGCGCTTCAAAGCATCTCGATATGGGCTGCTTTGCTTCTGGCCACATCTACACCCTTCAAGCTCTGGCTCTTTATGGTGGCTACTACCTGCACTACCTGAACCGGCCAAACATGGCCAGCGCTGTTATGGGTGCTGCTCATCGCATGGCCGTCGCCATGGGGCTACATCAAGTCCCCCCTAGCATTGAGGCCTCGTCAAGCTCTGGCAGCAACGTAGATGGTCGGGCTAGAACGTGGTGGTCACTCTTCTGCCTCGATGTATGGGCGGGCACTACTCTGGGACGACCTATAGGAGGTTTGTGGAATGTTGATAGCATGGCTTCGTCACCTATGCATCTCGGGGCTGATCTTGTAGGCTTCATGGCCAACATCAGGCAATTTCGACAAAAGCTAATGAGTGCTACTACAGGATTACCAGTCCATCTCGATACGGGCCAGCGCCTCATTCTGCAGGATAGCTGCCCGCATACAGGATCGCATGGCCCGGCTGCCCTTGTTGCTCCCTAACGAGCTGAAGCAGTTTGACCAAGAGCTTCTTGCATGGCACTCTGATGTCCATCCGATCTTTCGAGACCCGCAGCATAGCCCGGAGCCTATCCGCCTCGCATCCCTCACCCTTCAATACCGGTACCTGAACCAGCGCATGACGCTGCACCGATCTTGTTTGCTCCTCCGATCTCTCGGCGCGAGTAGTCGTAGCGAGTGCTCACCCCGTGATGAGACCGCGGCCATTGCCGACACATGCGTTGCGATTGCTCGTGAGACGATAGAGCTCATCAAGGTCAAATGGTACCCTAATCAACTGGTGGCGTGGAATTCGAGCTGGTTTCTGTTCCAGGCGGTTCTCGTTGTCTTGCTCGAGCTAAACTCGGCGACACCTGAGACTGACGTCCAGCCACTCGAGCGTGATATTGCAGAATCGTTGACGCTATTCAACGAGATGTCAAGGTGGAGGAGTCCCGCAGCGCACACTCACGATCTGATACAGTTTATATACGAGTCGAGGGCCCTCGAGGAACACGATCCAGAGGCGGAGGAGTTGCTTTCGGATGAAGCGCTGATGATTTTGCTGGGGTTTGAGCCGAATAGCGACCTGACCTGGGCTGGTTTGTTTAATGCCGAGCAAGGGAGCTATGAGTCGGGCATGTTTGGCTTTGGTTCATAACTACCAGCAGAGCCAGACTAATCCATTAGGATACCATGATTCAAACACATGATAAAAAGTAGGCTCTTTTACAGTATAATTAATATATATATGAATAGCTTTATTAATTTTATATTATTGAGTCTTACTCCTAATAAGTTGTCTACTTTATAGACTATATCTATACTAGTGGTTTTCGTAGAAGTGATGGCATTGGACGAGTTACCTGGTGATTCTAAAATCGTTGGCGGTCTCGACGATGTGTTTAATTACACACGATGGTGATGGAAAAGGGGAGGAGGTTTGGGGAGGGATACATGTAGATGCGCTGGTACCAGTCCAGGTCTATTCACCATTAAGGTTTCAAGGCATAATCATATCAGTGCAGTATCTGCGGCGGACTGGGTACGTAATGTCACGATTTAGTCTACTCGATCATTGATCAGTCTTTAGTACTCCGCCGTCAAATGGCTAACCTTTGTTATTCAATGACTTAGGCAAGACATCATGCTCCAAATTAGAGGACTTATGCATCCGCCATTGATCTTTAGATGAGTACCCAGAGACGGCGTTCGATCGCAAATGCGGCTGCAAACATTTTCTTTGGGATGGATCTTCCATCAGACTCTAAATTGCTCCCCCGCTTCCCATTCAATTCAAGATACTGCTACTTCTGAATTTGTCGACAAAGATTCTCATCTCGAGACCACAGCCCAGTAGGTAGTTATAATGAGATTCAATAGTACCTGAGCTTTTCTAAGAACCCTTCCACCTGAAAGGAAGAAGAGAACAAGTATAAACATGGTCTTTAGTCTGGCGATAATATGTATTCAACGGTGTAGTTTTGACTCCCTCCATGACCAAAGGTACGATAGGCTTGCACCAGGGCCGGTGAGTGCTGTAATAACTGGAAGGAGAGAAAGTAAGTTGAAAATCTCGCTCGTTGTAACGTGACCATTCAGGTAGAGGTCAGCTATGTGATATCCTATCCATAATATGGAACTGCCAAAAACACAAATCTCATCAATTTGCAAGCCGCGTCGCAGAAGGGGCTCGAGAGCGTCTTGTGGCTCAAGGAGTGGTAGGAAAAGTGTGGATATTGAATGGGGAGAAACGATCAAAGTGTAAATCCAGATTCCGGCTGAAATGGCAGCAGGGACGCCCAGCATCACAAGAGGCGATGAGATGGCCTTCAGTTGGCGAGACAGAGAGGGCGACAGAGAAATGAGCGTTGCCAGGCTGGTATTAGCAAGACCGACAAAGAGCGGCGTCATCTGCCATGCCCAGGTCCAATAGTGGCGGGTAGATAGCTGAGTTGCCCCAAAGGCGTAGAAGAGCTCGAACGTATGCAAGAGTAAGAGAATGGGAAGCAGTAGTGGTGAGCTGTCTGATGATGTGATTCGACGCTGTTCAGCTGGTGTAGCCTTGGCGACAAGTGTCGACGAGGACGGGCTAAAGATGATGCAAAGAATATAAAAGAGCGGCGTCACCGCACCTAAGCTCAATACTTGGCCGGAAAAAGCGAATATTGTTGGTCTAAGCCGAGTTTTATTCGTCAATTAACGAAACTCTGTGCCTAGTGGGCGGTTCGAGATAGGGCTAAGCCTAGGTAGGTGCTTTACTTACAGCCATGCTGGAGTATACCTATTTCCGACTCGGGACGATTCAAGTATCCAAATGGTGAATAGAGGGCCCAGGTCATTTAGGAAGCTGAATGCTTGCCACGAGCTGACGGGATCGAATGCCAAGGTGGAGGGAGCAAATGTGACTGTGAAGCGACGCCATAGCTCATCGAGGAATTGCACATGCCAGAACCGTTCCAGGATTGTAATCGAGCCGCCGTCGGCCCATTCTATCCTTCCGGATTGAAGATATGGCTCTTGCAAGGCCACTAATTTGTCAACTGCAAAGGCCTCAATACAGGCATATGAGATATAAAGCAAGGGCACTGCCAAGGCCACGCGCCACACGAGTGGCCCCAGTTGCGACATGATGAAGATGATCTTCTAGGTTGAAGTGCAGAATGAACATGCACGTCTAGAGACAAAGGCCAAACTTGTAAGTCTTACCTTTTTTTCTCTCCGCAAAACCCTCTTATTTGTTAACCATGAGATGTTAGAATTAGCGTCGTGGTGGAATGTATAGTATATATAGGTTGGCAAGGTTGTCACCCGAAGAAAGCATAGATTACGGCTGTTGCATAATGTACCTAGGCAAAGTATTATTGAAGGAATTACAACATGGGGGCGATTGGTTGGCCTTCCGATGTTGGTGATGGTGTGGCGGCGTCGTATCTTACTGTACCAACGTTGCATGATTGTCACCCCGCGAACAATGCATCATGCACAGGTACTTTAGTACATACGCCCTCAGGGATCACAAATTTTTAATGAGTATAGTATCTGCTAATCATTTCCTCTTTCAAATCGCTAGTAAATGTCGTTCAACCAACTAGAAATAGTAGAGCATATACTTTCTCCCTCTTATACTACGTAGATATACAGAGCTCTGACATGAGAGACTATTTTTGTAGGCTAGTAAGCCAATCACTTGCTTATACAGAAATCACTCAACAGATTCTCTCCGGTTATTATTTCTATCTCCTCGAGTATTATTTGTGATCCCTGAGGGCTGCATACGTGGCAAGGTCCTGGTGGAGACGTTCCGGGGAGACGTCCCGGCGCGGCCGCGGTACTTGGTGTTTGTGTGTGTGTGTGTGTGTGGGTATGTACTGTTTAAACTGCGGGATATCCCGCAAGGGGCGAAGGGTGGGTGCTGTAATGCAACGGGGGACCACTGCAACCCCGAGAAAGAGGAGAAAGTTACATTGAATTACCCATCCGCAGAAAGTTTACGCATTGTTTCATTGATACTCCGGTGTTCCGTTTATTATAGAACAAACAATCACCAGTACATCCGCTCCATAGTACCCTTAGGAAGCTTACTTTGGTAGGAGATATTTCCATCATTCTGGTGGTAGTATACGCACAAGGCATATACATGCATGTCTTGCCTTGACAGTCAAATCTTCAAGTCCCTCTGGGATCACAGGTACTGATTGTGAGATCAATTTAGACTACCTGTCAGTAGTCTAGTATGTGAGGCTGAAGAATGGAAATAGCAACCAGCTTCGTGACTATTTGACTATACTAACACTCTTCTTGACCTGTATGGCATTCAGTGGAATGGTGTCCGTCGTTTGCAAATTGGCCCCACCACTTTGCACCTGAGTATTATGGGCAGGAGTGGCATTTCCATCTACCATGTAATACGGTGAGGCCTCCAGGTCATTCATTCCACTGTTTTTTGAGACATTATATTTGGAATTATCAGATGTATACCTCTTGGAGACACTCATCCCGAGCGATAGCTTGGCTTGGCTGACTCCTTTGCGGAACAGCTTGAGTGCAGGACCATATGCAGGAAGACAGGCGCAAAGAATAGCAATCCCAAGCTGCACGGATGCTGTCAACATAGATTCCGGGAGAGTGACGGCTTCTGGGGACGACGGATGGTAGAGAAAGGTTATCCGGGCGATACTTGCTACGCATACGCTGTTGAGAGGAGTGAGCAAGATTTCATCACGGCTGGCCGATTTTAGGCTTGGGGCAGGTGACTTACAGGCCGCCGAGGAGAAAGATGCATGCCACGAACCATTTCTTGCCGGTGCTGAGCTGTAAACGACCAATTTCGGAGATGGGTAATGCTAAAATAACCACGTCGACGAGTAGATTCGTTACCTCTAGTCCCAACCACATGGTGCCACTTGCGAGGCAGTATTGGGTCGATCCAAGAGCCTCCCATAATGCAGAAACAGGCTTGCATTGGAAAATGTTGACAAATGTGCTGACAATGAGCCACACGAGGCAGACACCTGTTAAAGTGTGGTTCATGAGTCGGAATCTTTGGGATATGGAGAACACTTGATGGTAAAGAACCAGGATGGAAAGCTTGATAGCAGTAATGGCGAAGAGAAATAAGAGATTCGTGGTGAGCAATAGCTATTGGTGAGTCGTGGTGAGTAAGTGCAGATGATATCAAAGGTTGCCAGAAATTTACCTTCATCAAGTCAGTTCCCAAAGCCTGCCCTCCCTCATTCCACTTTGCAATGAGCTCATTGAGATCGAAAGTTTTGAGCCCATCGCCAGTTACGACAACTGTTCGCTCCGTGGTCAGATGAAAAGAAAGACAACTTCAATCACAAGGAGTGATAGACTTGCAGTGTATAATCGTGCTGAAATATGCGACAGTGAGTCCCCAACCCAATAGGATTAGCCAATCGGATAACGAAATGGAAAGTCCGACCATCAGACGAGTAGTCAATCGTATGGCGACTATTAATGTTGACATTATTAACATGGAGACATCTGTCCAGAGGCCCCTCGTCGCACTGATGCTGATTTCGGCCATGGTGGGAACGCAACTGGCGTCTGCCGGCTAGATTTGATACTAGGGAAGAAAAACGATCAAACACTGAGAAAAAACACAAAAGAGTCGGGGCTGCTATGGAGACAAAAAAATCATGAACATTGGTAGCTGCCAAAGATGTATGCCCCTGGTATTCATATGATCGCTTATTTAACAAGGTTACAGTATTACTCAGGTGCCAAGGTATTAGAATCAGGAAGGATGCGGCGATGGACGCTGGGGGTGCTACGTAGGGTCGTATGTTGCGCGGTCAAACTGCCCTCTCCTTCTCTCAGATGGACTCGTAGAAATGCCAAACAATCTAACGTAATCTGTAAGCGAGTGGAAATCTATACGTTTTGGGGGGGACGAGGAGCCAGGGCACAGCAACGATTGGATGGAAATAAAACCCATAATGACAGTTGTACGCGGTATTGCCGAAGATGCGATGGCGGGAAACCCATGAAGCCTTTTTGGGTGTATTAGGGATCCTTCGAGCATGTCGATCAATCCTAAAAAGTAACCCACATAACCAGCAACTGCCTGTTCCCGCCTAAAAGGGAACGGCGGTATGTCACCATATCGAACAAAGTCAAGCGGCAGCAGTGGCTCCATGTTGCCTACTAACTGCAGAACTTTGGCTTGCGGTATCGAATAATCAAAGGAAAATATCAGAGTGTCTCCAGGATTTATTACCCTTCTCCGGGTCATACTCTACCTATGAATAACTGTCTGATCTAGGAATTAAGGTTCTCTGTCTGTCATATTCCTGGATCAAACTACATTCTATTCCCCTGAAGTTTCTCAAATGAGCTACCTAATTTGTGATATTTGATTAATCAGCCCATTCTATTGGATCTTTGCAGTTATGGCCCAGATCGGTGACGAAGAGTTTGCCAACAGTTCCTCAACACAGGACAAGATGGAACCCATTGCTGTTATCGGCTTCTCTATGCGTTTTCCTGAAAATGCTACAACTCCTGAAGGGTTCTGGGAGATACTGCAGAATGGAAGGTCGGTCATGACAGAAGTGCCACCCGATCGGTTCAAGGTTGATGGATTCTATGATCCAGATGCATCTCGCCCAGGCACAGTAAGGTCCTCCACCTGTTCAGAACAAAGAGATAATGAAATATGCTGAATAATCCCCCTCTGATAGATCAACGCTCGGGGAGGATACTTTCTGAAAGAGGACCTGGGAGTTTTCGACTCAGCCTTCTTTTCAATTACGCCCTCGGAGGTGGAATGTATGGATCCACAGCAGCGACTTCTTCTGGAAACATCCTACCATGCTTTTGAAAACTGTGAGAAATCACTACTAATCGTGCTTTAAACATACACAAGGCTTAGTGCTAATGTGTCTACTTGTAGCTGGGATACCAATTCATGAAGCTGCAAAGTCAAAAACCTCAGTCTATGTGGGCTGTTCGGCAGTGGACTATACTCAACTATATGGAAACGATGAAGAGATTCATCCATTATACAGAGCCACGGGATCCGGAAGTGCGCTTTTGGCCAATCGACTAAGTTGGTTTTACGACCTCAGAGGCCCAAGCATGACGATCGAGACAGCATGCTCAGGCAGCCTGGTTGCTCTGCACTTGGCCTGCCAAAGCATCCGGAGTGGTGAATCCAAAATGGTTAGTAGTATAGCGCTAGTCTCTTCTATTTTATCCATCGAGACATTAACACTTTTACTTAGAGCCTGGTGTGTGGCACTCAACTATACCTTGAGCCAATGTCGAGCGCAATATCCCTGTCTGCGCTCGGATTCATGTCGTCTGATAGTCGGTGCTACAGCTTCGACCATCGTGGAAATGGGTATGCCAAAGGCGAGGGCTTTGGTGTCGTTGTTCTCAAGCCCCTTTCAGACGCCATCAAAGCGGGAGACACTATTCGGGCCGTCATACGCTCGACGACAACAAACCAAGACGGTCGGACGCCGGGCATTACGCAGCCAAGTCAAGAGGCGCAAGAAGCACAGATCCGTGAGGCTTATCGTCTTGGAGGGCTTTCACTTGATCGCACTCGATTGTTTGAAGCCCACGGCACTGGAACACCAATGGGTGATCCGATCGAAGCCAGAGCTATCAAAAATGTGTTCCAGGAGTACCGTAGCCAGGAGAGCCCCATGTATATCGGGGCGCTGAAGTCCAACATAGGCCACCTAGAAGCTGCCGCAGGAGTGGCAGGCGTTATAAAGGTGGTCATGTGCCTCGAAAAGGGCATCATCCCCGCCAACGCCGGATACGAGGTGGTGAACCCACGTATCGAAGCAGAGAAATGGAATCTGCGATTCCCAGCTCAGGCTTTACCGTGGCCTTCCGATGGTCTTCGTCGGGCATCCGTCAACTCGTTCGGCTATGGCGGGTCTAATGCCCATGCCGTCCTTGATGACGCCTATCACTACATGCAGGAGAGGGGACTCTCTGGACACCATTGCACCAATCCGCAAAGACCCAGTATGAAGCAATCACCTCCGAGAAAAGACGAAAATGGTTTACAGCCAAACCAGAAGGACAATAACTCTGAGCAGACAAATGGAGTTCACAACGGCTGCACACACGCAGGAGATCTTCCTTATCTATTTGTATGGTCTACATCTGATGCTCCTGGAATAGAGAGAATTGGTGCTTCTTACAAGGATTTTCTTTCTAGAAAACTGCTCTCAGATGTTATTGACTCAGACTATCTCGAAAATCTCGCCTATACACTTTCATCGAAGCGGAGTATTCTTCCTTGGAAAGCATTCCTTGTGGCACGGTCCGGAGAGGACCTCCAGGTCCGATTGGGAAAACTACCAAAGCCTACCCGGTCTTCTCTCCCACCTAAATTACACTTTGTTTTTACTGGACAGGGAGCGCAGTGGTCGAGGATGGGCCTCGACTTGATGATTCATCCGATTTTTCGACAGAGCCTCAACAAAGCTAGGTGTTACTTCACCTCCATAGGCTGTTCATGGTCACTAATTTCCGAGCTTGAAAAGCCAGCTGCGGAGTCAAGGCTTGACGAACCGGCATTAGCTCAGCCAATTTGCACTGCCATACAAGTTGCATTGGTCGAACTTCTGACTGCCTGGGGAGTCCGCCCTTTGGGTGTTGTTGGGCATTCATCTGGGGAGATTGCTGCAGCTTTCTGTGCTGGAGCTTTGACCCGTGAAATGGCTTGGGCCATTGCCTACCACCGAGGCAGCCTAGCAGGCCACCTGGCTAATGAAAGCTCCGAAGATGACAGAGGCACCATGATGTCGGTCCAGCTTTCCGAGTCTGATCTGAAACCCTACTTTGAAAAGCTTCCAGCGGGCAGAAGTGTCTCAATTGGATGTGAAAACAGCCCCGTCAACACAACCGTGACGGGAATCGAGGGCAACATAGATCATCTAAAGAGACTACTTGACGAAGATGGCGTGTTTGCGCGCAAGTTAAAAGTACCCGTTGCCTACCACTCTAAGCATATGCAGGGGATTGCGAAAGAATATCTGGCCCTACTACGTCCTATCTGCCCCCTGGGAGACAAGAAGAACATTAACAGTGGGGTGCTCTTCGTCTCGTCTGTGACTGGGCAAGAAATTACGTTCAATCGACTTCGCCAGCCAGAATACTGGGTGGAAAACCTCGTATCGAGAGTCCGATTCACCGGGGCCATGAAAACTCTTTTTTCAAAACTGAACGAGGTCCCAGACATGAGTCAATCGCTCTACTGTATCGAAGTCGGACCCCACGCCGCATTGCAGAGACCTATCAAAGACAATGCATCAGGAACCAAGGAACTGATTTACAAGTCCACTCTTCGGCGAGGAGAAAACGGCTGGGATAGCCTTTCGAAGGTCATAGGTGAACTCTTTGTACAGAGTTTTCCGGTTGACATTGAGGCGTTCAACAGTCATGGGTTGGCTAGAAACCATCGCCGATTACAGACTGACCTGCCGTCATATCCATTCAACCACACCCAAAGATACTGGCTGGAGAGCAGGTTGTTCAAAAACTATCGCCAGCGCAGTAAGCCTCGACATGAACTACTCGGACTTCCTTCCGTCGATTGGAATCCGCTCAAGCCCAGATGGAGGCACACTCTTAGGAGACAAGACTCACCATGGTTAATGGATCATCAGGTAAGGCAATATTCGCCCTGTGGCGCCAGTTTACTGCATCAATCTGCTTACCACGTTTGTACAGCTCAATGGGTCTGTCATCTACCCCGCGGGAGGCATGATTTGCATGGTGATTGAAGCTGCGAGATCGATAGCTAAGCCTGATGCCCAAATTCGAAGTTATCGCTTGCGCGAGGTCACCATCCAAAGTGCGCTTGTCATTCCTCCAGAGTCTCAAGGCGTAGAAATTCAACTCTATCTACAACAACAAAAGCATACACGTGTCACCACGTTTTCAGCTATCGAGTGCAATGACTTTTATCTTGCAGCCAACATAGACGACGAATGGAAAGAAATTTGTTCGGGAACAATTGTGTTGGATTACATTGAGAAATCTAAAGGGATATACCATGATGAGCAACACGTGCTAAAGTACAAAGAAGACACGAGGGCTAAATTTGATGAAATCTTCAACAAGTGTTCAGCTAATACCCCAAGAGATCGATTCTATGACATGGGAAAAGCTATGGGCTATGACTTCGGCCCAGCTTTCCGAACAGTGCACGACCTATCATACGACCCGACTGGTCACTATGCTGCTGGAGCTATTATTCTGGATGAGTGGATGGAGAAGACAACCAAACCCCGAATCCAGAAACATGTCATCCATCCAACTGCTCTTGATGGAATATTACAGATGGTGGCGGCCCTGAATAGTAAAGGCGGTACCGTCATGGGGCCGTTACAAGCACCCACACAGTTTAAACACATTTGGGTTTCCAACCAACTTCTCGGCCGCGGTCCAGATGTCAGGATTTTGGTAGCCGCGAAACATGATAAAGTCTCTATGAGAGATACTGAATCTTCAATCGTGTCATTGAATCCCGAGACTTTGGAACCAGCAATAGTGATTCAGGGCTACAGAGCGACAACACTCAACTCTAATAAACAAATACTGTCTGAAAGACAAGACAAGGTCTACAGGCTTGAATGGAAGCCTGACATCGAGGTTCTCGATGGGCCAGAAAAGGCAAGTTACTGCCTCCATCGAGCAAATAAGTATCTAGATTGGGATCCTTCTAAGCAGCTCGTGTGCCTCTACTTTATCAAACGTGCATTGAACAAGTTGAATGCAGAAGGGTTCCAAGGCCCATCCGGGCACCTCAAAAGCTATATGCAATGGATGCAATTGCATCTCGAATACATGAGCCGTCAGAACCTGGTCGACACATCACAATGGGAAGACTACATCCCTTCCGAAAAAACCGAACTTTATCTTAACCAGTTCGCTGCCAGGGGGCGAACAGAAAAGGCAGTGGTTGATTTTTGCTCGCGCATTCCACAAATAGTAAAAGGCGAGACGGATCCCCTCGACATTCTTTTCAACCAGGGCTTGGCCAATGACCTATATGCGGATGAATTATACGAGCTGATGGGCAGGCGAATGTCGGCCTTTGTTGATCTTTTGGTTCATAAAAACCCTAACATGAATGTGTTGGAGATCGGTGCAGGAACGGGAGCTTTTACCAGCTCTGTCCTGTCAGCACTGTCGTCGAACTTCAACAGCTATGCGTTCACCGATATATCTCCAAGCTTTTTCGAAAAGGCCAAAACTCGATTTGCCGAGCACGTTGGCCGCATGACCTTCAAGGCCCTAGATATTGAGACAGATCCAACCACGCAAGGATTTGAGGCTGGCAAGTATGACGTTGTTATTGCAGGCTTAGTCTTCCATGCTACTGCCAACATAATGGAGACGCTCAAACATGCGAGGTCCCTGCTTAAGCCGGGAGGATATCTCCTTGTCGTCGAGACTACCAACAAACATACAACCGCAGCAGATGTAGTATGGGGCACCTTGCCCGGTTGGTGGAGGGGATCTGAGAATGATCGAAAATTGAGTCCCCTTTATACACAGGCAGAGTGGGACAAGACTCTTCGAGAGACAGGGTTCTCAGGTCTCGATATGGCACTGACCGACTATTCGGATCCTGACCATCATGTTTTATCCTTCTTGGTATCCAGAGCAGTTGATTACAACGACAAGGAAGTTAGGGTAGCCTCCCCCATTGTTATATTGTCGAGTGATACAGAACTTGAGCAAGGGATAGCTGCCTCTATCTCTTCTGAACTAAGGTCTCTGGGTTTTGCTGAGATTTCCATCACTACTCCAACGTCTGTTCTTGCTCACACCCAAACTATCCATCATTGTGTGAGCCTGCTAGAATTAGGTGACCCATTCCTCACCTCTATTAGCGAAGATGGGTTCGATGCGCTCAAATGGATTATAGAGTCAGCAGAGCGAATGTACTGGATCACTTCAGGTGCTGGCTCAAATGCTGAAATTCCAGAAAAGGCCTTTGCCTCTGGGTTTGGAAGGGCGATTATGCATGAACGGCCCGAGATGCATTTTGTCACCATTGATGTGAACACTCCATCCAATGCAGCAAAAGTCTTTCGGAAAGTTTTCACCTCATTCCTAAGGGAACCCGATGCTCAAGAAAGCGACTATATGGAGTCAGATGACGTGATATCAATTCCTCGAGTAATTAAGTCACAAGAGGCCAATGACTTTGTGTATTCTCAGATCGGGCAGCCTGAGTTGCAGCGGAAGTTTGTAGGCAGCAGCAATGACGCAGAGGACGCACTCAGACTGAAGTTCACTCCAGGGCAGCTCGACAGCTTCTGTTTTGTCCAGGACCGCGCTCGAGACTCTGTCCTTGCGCCAGATGATGTTGAGGTTCACGTCAAAGCGACTGGGATCAACTTTACTGATGTGATGCATATTTTGGGACAAATCACAGGCCCTTCCGTCGGCTTTGAGTATAGCGGTGTCATTAGTCGAATCGGATCATCAGTTGAAGGGTTTAAACCTGGAGACCGTGTTTGTGGCTTATGCCTGGATGCCTTTAGAACCTATTGCCGAAGCAATATGTATACTACGGTCAAGATTCCGGACAACCTCCGCTTCACCGAAGTCTTTCCTGCAGTATATTTGACGGCAATATACAGCATTAGTCATGTCGCGAGATTGAAAAGAGGAGAGTCTATCCTGATCCATTCGGCAGCTGGGGCTGTGGGACAAGTCGCTATCCAGTTGGCAAAGAAAGCTGAAGCTGATATCTTCGTGACGGTGAGCTCAGATGAAAAGAAGCAGTTGGTTCAAGAATTGTATGGAGTTCCCGAAAACCGTATCTTTTACAGCCGTAACCTGTCATTTGGATACGATATTATGCAGGCGACAGCCGGGCGAGGGGTGGATATCGTCTTGAATTCTCTTGCTGGCGAAGCTCTGGCTGAATCGTGGAGAATCGTAGCGCCACTGGGACGATTCGTGGAAATTGGGAAAAGGGACATTCATACGTTCCAGAATCTACAGATGATGCCATTTTCCAAGAACATCTCTTTTCACTCGGTTGACCTAGAGACTGTGCTGATTCACGATCCTCAGTTGATGAGGGAAATGCATGTTGAAATGCAACAAATGCTCTCTGCAGGAGGCATTTCTCCTCCACAGCCCGTCAAGGTATTCTCGAGAGGGGAGTTTGAGTCGGCTATACGCTATTTACAGACCGGGCACCATATGGGAAAGGCAGTCGTGGATTGGGAAGCTGAGTCTGAAATCACAATTGCCCCGAACTATAAACCTAGCTATACCTTTGCTCCAAACGCAACTTATGTTATCGCTGGCGGCTTGGGCGGTATTGGCAAGAGCTTGGCTTCGTGGTTTGTCGGTCGTGGTGCGCGGCATCTTGTTCTTCTCTCACGTTCGGGGCCAAGGTCGGAGAATGTGCAGAAATGGCTCAATCAACTCAAGTCTGCCGGTGTCAACGTTTTGACTCCGCGATGTGATATCTCGGACCTCAAGTCACTGCAAGAAACTATATGTAATGCTGGACAACTTATGCCTCCTGTCAAGGGAGTTGTTCAGGCTTCTATGGTGCTAAGAGTAGGTCCTTCGTGGTATTTTCTCCCTTTTATATAGTTGCCAAACTGACCAATTTGTGTATTTTTAGGATCGTATGTTTGCCAACATGTCTAGAGAAGAGTGGCAGGCGGTTTTACTCCCAAAAAAGAATGGAACCTGGAATCTTCACAATGTTCTGCCGCGCGAGATGGACTTCTTTCTCATTCTTTCTTCTCTAGGCGGGATGATGGGCTCAAGTGGGCAATCTCAATACAATGGCGCCTCCACCTTTCAGGATGCTTTTGCCAGACATAGGTGGTCCCTTGGGGAGAAGTCCGTGTCGATTGACGTAGGTGTCGTTGGAGACGTGGGATATGTGGCGGAGCATTCCGACGTTGCAAGGCGATGGGAGAGGAAGGGGGTTCAAGTTCTCGACGAGAAGGAGATTCATAGTCTTGTGGACTGGGCATGCAACCCATGCCGCGAGTTCCCAACCTCATGGTCGACTCAAATAATCACAGGAGCAGGACAGCTCGCAGGACGCCAAGCCGACAATCCCGACCTCCTTCCACACCTCAAGCGCCCCATTTTCAGTCCCCTTTTACAGGAAAACAGATTTTTAGAGAGCAATGCCGCGACTCGATCAATAGCACAAAAGCTAAACTACAGTGCTTTACTTGCCGAAGCGCGAAACACGGAAGAGGCTGGAAAGATTATTGCTACAGGCGTTGCAAGCTTTCTCTCAAATGCTCTATGCGTGCCAGTAGAGGATATTGACACAGCAAGGACTGTTCACTCATACGGTGTTGATTCTCTTATGGCTGTTGAACTACGGTTTTGGTTCAAGGACAAGATTGAAGCAGAAACCTCTGTTTTTGATATTCTTACTAACAAAAGTATTTTAGCTCTCAGTAAATCTATAGCTTTAAAGAGCAAGTATAGAGCAGAATAAGAGTATTTATATCTAGAATAAATAATACTGAGGCACCTTTTTATTAATAAAAGTAGATCTTAGTAAACTGTATGGGTAATTGAATAAACTGACTTATATTAGTTATATAAATTGGTTTTAATATAGAATTATTAATTTCCTTAATATTTTTATAATAAAAAGAATGAATTATCTAATCAGAAGTAAATAGTTAAGATAGATATATCTCTTCATGAAAGTAAAGAAGGTAAATCTCATGATAAAAATACATCACTCTATTCTAAATAAATTTAGATGCTTATAGATCGGTCTTCCATATCTACGAGGCTAATAATAGCTATATAACGTAAAGTAATGCACAAGTAAATCTTAAATCCCCTCAGAGTTTCAGGCCCTTGACTATTAAAACACCAGGACTCAACATACAAGAGCACCTTCTGGGATTGGTACCTTCTTACGCTTTGGTGGTCAATGTCACTTGATGTCCGGGGGCATGAGCTTTATCCACTTGCAAATCTCTTGTAGCACGAGGTAGTCTTTGCGTCTCTTCTGATGCGATTGCAAGCCACCAAAGCGCATTTTAATTAAACAGTTGCGTGGTAAGTTGTTGCAGTGCTCCGTCTTGGAGTTTGCGATATGCCAATTCTTGCGCTGAGCGATCTAGACGACCCCTTAGCATGCCACCAGCCGCATTACCAAGGGGACCTTTACTCTGTCGAATGAGTCGTCATGATCATGATCATTTTCACAAACATTATGCTTTATTTGCACAAAGCAATCCAAAGTCCATGAGTATCTTGTCATAATAGCCTGTTACCCCAATCTCGGTATGCTCCTAGGTTTGACATCTTAGTTGTCATGTCGGGCAAGCAGGTCAAATGACTTACCAGAGTGGAATAAAATCCTACTATACAAGTCTCCGATGGTGGTCGAAGCTCTTCAGAGAAGTAATCGCACCCGTCTTCAGCATCCACTTGAATATAATGCTTACAATGAGGTGGGAATTCCCTTTTCCGGCCGGAAGATGTGTGAACCTAGGACAAGAGTTAGTGCCAAGTACCATGCAGTTTGCAAACGACTTACAATGAAACCAGCCATTTGATCCGGGTCTTGGTACATGACGTCAATCCCAGTGATGCGCTCACCACCTGCCGAGTCGATCAAGACACGGTGTGTACTTGAATAAGGTGTGGCCATATGCGATGTAGAGGTATGCCCAAGTACTATTGAATCTCGGCCATCATTGACTCCCTTGTCATATCTGAATTCAATTCCGAATACCAGAGTGTTGTTTCCCGTTTCACCAAGAGAAGACCGATCAATACCCCATACAATTACTTCCTTGAGATGAGGAAGCCATGCTCCATCTGGCCCCCCGAACATGCATACAGAGTGTGGAAGGGCTCCCCTGTATTGCATAAGCCTCTCATGCTCAGCTCCTATGAGATGGAGACGAGGACATGGAATCTCAGGGTACCATAATCTTGTATCACGTAATGGTGCGACTCCTGCTCCTTCTGTCCTCAGCAAGACCATGTTCATTGCCTGGAAAGAAGTCAGCAGTTGCTCGTCTTGGCTCAAGAGAGAAGAATGAGGAAGCAAGAACTTACGTCAAACCCTGCAACAATAGTTATTGTTGGCTCAACGGACCCTTCACACGACCGCTCGCATGTAATCGTTTTTTTGGGCAGATCGACATGATCCCCAACCCATCTTGACCAGCCATCTTCATTTGACAGTATTCTTATCCCTCGAACTCCTCGCGGGTCCCGAGCAATCTCAAGACTTGAGATAGAGCATTGGCAGGGCGAGGAATCACAGAAATCGATCTGTTGACCGCTTCTGCCAATGGGATGGTAGCCGATACTTGCAACCCCTTGCTGGTGAACAAAGGAGAGTCCACAGATATAAGTCCTTCCATTGAGGTGGTTGACTGAAATAGTGATCTTCTTGACCCATCCTTCCAGAAGGGACTTTCTATAATAGAGTGCCCTTGAGCCTCGAGTAAAGTAGTTGCAGAAAGGAGACACGCTTCCCATGTGCCGATTCCAGCGGCGCGGTTCTCTGCTCTCAAATCCTTCGCTTTGGCCGATGGGGATACCTTCGCAATCTTTCAGCTGTGTCCGGACGCGTATCAACGTATTCAGCCTAGAAGCCAGGCCCCAGATGCGTCTTCGGTTCTCTAAAGCTGGATTATCGTTGATTGCATTGACTAGCCCATAGGTCCGGCGCCAGTTTCTAGGAGCCGATGGTCCTTGTCCGCAAAGCTCGAAAATGTGAGAGAACTCCTTGCCGGGCCAGAAACGTGATTGCCAGAATGGACCCGGCAATCCTGAACTCGCGAACATTCTGGAGGCGATCAATAAAGAGACAGCATCCGCTGAACCGAGGTCGGCCAAAATGTAAACTAGGATCTCATGCGGGAATATCGCGAAAGGATCTTGGCTGATCTTGGAAGATGCCAACTGGCTAGACTGATCAGAGGTCAATTCCAAGCCGTTCTGCTCGAGAATCGACTGGAGCTCTGGTACATTGATAGGGTCAGGCAACTGCGTCTCACCAATCAAGGACCTTCCCCTCAGAACGGCGGATTCGCCAGGACAAACGGCTGTTGGTGCCAATTCATACTCCAGCAAGCCTGCATAATCATGACCCCAGTCCATTGTTTCATGCTGAATCGGTTGAGACCTGCAAATGTCAAAGAGACTCTGGACTGCTGCATACTCCGGGACTTCGGGGTCGTTTAAACGGAGTAGATGCCAGCAACAATCATGGAGCGGAAACCCCCACACGGTCTGTGGGTTCCACTCAACATGAAGTGCTGGGTCGAAATCGTGCATCAAGAGTTTAACCTTCAGCCACACCTCGTCGACGATGGCCAATGGAGCTTCTCTTGCCACGGCTTCATCTAGCGGAATCACATTACACCAGCTGCGTCGTCCGATACCCGATATTCGCGGTTGGGACCAATTTTCCCAGACCGTGTACACTGGACTTATATCAGTAATCTCAAGTAACAAAATAAACGACCAGGCATCGGTCTATAAACGTCTTTGAAAGATGTGTTATAATACTTACACACGCGAAAAGAGCCCATCCACTTGCTTGATGAGTCCTCGGGCTCAGGCTCAATGATTGGGGCGCCACAAAGCACACATGATACTTTTCGATTCATCTTTGTGAGATTTGACTGGTCCTGATTTTCCAACGTCTAGGTCGAGTTGACGCCAATCCGTCTCGGTAGTTATCCGCAACTGGCTCTAGTTTGGTTGATTAATCGATCTAATGGCTCAGAGCAGGATCAGATTTCACTGCACGTAAAAATGCCCTCGGAGTTTCTTTCTTCCTAGCCCGGGCATTAGTCTAACAGTTAATTTTAACGGTTATTCTTACTTTTGGGGAGGGAAATAGCTGTCCTTTCATATACCTACGGGCGAGTGTTCAAATAGCGTGAGCTCACAAAAGACTGTTTGCGTCCGGCTTGATGTATGCAACGATACCGCGCCAGCCTAATAATTCTCTTGTGGACTAAATGTATGCACCCAAAATATGCAAATGGCGGTAAGTCACTTTACTAGGGTCTATAGTGATAAGGGACATCTTGGGTTGGTTTCCAAGGTACATTTCCCAATTCACTAGCCGGAATTACTCCGTCTTCTAACCGATAGCACCACACAAACATTGCGTAGGCATGACTTATCTTAATTCAAATTTACCACAACTTAATTATCGAGTGACTGATGATTCGATGAATCAAAACCCATACTCTACTTACTATATCCCTCTCAAATCCTCATGATTTCTGCTGATTACAGAGGAGCAGGAGCAACACCATCCGGCTTCACAACAACATAATCCTCAATCAAAGCACTTCCATCCGCCAACGCCGCCAACTGCTCCTTCGTACACGAAGTAGGCGCTTGCATCAGATAACAAGTATTCTTCACCGGCTCAGGAACTTCATTCTTCACATCCCTTACCTGATCTTTTCCCTTTGTCGAATAGCCCCCTTCCACTTCTGCGAGAGTCACCTTCCCTGTAGCCACATCCTTTCCAAACATGACACGATCGAATAGTTTGGAGAGAGTCTCAGGTTGATAACCACCTACACCATGACCAGCTTGGAAAATGCGAGAAAAGGAGAGTGGACCGTGTTCTCGAACGAAACCACCTTGGTAGGAGCAGTTTGTCGTGATAGGTTCGTATCCAGCGGAGCGGAATTCATTGGCGGAGGAAAAGTCTAGAGAAAGACTGACATTTTCACCTCCGAACCCTGTTCATCAAATACAATCAGTAACCAATCCTTCATATGTGAATGGTGGGTTATGAACTTACAGTTGCATCGATAGTCTCTATCTCCGTAAATCATAGCAACGTTGACACCACTCTCCATCACTCTCTCAAGAGAATGCAGTGATCTTCTCATAGGATCGCCAGTCTGCATCATAAATGCCAAATTTGTCTTTGCCGAACTAATCGTAAAGTTCAACGGCACACCAAGTTCCTCTTGCACCCAGCGATTGTTGAAAAACGCATCTTGGTAGGGTTTAGGGAAGATGGTAATATTGGAATGTGTTACATCAAAAGGAGATCGCTAAAATTTTCATTAGCAACATGCAGCTTTTAGATATTTGGGGATGAGAAGACGTACATCGCCTGCCTCTGAATAAGCAGCTTGAATACCAAAGAAGCAAGTCTTTGACGCAGCCACACATGCCTCATTGACTGTTTTGTTGGATCCATAACTAAGAGGATCACCTTGCTCGGCAAGCTTCCTGCATTGATCAATCAAGGCGTAGCATCCCTTTTCAGGTTCAACAATAGCAGCCATGGCCTTTTCGAAGACTTCTTCTGGGTAGATTTGAAGACCGAAGGTGTTGTTGTAGGCAAAGGTCGGGTAACCCATTGCCATGGCGCGGGTGTCGATACAAGCGTCTGCGAGGCCGAGAGTGGCTAGGTTGAGGGGAGTAGCGTTGGGCAGTGCGCCTGTTTCGTTGTTTTTGATGAGGTCATTTTGGTCTTGGAAGTATTCGAATGTGCCTGGTCCGTAGAATCCACCGTACTATAATATTATCAGTAAGCATTCCCTTCGAGTGGTGTATGTTCCGGTTTGTACTTACTGATACAGCCCACAGAGAGAGTTCGTCATTGATTGTTCGTTGTTCTGGGAAACTATGACCTGTCAGTTCCATTGCAGGAGTGGACTTGACTTGTTCGGCTTACTCATTCATCCAAACTTGAGAGAATGCCCAGAGGGTTCTGGCAGCACTGGCGGTGTTGTTGATAATCGTCTCGGGCTTTCCTTCGTTGAAAGTAGCCTGCCGGAACGTCGCATTGAGCTCTGGCAGAGAGTCACCTTCCTTCAATGGTGTGAATTTCTTGGTGAGAAGGTTGCTCACACCGTTGGCCAGCGATACATATGAAAAGCCAGTATCGAGAGGCTGATCAATGTACAGCATGTTGACATGGTTGTTCCATGAGAACTCGTTCAGTGTGGTTGAGTTGGCATCGGGGTTGAAACGGCATGGGAAGTCAGACATTCCATCAAATGAGGTTGTTCCGGGGCCACCTCCGAGGTAGATGGCTGTTGGCGCGTTTTCAGGGTCATTTCGAGCCTCTATGAAACATCATAAGTTAATAATTCTCGCCTTTGAAGTGGAAGCGTGATAAAGAACGTACCGAAGTACCAGAAAAACATATGAGCTGCAGCTCCATCTTCCCATTCACTAGCAATAGGATGAAGAAGCTCCTTAGGTATCTTAACGTATCCGGAGTAGGAGTTGACCCCTTCTGTGGTCTCGCAAATACTTGTCTACATTATATTAGTTAGTGATAGTGTAAGAGAAAGATGGTGTTGGAGATGAACCTTTTTAAAAGACACTTCGGCTCCCTCAAACAGCTCCGATCGAACGACTGTTGCCCCTTTCGGTGCCGGAGGGAATGCCTGAGCGGCAGTACTTCCCAACAACGGAAGAAGAGGTAGAATGGAACGCATACCGAATATCACTAGCAGAGTTGGTGTATAACTTTATGAGCAGAGTTAGATATCCAATGTCGAAAGCTTTATTGAAGATCTTGAGAATCTTATATATTTTCCCTCTAAAGCGCAGCCGTGGCAGTACAGGACGGATCAGTGGATCATCACTAGCAAAAATTGCGAGAGAGCCTATCAAGGCCACTGCCGAAATTACGGCAAGTCTAAATTTAGGATTTTTTGTCAAGGGTTTCCATGGTACAGCCCATCTTAACTTGATTAGATCTTCATCTACAGCAATCATTATTAGTAACGAGAGACAATTAGCCGTTACACTTCTGAGAAGGGTGGCTGTGCTTACAGGACTTAAACTTAGTGCGATGAACAAGGATGAGTTAAATGGTCGGTGGATCATGGTCATGGTTCAAATAGCGAACTAGCCAATGAATTATCGAGAAATTGCGCAGATCTGCCGATGCAACGCATTGGGCATGGGAAAGAAAATATAGCATTTCTTTCCCGTGGATGTAATAAAGATCAATGAGGCGGAATGATGATATGCGCCACATCCACATATTAAGGATAGTCTAGACATAGATACCGAACTAAATATTAATTTCGCGAATTCTACATAATGCAAAAGACGCTTGTTGAGTAAACGGTCCATCAGACTCAATAAATATACACCGAAAACAAAATATCAGCGTCGAGGATCGAGGTCACCAATCCACCATTAATAGAGACTTGTTTGGTTAATATTATTTTATTAGCCTTATAATTTTTATACTTGTGGTTTTACTAACTAAAGTAGCTAAAACGTCACCGTCAATGATCTCATCGTAATCAAAGGCTTCTCGGGATCAAATCCACTCATGACAAGCTGCAAATACAACTCCCTTGAGTCAAATTGGTTCGCCACCATCACGGAGCTCACTCTCTTCTTCTCCGGAATGCGATCTATACCATTCCACGAATAATATGTAGATGGCGAAAAATCCGCCAAAGACCAAGCTCTCCATGGAATAGACAATGAATCAGTCTGCACTCTCTTCTTCAAAAAGTGATTTTCACACAAAGAACCAATATTCTGATATTCCTCCCCCAATCCCTCCTCTTCTACATCCATAATACCAGAAATAGCCGCGGCAGCACCATCACTCCTCCACATGCCTTCGTGGCGATTCATTTTTTTCATGAGATTCAGAATATGGCGCCTCAATGCAGGATGTCGACATCTTTTGGCAACATCAAATAGAGGCAGTACTACCGCAGGCTCGAGACTGAGTTGAAGGGATTCCGGTTTATTGTCGTTGTTCCCTCCTCTTCTCTCGATAGAAATGTGCACAAGTGTCGCGATGAGTTGAAAATATCCCAAACAGTCGTCGTGTCGGACTTCCGGCCCAAATAGTTTTGTTTTAAATATAAATCGTAGCCAGGCATGATAAACTCGAATGGAAATGGCTGCATGCTCGTCAAGGAAATCATGACGACGCGCTTCAAACTTGGTCATCATGCGTTCAAAGTGCTCCAGATCCAGTCGCGCTTGATCATTAACGGCACAATAACTCGCGTCGTCCATGCCGCCGTCCCAGTAATTTCGATCATTGACCATAAGTTGCCGTATGATATCGAACAATGCAGATGCAGCTTGGGAATAAGAATGATATACACCGTCTCCTATCACTTGGTTGATTCCTCGTACAGCGGCTGATTTGGCAAATGGATATGGTGAGGCGGAATCACTCAAAGTAAATGATTGCATGTCCATTCGTGTTAGTGTCGCGGCTATTCGTTTCTTCACATCATCAAATCCCGATGACTCTGGTAACTCAGCCAGTATTCGAAAACTAGACAGGATGTGCATGTGAGACTCGGACCAAACCCCAAGCATATTGGCTGCAGCAATGAGGGGCAGGCCCAGGGCGAGCAGTTTGCAAGGCGAATCTAAGGTACGAGCTAACGACATGGCCTTGCCGTAGTGAACAGTCGCATTGCGGATCAAGGTATCCATTTCCTCCCCTGGAGAATAGAGCTCCCATCTCCGATGTAGGGCTCCAACAGCGAGGGTCGCGTGCCAGATGGCAGGTTCGTCATGCGCAAGCTGCAAAAGGTCCTGGCCCCAGAACATAGAGGGGATAAACGCGTCTGTGTTGGGTGCTGTAGCGCGGCGAAAATGGTCAAAGTATTTGACGTCTTGAGGTGATGATGACGACGAGGATGATGCTTGTTGACCTGTGAACGGTGGGCCGGGTGCGGGCAACGAAGGCAAGTTGCATTTGTAATTGGAAGCCAGGACCTCTGAGGCTGGCCCGACAATGGAAGAATTACTAAGGGCGTCCAGCAGTTGACGGCGCGACATCTTTTTGTCGGGGGAGAGATAGCCATCGCATGTTCTTTTGGCGGTTTGACACCGGAGGCATTGAGGTTTGGTTTCGTCGCATTTGACGCGACGGATTCTAATGACTTCATTGAGTGGGAAACTTGGGCCTACAGATCCAGGTTTCACTCACCTGCATGAGATGCAACCGGTCCTGGTTCGTGTGATCATTGTTCAATTCGAATGGCCTTGATGCCTATCTTTTAGATGAATGGAAAGATGAGGATTCCGATGAGCAACATGCAAAACGTCAGCATGTATCACGTTCCGTAATGTATCATCGCTAGGAGGCAAGTTCACCCCAGCGGCACTCTCCGCAAGAATAAATTAATACAGGACGTTATTGTAGTGCCCCACTGTATCAGCCCGGTTACTTATTATTAACACCGCTGGTTATGCAATCCTTTCAGAGGTACCTAAAATAAATGGAGTGAAGTAGTAGTCTTTACTAAAAATAAGTAATAAAGGAAGAAAAATCAAACAAAATACCTTTCTTGTTGGATTCAAATGAATACAGCTAATAATGAGTGCTTAATTGGGTCAATTATGCGGTGTATTCACTGTTGTTGTAGGTGTGTTGTGTTATTGTCACCCAATAACCCCTCTTCTCGGCTGACCCCTTGTGTATTAATTCGATCGCTCCTGCCTCTCTTAACCAAATATCGGGAGGTATCTACCTAAGTTTACAGTGATAAAGTGCATAGCAAATTTGCACGCGCTGTGGAGCGCTAATCTCGTTGTGACACCTTGCGTCAGCTTACATAAAGTAGCACCAGACTCCACAAGAAATTGCTGCCTCACTTGACCGCCATTACTACTACCCTATAGCCGGTGATTTGTGTTGTTTTCCTTGCACTACTTTATTATTCTGTATTTGTGTGATATATAATTATAAAAAAAATGCTCAAAGTTCTGTTTCTAGTAGTACCTACAGGCATTGGACTGTTCTGCGTTTTCAAGTTCCGTTTCAGGTTGTCAAAGGCATGCAGAGGGGCGCGCGTTGTCACGATAGGATATCAATGGATGGAGTAGAAACTCAGTATGCGACATGGATTGATTTTCCCTCTAATTTACGTGCGTTTAATAACTCATCATTATTCGTGTGCGAGGAAGGCCTGTCTTTGCTTTAGACTCATCCTGATCTTTTCATGTGCGATTAGTCCCTAGCTACCGCCCAAGTAGTACAAAGACGAATAGACAGGAAATCAACTTGTTTGCTGTTCGTTGCGGCGGCTAGACGTGGCTTTGATATTTCTCAATGATAGCACCAGATAGTTAGGGGCCAGTGCTAGATGATTCGTCGTCACTGGTATGCACATCATTGTTTCTCATTGCAGCGTCATCCTTCTAAGGGGCGGGATTATGTTTAGATGCGCCCACGCATGTAGACGATGAATCTATTTTATTTATCTATACATGTGCTATATCACTGGTACAGAAGGCGTTCTAGGATAGTTCTATTACTATAACATGGAGTGACAAAGAAAAGCATCAACGATAGAAAGAAAGAGAATATTTGAAAAAAGATTAAATACGTGATTTTGGAAGTTTTACAGATGTGAGAGGCTATTGGGGTTTATCAATGTGAGAAGTGGAGAGAAGATACGCAAGAGAGTTCGAGTATAAAGTTCAAAATAACAATAGAAGATGCTAGACCCGACAACTTAACACAATGAAGTGGAGAGAAGATAGTGCGTTCTAGACCGAGTTGGCCTGCTTGTTCAAACTTCTGTAGGTATTGATCCGATTGGTTTTAGTATTTACCTCATAGTTCGAACGGCGGAAGGTCATTCATCCGAATCTGTCCAGTAACAAACCAGACGTGAGGTCATATTATACCGAGTAATACATCAGGCGCAAAGAAGTACAGCTAGTCGTAAAGCGACATACACTGCTGCACTACTTAATTGCACTATTGAGATCGCCTGCAGCCGTCAAATCCATGTCATTTCCTGAGCTGGCCAGCTCCATCCAAGGAGTCAAGCTGAATACTGCAGACTTTGCCTTAACCCTGCGAGTATACATTCAGCTCGTTACTACGGAGCAAGCCCACGGCGTCCAAAGCAGGCAAGATGTGCGTAATATTGGGAGCTGAATGCCAGGCAGCATGTTATCCGCTGCAAGAAGCTCGCCACGTCAGCAGTCAATTTGCGCTGCCGGAAGATACGCAAACCAGCGTTGGATTAGACACAGAAGCGTGACAATTGCCACGCAATGCGAGCGCAGCTCCATGGAGCTAAGACTCTGAGACGTTGTCACCCGATAGTGGAGATTAAAGTGAAAGTGCTACTTTGGCTTGAGCTGTCAGAGCAACTTCTCTGATCAACTGTTGGTGTGGTTTTATTAGGAGTATCATACTAGATTCTTGCAGCGCAGACGTATGTGTGTACGCGTGGCATCGCTGGTTCCTCACTTATAAGTGGCTGAATGTAGCCATCGCTATCTCTCGGCGTTACCACGCATGTGGCCTTACACCCTCTGGCACTCTGTTAACATACGGTTTACATATACACAGAGCACGAAATACCCGAGTTGGCGGGGCCTCATACAACGTCACTGACATATAGCCTATAAAGCCCGCGAGGCACGTCACCTCTGCGGAGTTAAGCAACAACGGTAAATTATTACGTCTTGGGAAATACTGTGATAACCCCTCTCCAGGTCGCTGGCGTTAATGAAGGCGGATGAAGTGAAGCAACGCCGCCATAGTGAATGTCAGTACTGCTGATCACCCATATAATGTTTGCGCACAGCTGTGCAGTTTGGTCCTCGATCGCTTGTATCAATATTGAGCTGCGCCTCGCTCGGCGTTGCCGATCACGACGGATTGTTTCCGTGTACACGACGTTTGGTGGTGTAAGACAGATAACTCGGAGATATAGCACAGTAGATAAACTGCGGTGAAATTCTTGTCAGCATCGTTTAACTACTGTTACCTTGATGCTATTGCATGAAGCTTCTTTGAGGTGGCCCTGACATTTTGCATTATTTAGCAATAAGACTTATGTATAAATATGTCTCATTGTGTTGAGTTGTCGGGCTCTGGCAGCTTCCATTGCTGTTAAACTTTATTCTCTTTCTTTTACGTATATAGTATATTTATCTTCAAGTATATATATTTAATAGCTTTTTTAAAAGTATTTATTAATACTTTCTTATTTTTAATTATATATAAATATACCTTATTAGCTTTTCCCTTTATAGAAAGGTAGATGGCTTAGCTTACCTATAGGAAAACTGGGTCACTAAGATCATAAATTCCTTTGAGATAATACGGTACACTGGTTGACTGACTCATCGATATCTTAAGCTTTACTAGTTTGCCTCTATGCCTTTCCTGTTTAGGCGATTTTGCGAAGTTTCGCATTTATCCCACTTTCGCCCCTCCCATTCTCACCGTCTCCTCGATTGCCCCTTGAACCACACGCATCAATCTCACTCATTGAGAATTGTGCCGCTATGGGACGAAAGTATTGCGTTAGATTCATCAACTCGGCCCCCGAGGCACGCGGCTCCCCTTCCGCTGCTGCTGATGCGAGCGGTCCTGAGCGGGCAGCGGATAGTAAACCTGGACCGGCTGCTCCGGGCCAGAGCCGCCAGATCATCCGCAGCCGCTTTGGCTGCGCAGAGTGCAGGAACCGCCACGTGAAGTGTGACGAGGCCTTCCCCGTATGCCAGCGATGCCATCGCCGCGGCACCGTGTGTCGCCCCAGGGCCCGGCCTCTTGGGTGGCGCACAGAGATACCCTGGCTGGCCAATCCAGGACTCAACCCCCCTTGGAAGACCCGCCCCAACGGCCGCTTGCTGCAGTTCTGGATGGAGATTGCCAGCCATATCCTGACCATGAGCCCAGATCACAATCCCTTGTCCTTTCCTCTCATCCCCCTCTTGGCCGAGAGCCCCAGCCTGCTCCACGCCGTGCAGAGCGTCAGCGCCGGCTACGAAGTCTTCTTCCAGCAGTCGAGCCTCGATCTCTGCTTGACAGAGCGTGGCCTCGCACTCGAGTTCGTCCGCAAGGAGCTCCAGGAGCATACTGCCGGCAGCCCCATTTCCCCTGCTTCTGTTCTCAGCGTCTTTGTCTTGGGTATTTCCGCCTCTTGGGTCGAGACAACTCCAACCACCTACGGTCAGGAGCATTTAGTTGCTGGAAGAATCATGCTCGACAAACTCCTCAGGGACGAAAAGACACGCTCGGATCCGATCACTACATTCCTCCTCGGATGGTATCTTCATTGGGATATGGCTTGTTCCTTGGTAGCCTCCTTGGATGGTTTACTACCCCTCGACCCCCCCGAGATGGGCTTGACTGTACGTGAAATGCAGTCCAGTTTCCACCCAATGACGGGCTTCTCTACAGAGCTGTTTTATATCCTCTCGAGGCTTGGTCGCTACTGTCGACAGGTGTGCAAGCATCCACAGCAACGCGACGAGATTCTCGAAACCGCATTCCACCAACAATTGATTTCCTGGCAACCCAAGTGCGAGGCACAGGACCACGTCGATCTGAACGACGCCTTCAAGTACCACGGCCTGATTACGCTGGGCAGGGTGTGCGGGCAGGCCAGCCAGGCCTCCCTCGACTGGACAAATGCACCGGGACCGACCGCCGAGGTTGAAGGTGAAGCCAAACTTCGCGAGTATACCCTCAAGTGTCTGGACGCGACATCTGCCGTTCCTCTGGAATCACTCTGCACCAACTACCTGGCGATTCCACTACTCACCGCCGGGTCGGAGCTGACGAGTGGCGACTTGGCTTCACGAGAAAAAGTAATTGTATTATTTAGGGCCCTGTACTCGCGCAACCGACTTCAAGTGAACATCTGGGCCATCGAGTTGCTTGATGAGCTCTGGGCACTGCGGGATCTTGGCATCAATCTGTCTTGGATGGAGTTGCAGACGCAAAAACAGTGGGTTCTTCAATTTGGATAACTGGGAAATCGACCGTGAGGGGAAACTGCGTGTGAGGGGTCCCATGGCGTTGCTATTCCGTAATACTTGTTCCTCACTGTGTATCCCATCTTGTCATCCTCCACAGGTTGGCATGGTACGTGGGGGCTGTGGACAGTCGCTACTTTCCGACTGCCGGATTGGAGGTTTGCATTCGAATTCGCTCCCATCTAATGTCCGGGAAAAGTCCAAGGTGACAAATATCACATCATTGAAACTTGTCCAGACCACACCAGCAAAAACTCGGCTACTGTATTCTCCAACCACCCGTAATAGAACTTCTCGATGGGCAACGGTACTGAGGTTGAGGTACAAGGCAAGTCATGATCATCGGACTACAATAGAAGTTGTGCATAACGAGCAAACTACTTCGTTCGGTTATATACTATGTCAAAACCCGTGCTCAGTCAAAGTTACAATCTAGGGGTATAGCGATAGATAACGATTAATACGTACAAATATAGACACATCCAATGGTTAAACTATTCACTAAAATTAATCATACTTTGATGTCTACAATATACTAGAAGATAAAATCCTTTAATTTAGCTATCATATCTACCGCCTATATTTGGCCTCGTCTTCAGCTGAGAAGGAACTAATGGCGACCAAGGGGCCAAAAACCTTCTCTCCCGAAAGCTTCATGTGATCTTTTACGCTAGTAAAAACTGTAGGTTCAATAAAGAAGCCCTTGCCGTTGACGCCCAGATGAGGCTTGCCGCCAAAGCCGACGGTAGCCCCTTCTCTTTTGCCTTACTCAAAATATGACAAGACTCGGTCGTACTGGGCTCGTGATATCTGGGGGCCCTGGAAAGTCCCTTGGGCAAGGGGGTGGCCAATCTTGGAGAAGTTCTTGACTTGATAAACAAAGAGGTCAATAAACTGCTTGTAAATCTTGTCCTGCACAAGAACTCTGCTTGTAGCTGTACAGATTTGTCCCTGATTTGCCATGGTGCCATAGTGAGCCCATTTCGCTGCATTCTCGAGTTCGGCATATTCGAAGACTATAAGTAGAGACTTGCTCCCGGTTTAGAGGTAATATCCTTGCGGTTGGTCGCTGCGAGCTTCATAATCTCCCTAATCGTATTGGTAGATCCCATAAAAGCGATCTTATCTACACGCCAGTGCTCGACCGTGGGCCTCTGAGGGTGGTCCGCGCTGTCTGGGCAGAGTCATCGACATCTTGGGCTCCCGCCGCATGGACCTTGACGATTTCTTCTTCGTTTCTCGGGCGGAGTTGCCGGTATCAGTGGACGACTCTTCTCCGTGTCAATCCATCGGCCCCAGGGGGGTGACTGTTGAGGCTTACATGGGGCTCACGATAGCGATGCTCTCGCCGGATTTCGCGGAGCGCCATTCGTTATTGGTGAATAGTAATAGAGGCTGCTTGACCGGGTGCCCGTTGGGGGAGGTCAGGGTCGTCAACAAAGACGAAGTCATGATTCGTGTCACGTAGGAACGTACGTAGACAGACGTCTACAAGGCAAGGCAATGTGTCTAAAACAAGTTCTCGCTATTTAAAAGAAAGGGGGTCTTGGATTAGTGATGACATTGAAGTGACCGTGCTCGATGGGCCGACGTGGAACAGTTGCACAAGCTTGAGTAGGTAATAAAGGACTTTTCGGCCTCGTAACATGCCCGAAACGGGTAATCCTCATCGGGTTTGATCAGCCAACCTGACCACGATTTAGGTGTAGATGTGGAGGTCTAGCCTAGACTCATGTGCATCGCACCGGTGCCCAATAAGGCAAGAAGCTGCGATGTCAAGTCTTTGATGGTCGGCCAGCTTCGAGAGGGAGGCCTGTGGACATCACGCGCGCGAGATTTCATCTAGAAGGTGAATTTTTGAAAGCGGTTCTCGGCTATCCTTGTACTCTTGTTACATTCAAGTTCAGACTGGGCAGATGGGAAACTCTCTGCTGGCATTTATTTGACTGGCGGTTGACTGGTTTAACGAACGTCAGCGCAAAGATAGAGTTTCTTCTAGTGAATCCATGCAACCCCCTGGACTTGTGACGTATTCATGTACGCCTACTTTCGAATACAGAAACGATGAATCATTATAGGCCAGCGGTGCAGCTTTTTCTTTCCTGTTCGTTACAAGTTCCGAGGTCAGGCGGCAGCTACTGAATCCAATGACGAGCAAAGTCTCCTCAACCCCACAGAGATTGGATTAAATGGCTCCGCAAGATTCAATCACGCCAGTTGCCCAAATCAGACAACACGCGAGCTAGCCAAGAGTGATTGTTAAGCCACGGTTCAACTGGTGTCGACGCCATGTTTGAACCCTGTCCTGTTATATTCCCAAGACGCTCACGCTTTTGCGCAAAATAGCTAACAATCTAATCAACCTCATTTCATGTTTCTCCTTAAACAAAGACCTAAAATGTCGTCTAGAAAGACCATCGCCGTCATCGGCGGCACCGGCCGGGTGGGAAAATCAGTCGCATTGTCGCTCCTTCAAGATGCCAACTTTCACGTTAGAGTCACAACAAGGGATCCGACGAGCGAAAAGTCCAAGCAGCTCAAACTACTTGGTGCCGAGGTTATCAAGGCAGATTCTTGGAATGCCACCGAGCTCGATCACGCTTTGAAAGGTGCCTGGGGTGTTTTCTTGAACACGAACGGCGATGCTCCCGAGTTTGCTGGAGATAGCCATCGGGTCGAGACGCAGATGGGCAAGAATGTCGTGGACGCCGCCCAGAGACAAGGTGTTCAGATATTCATATATGCTGGCTTACCAGAGGTCGCAAAGATTACAAACGGGACTGTAAACATCCAGACGAATTATCACAAGAATAACATTTCCGACTACGCCAAGCAGGCTGGGTTCCGCACCACTGTCAACGTCAATGTGGGATGGATGATGGAAAACTTTTGGAACCCTGCCTACGAAAAGGCGTTTGGTGGGTTTGCCCGCCTGGAGGATTCGGAGGGTAGCCTGACCATTCACCTGTTCCCCATGGGAAACACACCCGAGTCAACACCGTTCACCTCTGTGCGCGATGACTATGGTGACATTGTCCACGGCGTCTTTGTCGACCCGGAGCCCTGGGACAAGCAGACGGTGTGGGCAGTCTCACAGCCTCTGAGTTTTCAAGGCTTTGCAGATGCCTACAACCGTGTGGCTGGGACGACAAAGGCGCGCTATTTGGAGCGGACCACGCCAAGTGAGGCATCGACCCCCGAGAAGACCGCCGAGGTGAATGCCATCCGAACCTACGCCGAATTCGTCAAGGGAAATTACTGCAACGGCAAGCCTGTCGATCAAGCCCCTGCCAGGGAGCTTAAGAAGGCTGGTGCTGCAGCGAGGAACTCCCCCCAGGAGCAGCAGAACTTGCAAACGGTTGAAGGTTTCATCAGGCAACACGGACTGAAGGGCGAGGACATGTAATCCATCTGTGATATTTACTTAGTTGAATATTCGCGCGGTGGAAATGCCTGGAGATTTGGCTGACATAAATACGGGCAACTCAAATTATCCCACACGTGTTCTATACGACATTTAGACGGATTAATTCGTATATTGAATCAGTATGCCAAATCTGCAAGTAACAAGATCATGATTTAAAGTACTAAATTCCCATAATATGGTACATGTTAATGATTGTCGGATATCAGTCTACGTTGGTCCGTTGATTTTTCACGTCAGTTAGAGTACGTCTTCGTTAAAGTAATAACTAAAGGTGCACTTCTCTCTGATTACGAAGTTCACAATGGAGACTGCAGCAGATCAGATTATAGGGAATTTCTTTCAAGTACATGGCATCCAACCTCCAGATTCTTCAGTACATCTAGCTACCAAGGTAACAATTGATTGAAAGCCATGAACGAATCAGCCGAGACAAGAATGACTGTTCAAGTAGAAGGCCTCACAGTCTAGCCAGCGGATACAAAAACTCGTCCACCAATCTTCTCACCTTGAGGGCGATACCGTAGCTGTTGACGTAGCCACCAGCGAACTGACCATAGGCGTGGACGACCTTCTGGCCGTCGAGAACCTCCTTCTCCACTCTGTTGCCGCCATGCTCGGTGAGACGCGAGGGCCAGTAGCCGACATGATCACCAACGAAATCATAGTCGGTAATCTTGGGGGATGGGAAATACTGCGGAAGATTGTTGTGAACTCGCGCGATGATCTAGATGAGATGAGCATGTGGACACCGGGTTACTTCGGTTAGGCGGTAGTGGACTTACTCTGTTGCGAGTCTCCTCCTTCGCCACGATATCAGTGCTGTTAGCGGTAAGCATGCCACCCATGTAGACGTTTCCGTCCTGTCGTGCGAACGCAGTCGAATAGTAGCCATTAGGACCCCTTCGGATGTAGAGACCTTGATACTTGCTATCGCGGATGACAAGAGACTGGTTGCGGTAAGGGATAAGATGAGGGTCCCGGACGTCGTTGAGGGTGGCAGATCCAAGCCCCGAAGCATTAATGAGAATGTCATGCCCGAGGTGCTTCAAGTCACCCAAGGCGAGAACATTGGCTCGCACAAACTTGATACCTCGAGCTTCGAGCCTCGCTCGCATCCACACCACAAAGACTTGCGGGGTGATGACCAACGTCTTGTACTTCATGCCGTACTTTGCCCCCGACGGCAGTTCCTCCTTGGAGAGGAACCGGAAGTCGGGCACCTTGCCCTGGTACCAGACATCGTCGGGGGATCCAATGTCCATAATCTCCGTCATCTCGGCCTTGTGCACGCTCGACTCGGGGTGCTTCTCGGCAAGATGCCACAGCCCGGTGAACCCATCGAGCTGCGTCTTTTGGTCTTCCTTATTGGAGTCGTGCACTCCGACCCATACGGCTCCAGCCCAGGGACTGGCCCAGGTCTTGTCGAGATCTCCGGGCAGGTGCTTTCCGACGAGGGTGACTTCGTAGTCGACGGGGAGTTGGCTGGCAATGGTCATGCCAGTGACTCTGTGATGATTGCCCAGGTTAGCATACGAGACCCAGGAGTAAGTCGTCGACGGTATTAGTGCTCACCCCGCCCCAAGAATAGTGACTTTGACCATTTCGAACGGTACTGTTGCCTTTGGCGTTGTCGATGATCTGGGCTCTTCGTGGGATACAGCGCTGGGAGATACTTGTTGTCAATCCAGCAACCCCGAAAGATGCATGCTTTATACTCAACATGTGGGGATCAACGCTGATACGCCACGATGCAGGTTGGGGACGAGTGAAAGCCGTGTCGTATGTCAACATGGTACATCTGGAAGCGCCGCGAAGTCAAGGCGGTTCAGTCACGAGATGTCAAGGGCGACGTTGACTTCGGGATCGTTCTGAAAGGGGATAAACCGCTAAGATAGCTTCGGGGACGACCCACCGGTGGCTGTTGTATGACCCACTTTTAGCATCAAGACTGAATTAGGAAAGCGTCAACCCTGCAAATGCCCGAGCGTTTGATAATGCCGGAGGGCGTCACTGGTCTGAGGTCGGGCTCTGGTGGGCAAGGCAAGGCCATGGGAGATGCCCCCCTGCCTCTGTATCTTTCTTGCATCGTCATTGGCACATTGCGGAACACATTGTGGAGCACACCTCGTGCCCATCAAGCTATAAGCAACTTGGACGGGCGTAATCAAGATAAGCCCATGGTCGCCGTGTTCCTCCAATGTCCACGAGCTGATCCGCAGTCAGGGGCGAAGCAGATGTAGGCATAGGTAGAAATCAGGTAGTATTACTCGGCGGACTGCTGGTCAATGCTAACCTCTATTCCAAGGTTCTTGGTTTAAACCAAGAACCCAGAGACGTTCAAGTCAAGTCTTGCCAAGGTACATGACTTGGGTATCAGGAGCTAGACGCCACTAGTTTTGAAAGCTCAACTAGTGGCGTCTCATCAGGCCCGCTTTTTGCCTCAGCGATGAGTTGGGAAAGCATTGGATGGATATCGGCAGCTGTCTGGGGTAGGCCCACTGATAAGTCTATCTAATCTGGGGCCGTTTACAGGGTCCCAACCCTCCACGGCACACCACAGTACTCAACTTGCAACTACACGGCTGTTCCCCAGGATGAAGACTATCAGCATCCCATCCACGATAGTACAAGCCGAGGCTACTGCATCGTGCAGCCCGAGTATAATAAGGCCAGCAGACACACCCCCGTAACCTGCTTTCTTTTTCGACAACTCACCCCGCTTGCCAGTTCTTACCCTGCTGCAGCTCGCCAAAACCCCCTTATTCACTACCTTCAGTCTTCATTCCTATGTCTTCGACACCTGTCGTCATGTCTGATCCCGAGGCCTCAGACGCCGACGCGCCACAGCAGCGTGCTGCCCCAGAGAAGGAGTTTGACGCCTGGTCTGCAATCGCTCTGGGCGCCATCACCACCAATAGCGCCATTGGCCTCGTCCTAACTTTTGCAAGCACCATCACCTATGGCGGGTCTATGTTACTGTTCTACGGCTTCCCAATCATCTCGCTCATCTCTCTTGGGGCTGCGACCAGTCTTGGCGAGTTGACATCGGCTTATCCCGATGCTGGTGGTCAATACATCTGGGTTGCTCGCCTCGCGCCTCCCAAGGTGAACCGATTCTTCTCTTACATGACGGCTATATTCAGCTGGGCAGGAGCCGTCTGTACCGGAGCCTCTGTATGCCTGGTTGGATCCGAGTTGATTCTCGACCTGGTCGAGTTCTTCAATCCTCAGTTTCATCCTGAACCGTGGATGGTCTTCCTTGGATATCAAGCCATCAACATCTTGACCTTGATCCCCAGCTTCTACGGGAAACTCCTCAACAACGTCACCAAGGGCCTCATGCTTTTCACCGCCCTGCTACTTGCCGGATTACTGATCGCCCTATTTGCAGCAGCCCAAGACCGAAGATCAGCGCACGACTTCTTTACCGTCTTTCACAACATCTCTGGATGGTCCGACGGCATGGCGGTGCTCATTGGAGTCAACAGTCTCCAGTGGTGCTACTGCTGCTTGGACTCCATGGTCCACATTGCTGATGAAATCCCGAACCCCGAGCGCAATATTCCCAAGGCTCTGATTTGGTCTATTGCCGTTGGATTTGTCACTGGCATGATTTGCCTGTGCGCTTACATGTTTGCTACCGACGACTACGATACGGGGTATTCTTCCCTGTCCATCACCTTTCAAGCGTTCAGTCAGAATCAAGGCGCTGCCATTGTCATCCAAGTGCTCGTCTTCGTTTCCACCATTGGAGCCTTGTGGGGCATCCATGTCTGGCAGTCTCGTCTTGCATGGACGATTGGCTACAACCGAGGTTTCCCTTTCGGAAAGTACCTGGAGCGAATCTCCGGCGCTCCTTATGGAACTCCCGTCTATGCCCTGATCTTCTCTGCATTCTTCACTGCATTGCTGGGCTGCTTGTACCTCGGTTCCTCTACCGCCTTCAACTCCTTAGTCTCAGCCTCTCTGCTCTTCCAGTGGCTCAGCTACAGCATCCCCGTCGTCTTCCTCAATTTACGCGGTCGTTCGAAAATCCCACACGGCGAGTTTTGGTTCCCAACGCTCGGTTATGCTGCAAACGCCATGCTTGTCATGTGGACCGGCGTCTCTCTCGTTATTTACTGCTTCCCTTACACTCTTCCTGTTGAAGTTGGCAACATGAACTACGTGTCTGCTGTTTTGTGCGGAACGACTCTGTTGAGTGTCTTGTGCTGGTTTGGTTATGGACGCAAGCACTTTCGCATTCTCGAGCTAGATGGCTCTTTGGAGTCGATTGATGCAGTGAATCCTAGTCTCGAGGCTAAGCAGGAAGGTGAATTGAAGGAGTCGGGTCGCTTGGCTGTACACGATATCTAACCCTGGGCAGTGGGATAGTCAAATCCGGGCTACTTTGCATGCAGATCTACTCTAGCTTTAGCTCTCACTTTGTCATGCTGCCTCTTTACTTGCATAGTATAAATTAAACCTCTGAAGTAGTCTGGAAACAGAGACCACCTTTACTATGAATGGATCAACTACGGTCAGACTCTCGCTGTCGGATTCCAACTTGCAACTTTTGAGTACTATATTGCCAGCCAGCAGCGGCCCTTCCATAAAGGATAGTGTACCTCTACACCTGCCAAGAATGAGCCCCTGCCCACCTAGATAGAGCATTGCATCTCATGTCCTACCGGAATTCATGAATGAGCTGACCGGTGTTGTCTCCTTTTGCTAGCCTGCCGTAGTATAAGAAGCCTGCACCCTGGATGAACGGAATTCACTAGGAGCCTGGAAGATGATTGCCGAAGCAACTCAAGCTGCAGCATGGCATGCTTTGCCACCTGAACAACCTTGCTGATACGTCATATAATAGAGCTCCGAAAACGGCGGTGTCGACTCGGAATGGCCAAGCTGCATCCCAACCCATCGAACCTGGTCCACCCGCTACGGTTATAGCTCCAAATTACATCTAGTCTGGAGCCCCTAGCGTGCGGAGACTCCCCGACCCAGCTTTACCCCAGTCCCCAGGTATTCTTCATATCCTCTCGCCCGGGGCTGGTCAGGTTGACTCGGACCCAGCTTCTCTGCATATAAATAAGCAAAGTGCGTCTGCCAAGTTGAAAACTGAACATTGCATACCCAACCTTGCTCTTATATATTTACCATTATTTCAGTGCGAAATTTGAGGGCAAAGAGTCATAATGGCGTCTCCAAAGCAGTCCTGTGACGTCGAGATGGTCGAGAACCACACCGACCCTTCACTGCCTCATCTTTCTGATGCTGAACTTGCCATTGAGAAAAGGTAGGTTGAATCAGCAATGTTCCAGAGGGCTGATGCTGACTTTGGGCTGCTTTCATAGGCTTGTTAGCAAGGTCGACCGCAGGCTTCTACCTGTCACGGCGCTCATCTATTTGCTGTGCTACCTCGATCGATCAAACATCGGTGAGTTCTTGTCTATACATGGCCACAAAGCGAAGTTGAAGTCAGAGACTTTGCTTATACTGGCATAGGAAACGCCCGAATCCTCAACTCCGACACTGGGGACGACATCATGCAGTCCCTCAACTTGTCATCTGAACAGTACATTATCGCCCTCATGCTGTTCCTCGTCGCATACTCCATCTTTGAGGCTCCCAGCAATCTGGCCCTCAAAGTATTCTCGCCCAAAAGGTTTCTTGCCCGTGAGCCCAGCTTGGAACGCGTCGGACGTTGCTGACAGGCAAATAGATGGCTTGGGTTCCTCGTGTTCACCTTTGGAGCCTTTTGCGTCTCCATCGGAGGCGCCCAGAACTTTGCCACCGTCACCGCATTGCGGTTTTTCCTCGGAGCGGCCGAGGCTGGCGTGTTCCCGGGCATGGTCTACTATCTGAGCTTTTGGTACAAAGCTGAAGAGAGGGCTTTTCGGATCGCCGTCTTCCTGTCCAGTGCGACGCTGGCTGGAGCGTTTGGCGGGCAAGTTTCCCTTCCACACTTACGTCTGCTACGGCATTTATATTAACTCCTTTGTATAGTTGCATTGCGTATGGAGTAGGGTACATGAACCGTGCTGGTGGCCTACAGGCTTGGCGCTGGCTGTTTATCCTCGAAGGAGCACCGGCTAGTACGACGAGCCCCATTACCCGGCTGTTGAATACAAGAAGCAAGGCTGACATTTCTTGCAGCCGTCCTCGGAATATGCATATTCATTTTCCTGCCCAGCTACCCGGAACAATGCGGCTGGCTCTCGCGAGAGGAAAAGGCTGTCCAGACTAAGAGACTGGGCGAGCTGGGATCAAGGTTGGTCTTCTCAGATGGTTGTCTACACTTTGTTTCTTGTTTTCTAATGTCCTGCAGCAAGCAAAAGATCACATGGGTCGATGCCAAGGCTACACTCCGCGATTGCAGACTTTTGGTCCATTATCTGTCATATCTCGGTATGGGATGCTTGATCGGCTCCCTATCGCTCTTCGCCCCTGTCATCGTCTTGGGGATGGGGTTCGAAGGACTGCGGGCGCAGCTGTTCACCGTTCCTCCATATGGCGCCGCCTTCATTTGCACAATTGCGGCCTCCATCTTTTCTGATCGTTTAAACTCGCGTGGCTTCATTGTCGGATCCGCGCTAAGCATTTGTTGTATATCATTCCTCATACTTGGTCAGTATTGTATCTCGGAAAGACACTGAACCCCGTGCTGACAACCGCCTTTCAGCTGCTCTGCCCGGTGAGCATTTCGTTGCCCGATACGTCCTCTTGATCATCGGCAATTGCGGAGCTTTTGCTGGCCTGCCCAGTGTCACCGCGTGGGTTGGCGACAACATGACGAGCACCACTGCCATATCACTGTCCATTGCCATAAATATCGCCTTCTCGGGCCCGGGACAGATCATTGGACTGTGGATATATCGGCCCGCCGATCGCCCCTTATACACTCTTGGCCATGGAGTCAATGCAGGGTTTGCGGCTTTCGCGGCACTGCTCTGCTTCGGAATGAGCTTGTATTACCGGTACCTGAACAAACAAGGGCGGCTCAGGCCAGATGGCCGCCCTTGGGTTTGTTAGACTCTGAGTCTGTCTCTAAAGGCTCGTTTGGTGGCTGGAATCGTTCTAGCTGCTCATGGGTTGTATTGCAATGCGGCAAATGCTCTTTCCAAGCGCGGCCTACTGGAAAATTCAACTACCTCCGAGGAGTGTACTTTAGCTCATATTGAATTAAGATAAGCTGAGAGCCAGGCAAGCACATGTGGCCACTCAGCTAGGTAGTTTTTTCCGATCTGATTCGTAATTTAGCCTTATGGAATGCCAGGGCAAGACTAGTGGTATCTGTATAGAAGTCAGTCACTCCTAAAAAGTTGTAGATGAGCCAAGTCCCCCATCTGAACACTCTTGGTAGGTCTTCATAGAGTACGAGCAGGGCAGTATTTTACTACTTGCACATGTGTGAAGAAGAGTTGGAAAAAGCCGCAGAGTTGGGCAGGGATGACCAACCATCCCTGCTTTGAAAACTCAACTCGTAAACCTAGTCATCGGTAAAACCTTACATATCACATAGTAAAGGGATACAGTTGGAAACACTTTCGAATTCTACTAGTGAAGTCACCCAAGGACAATCTATGGCCAGTGTCATTTTTCAACGCTCGGTAACATCAAAAGTACATGTAGCCACGCGTCTACGGGCCAGTACATGATATGGTAATCGGATCTTTTTAGATTAACAAAACTACCATTAAATCCAATTCTGGGAAGCTCTCTGTGTATGAAATGCTCTACAACGACTGCTACCTCGCTTAGCTGTATGTTAACTCGGTGTAAAAGTGGCAGACTCTTAGACCCTTTCCTGGGCGGAGTGCTTATGGCCGCTAGGTATGTGGGGTCAAGTGGAAGGAGATACGGGACAGAGGCCTATAATAGCGTAGGAGACAAGCAAGAATGGACAGGCTTATATAAGTCCCTATAGTTAGATTAAGTCCTTAATCTATTAAAATCACCCCTTTAGTATTATTTAGGATATACTAGCTCTATTAAATTTATATATAATTAGTTTATTAAAATAACTAAAAGTTATTTAGTCCTAAGATTAAGCTATATATATAATTATTATATATAGTTTTTAAAATATAATTTATAGCTTATATTTAAATCTTTAATATTATAAAAACTTAAATATTTATATATTTAGCTTAAATATAAATATTAATATCTTATTAAAAACTTTAATAAAAACTAGCTAATATATAAATTAATTATAGCTTAAAAAAGAGTTACTTATTATTATTAATTATAATTACTTTTTTATATAGTAATAATAATAATAATAATAATAATAAGATATTATTATTTAATACTTATATCTTTATTAATAAGAGCTTAATTATTAAAATAAATAATAAGCTTTTAAAAGATATAATAATTTTAATTATAAATAACTTAATAAAGCTTTATTTAATATATATAAAATTCTTAAGCTTATATTTAATTAAAGAGCTTTTTATAGTAATAATATTAATATTTAATATAAAGTAAAGTAATTAAATAAATATTTAATAATTTTATAATATTATTATTAAATTTAAATATTCTATAATATAGTAAGTAAAAGAGCTATATAGTTATATAATAACTATTAAAAAAAAGAAATTCTTAATTATTAAGAATTAAATAACTTAATATTATACTTAATATTATAATAAATTAAACTTTAGCCTTTTTATCTAGCTATAAGGCTTATATCTAGCTATATATAAAGTTTAATACTTATAATAATATAGTATATTATTATATAATATATAACTATATAAATTACTAAATATTAGGAATTAATTAAGCTATATATTAATAATAAAGATTTTATTATAATAAATACTATATTATACTTATAAATATAATTAATTAATCTAACCTTATAAATTTAATTTTTTTAGTAAATATTATAAAACTTAAATATAATAACCTTTCTTAAAAGCTTTTCTACTATATTATATTAAGTAAGCTTAAATCTAAATTAATTTATTATATTAAAACTTAAATAAGAGCTACTTCTATTTAAATTAATTTAATATAGTATATAATATATTAAAACTAATAATTAAATATTAAGTTATAATAAATATATATAATAAGATAGTTATTACTAAGGCTAAGCTTATTAAGGTCTTTTATATCTTTAAAGAATATTTTATTTAATACTTTTACTTTATTTACTTAATTAGTATAATATAAAGTTAAATTTAGTAGATATAGTTATTAGATTTATTTTATTATTAATAGCTTTATTACTATAAGAAGCTTATTAATTAAGTAAAAGCTTAAGTATTTAATATAGTTAATATAAAGCTCTCTTAGGTTATTTATAATTAAAATTAATATATTTTCTAGAAGCTTATTATTTATTTTAATAATTAAGCCTTTATTAATAAAGATAGAAGTATTTAATAATATTATATTATTATTATTATTACTATTATATAGAAAAGTAATTATAGTTAATAATAATAAATATCTCCTTTTAAGGCTATAGCTAACTTATATATTAATTAGCCTTTATTAGAGTTTTTAATAAAATATTAATACTTATACTTAAGCTAAATATATAAATATTTAAGTTTTTATAATATTAAAGATTTAAATATAAGCTATAAATTATATTTTAAAAACTATATATAATAGTTATATATATAGCTTAATCTTAGGATTAAATAACCTTTATTTATAGTAAGAAAAAATAAATAAATAATATAATTAAATAAAGTAGGAAACTTTAATAAGTACTTTAAAAAAAGCTATTATTAATTAATTTAGTAATAAAGATATTAGCTATCTTTAGCTATACTATAAAATAACCTTTTATTATTATATATTTTAATATAAGTTTAAATTAAGAACCTTTAAGGTATATAGTAGCTAGAGATATTCCTTTTTTTAACTTTAGCTATTTATACTTTCTAGCTATTTAGATACTTAATTATTATATTACTAGAACTTAATTTTAAAATAACCTTTATTTATAATAAAAGAAATAAATAATATAATTATTTAAGTTTTTATAATATTAAAGAGTTAAGTATAAATTATAAATTATATTTAAAAAAATATTATATAATATATAGTTTATTAATTAAATTAATAATAAATATTTATTATTATTAATTTAAAAATTCTATATTAGTAATTTTTATATTAAAATATATTAAATATAAATTAATCTTTAATAAACTTTTCCTTTAATTTTAATCTCTTTAATAATTAATAAGCTTTCCTAAAAACTTCTTTAATATATTAACCTTAAATTAATATAAACTAATTATATTAATAAATTCTATATTTAATTTTTAAGAGCTACTTCTACTTAAGTTAATTTAATATAATATAAAATATATTAAAACTATATATTAAATCTTAGATTTTAATAAATATAAATAAATAAGTTATTATTAATAAAATTTAGCTTTTTAAGTTATCTCTTATTTTTAATAAGTATTTTTAATACTTAGATCTTAATTACTAAGAGGTTAGCTTTATAATAAAATAATAAGCTTAATAAATATAATTATTAAATTTACTATAATATAAATAGCTTTATTACTATAAATAAGCTTTTAATTAAGTAAAAGCTTATATATTAAATATAATAAGAAAAGACCCTTCTTAAGTTAATATAAATAATTATTTTTATAATCTTAAGAACTAAGTTATTTATATTAATTATATCTTAATTATTAATTAAAAGAACTATATTAAATATTAATATTTTAGCTTTTTATTTTAAATTAAATTAAGAGAAATTAATAATAATAAGTATCCCCTTTTAAGGCTATAGCTAACTTATATATTAGCTAGCTCTTATTAAAGTTTTTTTAAGATATTAATACTTATATTTAAGCTTTATATATAATCTTAAAAGTTTTAATAATATTAAAAAGGTTTAAGTATAAATTATAGCTTATTTTCTTTAAGATATATATTAAATAGCTATAGCTTATAGTTATATATATAGCTTAATCTTAGAATATTATCTTTATATATAGTAAAAAGAAATAAATAATAAATTAACTTTTAATAAACTTTTCTTTTAATTTTTAATCTTTTTAATAATTAATAAACTTTTCTAAAAAACTTATTTAATATTATTAAGCTACTTAATTTAATTTATAATAGTAAGTAAGAGAGCTATATAGTTATATAGTAGCTACTAAAAAAAAAAAAATTCCTAAATACTAAGAATTAAATAACTTAATATTATACTTAGTATTATAATATATTAAACTTTAGCCTTTTTATTTAGCTATAATGCTTATATTTAACTATATATAAAGTTTAATATTAATAATAATTTATATCTTAAATATAAGTCTTTTATTAATATAACTCCTTTTATAAACCTTAAAATACTACTTTCTATCTCTTTAAAAGCTACTATTAAGTACTAGTAGAAATTCCTAACTAATAATACTATAATTATAAGACTAGGTAGGTCTATAATTATAATATTAATATTAATTAATAAGGAGGTTTATAATTAAGCTATATTATTAAGATTAATAACTATAATTAATTATATATATATTTAGTATTTAATTAAGGACTTCTATATTTAATTAATTAAATAAGACTATTTAGGTTATTATATAAGTTAATTTAGCTATATAAAAAATAAAATAAAAGATTATAATTTTAAAAATAAAGAATAATTTAAGAATAAAAATAGTTTTTTTATTATAAAGAGATAGTTTACTTACTTAAGTAATAGAAGTAGTAAACTTAATTAATAAAGGAAATTATATATACTCTTATATCTCCCTAAATATATTATAATAGACTTATAAACCTTAAGTTATTTTATTAATATATTAATTTAATAAAGAGTATTAATTATTAAATTTAATTTATATAAAAGAAAATAGATTAATTAATTAAATTAAAAGCTATAGTCTTATTCTTATTAATTTTCTTTTTATTATTTTACTTATTTTTAGTATTTCTTTTCTTTTTATTATACTCTTTTATTTTATATTATTACTTATTTAGCTTATATTTAAATAGTAATTACTAGGATCTTCCTTATA